AGGTTGTGTCACTGCACTGCTCAGGCATCTATTCCAAACGCTGGCAACTGCAGGCAAACATCTCTGTGCAGCATCTGGAGCTGGGCAGTGCCTGGGCCGGAGTGTTCTGCTCTGCAAAGGGCACTGGAGCCCAGCCTGGCACCTCCCAGCTCCCTGCCACGGCTGCTGCAGCCCTGGGGCTCTGGGGCACCCCGGGCTGGGCAGGGGGAAATGTTCATGTCAGCTGCTGTGCTTTAACTTTCTGCTGTCCTGGGCTCCCAGCCTCCAGCAGAACTGCACGAAAAATGACTCAAAAGATGCTTCTGCTTCCCTTTTGCCCCTGTGCTGCCCCAGAGTGGATGGGGAGCGTTCCCAAAATGCTGCAGCCTCACCCAGGCTGAAGGGGAAGGGCATGAGCTCAGCACCCTCTGCTCTGGGGCTCCTGTACCTCTGCAGGGCACTGCCAGGGCAGGCAGGGACCACCAGCACCCCTGTCCCTGGGTCTGCAGCTGGGCTTTAGCTCTAGATTTTATTTCACAGGCGCATTTTAAATTGCTACATGTTTATGAAAAGCAAACAATAGGCCTCTGTGCCTGCCAGGGACATGAATCATGTCAGGGAAGTGAGAATAATAAAATATTGTTTAATATACTGCAATAGACACAGCAGATGTTTAACTTTCTTTCAATAAAAATGACCCCATATCATTTTATTAACTTCAGGGATGCATTAGTCCCCTCTCCAGAAGGCAGGAGAAAAATCCAGCTATTGTACCAAAAATTAAAGAGGAAATTGAAGGGGGATGTTATCGTGGCATATTTTCCTACTACATTCTGTAGTTCTGTAGCACAAATGGCACTGGAAGCAGCTCCTGTCAAGTCTTACTCCTATCTGCAAAACCAAACAAGGTGAATTTGTACCCCAAATTAGCCATCTTCTCCAAAACCCACCAGCATCAGGCTGCTGGTCCAGCACTTACTCACTGCTGGGGACGCTGTGCAGTCTCTCAGAGCTGCTCTGCTCTGCCCAGGCTGGCACACCCCAGGCGGGCAGACACCAGTCAGATTTTGGGGCTGGGTCCCCCAGTGGCAGCCAGCTGCTCTGGGTGTGGATATTTACAGGACCTGAACCTGCTCCTGCATCCACAGGGCCAAACTCCGTCAGCTTTTAGCTCCATCAGCAAACAGCCTTCTACTTCAGGAAGCTGCAAGCTGGAGATGAGCTGGGATTATTACTGTTCAGCACACTCCAAGTGGTTTTCTCAGCCTGGGGAGTATGTTTTGATGTCTGCTGCTTTTACTTCAAAAGGCTATTTGACCATATTCTGCTTTGACATCCTTGTAAAAATATTTGAAGTGCTCCAGCACCATGAGAGTGCTTTGAAAAGCCCACTTTAAATTATCAGAGTGCTTCGTGCTTTTATAAGGACTCAAATTTTGGCAGTTTTTATCACACAGAACAATTCCATCCCGTTAAAGCTCATCAATTTGATGAGCTGAAATTTAGAAAGGATGTGGATTGTGCACATGTGTAATATAATTTTTGGAATTACTGAACTTTTGACAGCTTGCAATAGCAGCACTGCCAGGCTTTGCCCTGGGTGTGTGGCTGTGTCTGGTGTTAATCACTGCACCGTGAGTGGGACAGGAAAGGAGAAAGGTGTAAAGGTTAAACTAGAGAGATTCAGGTCTGTTGAAACAGGAATTAGGGCATCTCTGGACTTTCCATATGTTTGACAAAGTTCTGAAATGTGCAGTCAATTCACGGGAAGCCTCTCCCACAGTTTAATTGTTTCAGTGTCTGCCTGGCCTGGGGGTGAGACCCCAGCCCTGAGCATCCCCTGCCAGAGCCTCTGCTCCCGCTGGGCACAATCCTGCTCCTCACAGGTGCTCAGCTTGCAGAGCTGCACGTGGAGCAGCGGGCCTGCCACTGAAGCCATTTGTCATTGGGACCAAGTTATCAGTTCTGATGAGTTAAATGTGCCACAGCCAGTGGTGCTGGCACGTGGCATTAACCAGTTAGTTCCCGTGGCTGCAGAACAACCTGGGCCTTTGGCTGCCCTGAGACCACAGCCAGGAGAAAACTGCTCTGAGATGGATGGGATGGGTCAGCAAGGATTGAAATGCTCTGAAGATTCAGAGGTTGACTCCTGGGGGCTGCAGGGGCTCTGCAGCTCGAGCAGTGCAAGCCCTGCTAAAGCCAGGTCACCAGGAGCAGGTGGCACAGGCTCACTGAGCCAGAGTTAAAGTCTAACAGGGTATAAACCCACTTGGATTTGGGGAAATGTGCTGCTTTGAGCTTGCTAACATAAGTGAAATATGCTGTTTAGTGCTGGGGACAGTGCCAGGGCCTGGCTGTGCTCCCTCTGTGCCAGAGCTGCCTCGAGCCTGTCCCACAGCTGCAGTCCCAGCCCAGCTGGGCACAGAATTCCCTCCACTGGATGACATCCCCGAGTGTTCTGGGCGTATTTGGAGCAGAACTCTGCAGGGTGCCCTGATAAAGGAAGCAGGTTCAATGACAGATATGTGTAAGGAAGTAGAAAAATACCCAAAGAATGGCATTTTGTGTTCAATGGCTCCTGCCCTTGGGTCTCCCCTCCCTTCTCTCCCTGCAGGCACCTCCTTGCAGTGGGCCCAGCAGGCAGCAGCTCTCAGGTGTGGGCATTGTTCCACCAGCACTGCTGGCTTACAAATTCTCTGCTTGCTCAGAAATGAATCTGTCTCAAACCACTGCCTGCTCAAATGGAAACTCTTCTAATCTGCTTCCCCAGAGGGCTTTGCTGCAGTGGCAGAACTTGCTCTGCATAGAAACAAAATCACTGGGATAAGATTTGGTGTTTGAAATTGCTTTTTGGAAATTAAGAACTCTGTGCAGCTTCTAACAGCAGTTTATTGTTAGGATGAGCAAGCTTGTCTCATGTCAGCCCTGAGCAACTTCTGTCAACACCAAAAATACACAAATGAAACCAACTCAGAGGTGACTACAGACTTTTGAGGGAAATAGTGATGGATGTCTAAACTGCTGTAATTGAACTCATGCTGGAGGTTTACATAAGCAGAACAGATGAAAAAAGCTCCCCTTTCTGAGGAGGGATATTCAATATAAATAGAAAGGCAGGAAAAGCCAGGTTTTGCTGTACTGACCATTATATGAGCAGTGCATCCACCTTCTGATCTCAGATAAAACACAGGCACCCTCCTCCATCCCTGCATAGAGCCTGGGGAGGCTGTAATTAGCCTGCAATACTAATTATTTTACAGTTCTTCACAAGTCAAAGTACCAAACTTTACCCCGGGACTCCTCTCACGTGGAACAAGGGCTCTGCTATGTTGTGCTTTGAATTTCAGGCACCTGGAAAGACAAAGGTTTGAAAGCATCCATTGGGGTGACTCCTGTCAGATCTTTCCATTGCACTGGAGCAACCCCAGGAGTGAATGTAAAATTCCATCTCTGCATCTTCAAGGTGTTTCATTAATGAGGAGCAGTGCTCAGTCCTGAGGTTAATTGGTTGGTTCTATTTCTGTGACTGGAATGGAACCACTGAAAGATGAGATGGGGAGGAAGAATCAGCTGAGCCTTTGAGCCACTACAGGTCTCATCCCTCTGATGAGAAGTGTCAGATGAACACTCCTAAATGTCACAATTATGTGTGCCTGGGGCTGAGGCCACCCCACCCCAAATGACAGCTCAGTCACACGCTGGAGTGCTCCTTCAGCCTCATCCCCAGTGCAGCGGCAGCAGCACCCTGCAGGGACACTGAGGGGACACTGAGGGTGGCACTGAGGGGACACTGAGGGTGGCACTGAGGGGACACTGAGTGGGACACTGAGGGGGACACTGAGGGGACACTGAGGGTGGCACTGAGGGGACACTGAGGGTGGCACTGAGGGGGACACTGAGGGGACACTGAGGGTGGCACTGAAGGGACACTGAGGGGACACTGAGGGGGCACTGAGGGGGACACTGAGGGTGGCACTGAGGGGACACTGAGGGTGGCACTGAGGGGACACTGAGGGGACACTGAGGGTGGCACTGAGGGGACACTGAGGGTGGCACTGAGGGGACACTGAGGGGACACTGAGGGTGGCACTGAGGGGACACTGAGGGTGGCACTGAGGGGACACTGAGGGGACACTGAGGGGACACTGAGGGTGTGCTGCTGCCAGGGGACACATTCTGCCCAGAATGGCCCAGCTGAGCCAGCAGCTGGCACTGTCCTTGCCCCTGAGCACGTTTTACTGCTCTGCCCGCACACACAGCCTCTCACACTGTCACCTGTGGTTTCTCTGGTGACCTGCAGGTTGTTCTCCTGTCCCTAAACTCAGCTTTAACCATCCCTTATCAGATGGGAGATTTGTGAATGTTGCTGATAAAACTCAGGAGCTTGGGGGAGCAGTGCATTATGAAGCTCAGAGATCAGCGAGGGGCAGGACCGTGCTGCCCTGGCACTGCTGCCCGTGCTGCCAGTCCCTCAGAGCAGGGGACACTGCAGAGAGCCAAATCTCCAGCAACCTCCCACAACAGCAGTGAGGAGGCACCAGGCAGCTCCTCCGGCCTCTGGGAGCTTTGGCAATCAGCGATGCAGCTGGGAAACATTGGTGCTTGTTTGGCAACAGCAGCCAAAAAAGGGGGAAATGATTTGGTCCCTGTTCTGGCTCTTATGCAGCTTCCACTCTCCTAACATCATGCTTTTTTAGTTGGTTATAAATGGGATAGTCCAGAAACACAGCATATGGAGCTTCTAAAACAAGAGGTAGAAAAGGAAATTTGTTTTTCCTCATAGAGACATTATTTTTATATATTACATTATTTATATTATTCTCATAGAGACATTATTTTTTAGTCATTCCAGTTTTAAATCATACTAAGGAATGCAAGAGCTGAAGCATTTTTGCTGATTTATCTGGGCAAGGACAGGACACTGCTGTAGTGTCTGACAGAATTAATGGGGTGCCTGTGGACATTCAGAAATCCAACACCATTCCACTGGGTCTTCAGGAAATAAAGGCTAAAGAACAAAGTAGTTGTAGTATAATTTTATTCACCTAGAAACAAAGGGTCAAAAGTCACAGCATAGAGGTTCATTTTATTTTGTAAACTCATTAAAAAGATGTCCATGTACAAAATAAGGACATTTTAAACAACAGAACTGCAGACAAAGGAAACTATAAAAATTCAACACATTAATAAAAAAGTTTTATTTTCTTTCTCCATAATTCCTTGCACCTTCCATACCAGTCTGCACACACTCTGAAGTACAGTTGTTAGAATCATTAAAATTCAAGAGGCTGAACATAAAGCCATTTGCTCTGCTGGGGTAATGTATTGCTGAAAGATCCAAACCCTGGAGCACGTTAGCTAAAAGTAAGACAAGGCTGAAGGACCTGGCTAAAGGCTGCTAAATGGTTACTGTGCATTGATCTGCTCAGAATTCCAGCTCGCTCTGCTTCCTGCAAATATTTGGAATTATCCTTGGGGGAGTAACAGTGTTAGACTGAACGAGGCCTTGTCCAAAGGTGGGTGTTGTCCTAACACATTAAATGCAGGCTCAAAAATAAAAATAAAAGCATTGCTGCAGTCAAAGAGCTTCAATCCAACAAGTGTTAACTGTGCACCAATCTGCAGCAGCTGTCTGAGCAGCTCCTGGGGTTTGGGCTTCAGTCCTGGATGCTCCCGACTGCAAGTCTGGACTGAAATCCTTGCTGCGCTGTCAGTAACAGGTCAATTTTAAAATTTAAGCTGTGCTAATTTGTAATTTAATTTGTTTCTCACCCCAAAATGACTCCCAGCACTGAACGGCCATGCACTGCTCGAGGCTCCTGTCAAAGGTTTCTGTGCTGTGTCCTCGGGGTCGGCTGAGTGTTCCCGTGGGTCCCCGTTTGGTGTGGGTCAGGGTGGGTCCCTGCACCCACTGCAGGAGCTGCTGCAGCCCCTTGCAGCAGTGCCAGCCCCAGGGAACATCTCCCCACGGGCAGAGAGCACACTGACAGCACGGCTGGCTGTCCTGTGCCAGGGCACAGTGCAGGAGCAGCCCTGCCAAAGGCACTTCCATGGCACAGGGCAGGGCTGCGGGTCCCTGGGCAGGCAGCAGCTCTGCTGGCCGGGCACTGCCCTTCCCTGGCTGCTGCTGGCCGGGCACTGCCCTTCCCTGCTGCTGCTGGCCGGGCACTGCCCTTCCCTGCTGCTGCTGGCCGGGCACTGCCCTTCCCTGGCTGCCCAGCCAGGGCTCACAGCCTCCCGTTGGCCGCCTCGCCCGCCTTCGACCTGTGGTGCTCGTACTTGACAGAAACGATCAGGAACAGCAGCAGGGTGGCTCCTTGGATAGCAGCCAGCAGAAAGAAGTAATAGTTCAATTGGCAGCCATTAATGTTACCTAGAAAGAATTGGGGAGGAAGAAAGCATTAACTAAGACGATACAAAGAAAAACGTGAATCTGGTCAAGTTTAAGTGGTGAACTTTTCTGCAGAACCAGAGCAAGGCACAGCTCATTTTTAATTATCCACAGCAAAGGCTGGCACTGCTGAGGAAGATGTGCACAGCATGAGGAATGTTTTCTTTTTTCCTCCAATGCCTTAGATCAAATCAAAAGAAAATAACATAACCAAAAAAATGAATGCTGTAAAGGAAGAAGTTGGCAACTCCACAGATATAAAAAAAAGCCATTACTGCAATTGTTTCCCAGCCTTTTTTGGCAACAAAGTTTAGAGTTCACAAAAACATAGGTGACTTCTTTGTGGTTCAGTTCACCTGTGATGCTCCCTCTAAGTTGTCACAAATGAGTGCTTTGGGCATTGAGCAATGTTAAATGAAGAAAGCTCACTGCTAAATCATTCCTCTGTTAGGAAGCATGCCCAACTCCTGCTGGATTTCCAAGAACAATATATTGTGGCTCATTTCCAGCACACCACAGCCAACTGGACCATTACAATTATCAGATGTGTTGCAGAGACTCAAATAGTGACGTGTACATGGACCCTAACCAGCTGTTCCTGCAGCAAGCCTATAAACATTCAGATTAAATTACTTTAATTACTAAAACTTAAGATTCAATTAAATGAACTTATCATAAAATGCAATAAAATTAAACTGAGCCTTTCCTTGACATTTAAAATACAATATAGATGTGAATCTCCATTTCAAGAGCAGATGTGTTTAAAGAGTAGTAATTATCCTTTATGAGATGGGATATTAAGCCCATGAAATCTTAGTTTTGGTGGGAGAAACAAGTCAATTATTTGTGTGAAATTCTTATTCCCTGCTGAGCTCTGATCAGCTGAATGACCTCTGTATTGCAGAAAAGGTTCCTTTTCCAATTTTGAAATTGACTGGGGAAAAGAAGTGCCAATGGAATGAAAAATTCCTTAGGGGAGGACACTTCCATAGGGTTCAGGCTGCTTGTTTTCTTCTGCAGTTTTTAAAGAACAACTTACAAGCCACAGATGCCAACTTGGGCACACGGAGGAGTCAGACACCATTGCTTTTTGGTAGATGCAAATCCAGTTGAAATGCAAATTCTCTTGGACCAGACTGAAAGTTGAGGCTGTACAGACAGCAGGTCTAGCAGACATTTTAAGAACTGTTCACACTCCTCCTGGCTGAGCTAATTAGCCCACTGAGGAGGGAGGGTTTCTGAAATTCCCAAGGTGCCACCTACTGGTGCCAGGAATTATTTTTAACCTCCACTGGCAACTCAAAACAGGTGATCTGTTGAACTTTAGGAGTATAAATAGCTAGCAGACACAAGTGCAGAATTAACTCATGGTAATTTCAATGAAGTCACTTGAAATGAGGAAGCTGAATAATCACTTGGAGAGAAATGGGTACATTTTACTCCCCATAACCACAGAAAGCAATTTCAGTACTTTATACCAAATATATTCTTCTGCTGCACGTAATTTAAATATTTTTTACTGAAATGAAAACATTTGTAATTTCTAGTGATGAAATGCAGTAACAGCTGAGCAAGTAACTGAGGCTCTACAGAGGTGTTCCTCATGCTTTCACGAGGGCAGTGAATTATTTTGCACAGTCACATTATTTCATACTTAGATGCAAAATGAAACTCTAACAGAGCAGTAGAAAAATTAACATTTTGAATTTAATAACAGTGTTAAAAATCAACAGTGCCATGTCCTTGATGCTTAACTGAAACTTCTACTTTCCAGAGCATGAGCACACTGAAAATACACTTACCAAAATCTGTGTGATTACTCATCCAGCCAATTTCTTTAATAGACACCAGTGCCAACAGTCCAGAGCCAACAAACGAGCCAATCCCCGAGAAGAAAAAGAACAGCCCCATGATAGCACTCTGCATAGATTTGGGAGCAGCTGAATATGCAAATTCTAGACCTGTAGTACAAGATGAAAAAATGCTATTAGAATATGTAAGAAATAAGAGTAGATTGATCTAGAAGTGTTCTAGAAGCCACAGGTGTGCAGTGAATCCTTAGCAGTTCCAGGGCCTTTTAATTGCTTTATGAATCCTCTTAAAGGTCACCAATGTATCAACCCAGTGTTGAGACACAGACTTTGATCTTATTTATATTCCATGTCTAAAAGCAAGAAATCTTCTCAACCAACATATTCCTTTTTCTGTCTAAAATTTTCCTCAAAGAAAAGCATTAAACTAGCTCAAACCTGACAATTCCACGTTTCCCATCTCCTGTTCCCTGGCTGCTGGGCACTGAATGCAGGACAAGGAAAAAAGTCACTCTTGCATTAGCCATGAGCATTTATTTCTTACAGCCTCAGTGTCTGTCTCTGAATGTGCAGACAGAGAAATTAACTGGAACTGGAAAGCCAGTAATTATTTTAATTTAATTTACTTTTGATCTAGAGTTCTCTGAGTTCATTGTTTGCTACCAAGCAATTCTTTTTAAGATTTGTAGGAATAGGGCTCGAATTTTCAGCTGTCTTTACTCAAATTTCAACCAATAAACCCAAGAAAAATGTACCAGTGACCATCCATCTGCAAATCTGTGCTACTGAATTTGTGTACCAAGAACACGCACTGGGTTAGGCTCTGCCACACAAAGATTAATGCCCATGATTAACTCTCCTTTTTAGAATAATACTCCTGTCAAAAATCAAATGGGATTATTCACAAGAGACAATCAAATACATTCCGTGCAGAGCTTTTTCTGACAGGTGAAATGCTTGTTTCAAAACACTCTGCTCATACTGGGAATTAATGCTACCTCATCTAACATTTTTCTTTGCAAGGAGAGCATTATAGAGCTGAAATTGCATAACTCTCATGTCTGGCATAATAAAGGCATGCTTTATTTACAGCACCACTGCTGCCTGACTACTCCAGGCAGGCTTTCATAGAAATCCAGGGGCATTTCTTTTCCAGAAATGCATGAGCTTCAAGGCAGACAGGCAAGCCAGGGAGGGAGGAGCTTTGCTTTTGGAAAGAAGCAGAGCTGGGTGTTCTCAGTGCTCCCACTGCAGCCTCCTGGCACCTGGGATGGCATGGCATGGCATGGGATGGGATGGGATGGGATGGGATGGGATGGCATGGCATGGCATGGCATGGGATGGCATGGCATGGCATGGCATGGCATGGCATGGCAGGCCAGCAGGAACTGAAACTCAGCTGTGGGGCTTCCCCAAACTCAAACCACAACCAGAGACTGGGACAGACACAGACACAGCTGCCAACGGGCAGGGCAGGGGGCAGAATGGGGTTTATTTCCAGAATTAACAGTGCCTCTGTTTTCTAGGCTCTGCCACCGATAGAACAATTCTGACTTTTCAAAGACTATTTTCCTGTCCAACTGCACTTTAAAAAAAACAAGCAGACTACTCTGAGCACACAGCAGCTTGTTTGTGACTTCTGGTTAAGTTCTCAGAGCTGCCACAGGTCTCCTGAGCCTCAGCCACACCTCGGTCACCAGACTTTGGATGTTTGGTACAAGTTAAGCTCAGGGTAACCCGTGAAAAGATCTGGACTGTTTCTTTTCTTGTTCATTTTACAGGTACACTGGATCTGACTGTTCCAGCTGGAAAAAGACCTTAAGACTCAGAACAAAAACCAAAACGAGTGTAACCCTGCACTTGTTTGCAACAAAATAAGGTACATTTCTAAATTTGAATGACTTTTGCAGCAATGCTAATATTTAATCTGGCATAAAGAATATAAAATCTTTCCTTTGCCTTCAGAGCTCCTTTGGCTGCTGGCAGCCATTGATAATGATTTCATGCTCCTGCAAACAAGCACTTCTGAAATTAAAGCCCCTCGCTGGTGTTGTCATGTGAGATTACAATTCCCAGTTAGACAAGGGTGCTTTAGGAGGATTGACAGAATAATACAAAAGACTAATGCAATGTGTGTCATCTTTTTAAAGGTACCTCAAGTGTAACTAATGTGGCTTAATAAGAATATGCTTAGTTTTACAGTAAACAGAAAAACAGAGGTATGCTTCAGCTCTTGGGCTATTTAGCCCCTTTTTGCTCACAACAAACATTTCCACATCATTATGGTTTTGTAACCAGTAACGCTTTGCTTATTTTAAGCCTGAATTTCATAGCACAGTAGATGCCTTTATCAAGTTTAATATTGAATTGGTAAAGTAAACTCTGAGTCTTGAGAGGCCTTCTTAATAATATTATGTTCAGATAACAACCAGAAGGCAGGAAAGAGCCTTTGTAAAAAAAAAAAAAATCCAATGAAAGTGCACTAACAAAGCAATTAAGCTCTGCACAGAATTTCTGGTACACTTTTTTCAAACACTGACCAAGAGTTTTTGAAGTTATAACACTGTTGGTACAGACCCAGCAGTGCAGCATATTCACACAAGGAGGAGCAGAATATTCACATTAGAATTGTGCAAGCCTTAAAAACTTCTCACAAGGATCTCCACTAAAGTCCTCTCAGCTTGGAGTTCAGCAAACAGAAAGTGCTTCAAGACCTTTCCACAGCCTGCAGACAGGTTTGCTATTTTTTCCTTGCAAACACCTATAAACTATTAATAGTACCTGATGGAGAAACAAGATTGTGTAAGAGGGAAGAAATTGGTTTAATTTTCCATGAACACTTGTGTTTCTGATAAGTTATCTGTTTACCTGAGTTAGGATATAAGTGGCACCGTCACTAAACTGACTACAAGTAATTCACTTTATTCTTTGGATAAAAATGCTAAATACAGCCTTAGTTTTAGTAACTAACTAAATAAGGCAAGATTTTACCTTCAGATTTTTGTGTGTTAGCATTTGTGACAGGTGCCATACACACACAATGAGATGGACAGCACACGAGCAGATAGGAAAAAACAACAAACCCCTCTGTTACTCTCCTTGCCAAGCAATGCAAGCACCTCATTTTATTTCCTGAACAGCGTGATGACAGCAGCACATGAGTAACCAGAAACCTGCTGGAGCAGAAGTTCTGTGTTCCACCAGGAGGGGAACAAATGGGCCAGCTGGGGCCAGGGCCAGCCACGTCTCCCAGAAGCAGAGATCTCGCTTCAGCCCGCTGTGATTGCCCAGGAGTGAAAGTGCCCTCCCCAGGGGAAGTGAAAGAGGAGCTGTGCCACCAGCAATCCAAGAGAAGAGCTCTGGGTATGGCCAGTCTGAGTGGATGAGCCTCAGGTTCAGCATTTGCCTGAAATTCAGTTTTGAAAGCTCAGTTTCAAACAGCCAGGCCTCCAATGTGCCAGTCAGTGGTGAGTTTTGCACCTTAAATTGAGCAGTGTTGTATGCAAATGCATTTGGGAACATGAGAGCTCATTTGTAATTATTTCAGAAGTATTTATTTTCTAACATTCCATCATTTATGACAAATACAAAAGCAGATTTAAGCACATACAGACTCTTACCTGCTATACTTGCAAATATTTCACTGAATCCAATCAGCACATATTGAGGAATCTGCCACCAGATTGGCAAATCTGCAGCATGGTATGTAACATTCCCAATTGTCTGGTTAATTGTTTTAACCTTTACAATTTTCAGTCTGTTGCTTTCCAGAATTCCTGTGTGAAAGGGGAGGGAAAAAAGATTGACTTAAGATGCAAACATTGTTTCTCCATATTAAGAATTAAATTAGGATTCAGCCTTGCATTACAATTAGAAATGATACAATAGGAATATGTATTTATTTCCTGACATAAAGCATTTCAGACTACTTCTGCTGATGTTATTTCAAGACATACAGTTGTTCTGCCATAGAATTAGTGATTATATTCTCATTCAGTAGCAATAATTATACAAACACTTAGCCCATTTCTGGATGGATCAGCCCAGAGCTCTCATGGACACTGTGCTGGGGCTTTTTTAAAGACAATCTCATTTTCACAAACTACTACTTTGCACTGTTGAACCTTTTCAACTGCTACCATAGTATTCATAAATTAGAAACCCTTTTGCTTATGGAAATGGCTACAGCAGTCCTGCAGAGCTATGAAAACCCTCTATGAATATGATTATGACATTTATATGACACTTTTCATCTGAAGAGATCCAAGAGCTCATTAGAGCTTGATTTACAAGCAATACATTGCATAGAAAGTACTTCATATGGAATGAAAAAGAGACAGGACAGTGTAAAATATAAGCATTTTTAGCTTGCTCAGCACAACAGTTTAGAGTAGAAAGTGAATATCAAATAATGCTGTAGGGTTTTGTTGAAGTTGCCCAGATTAAACGATTGACTCAGTTACATAAAATACACAGAGTAGCTAACAGTTAATAAAACTCCCTGCTTCACCCAAAAGAGACCTCTACAAAGGAACTCTCATCTCTTATCCTTGGAAATAAGGTGAATTTATTCATCACAATTCACAGGAGCAGGACTGAGCCACTGCCACTGTTCTACAGTGTGGTGACACTCCCAGCCTCCCAGCAGTGCTGCCAGCTCCCGGCTCTTTCTGTCCTGAGCTCATCCTGGGACACAAAACGTGTCCCCAAAACAAAGTGCAGGCCTTAGATAAGCTGCTTTCGAGGGTATCACAGCATGTGCAGGGATTCCATCTGCTTCCTCTGCCAGCCTCCCTCCCTGGAGCCACCCAGAGGGTGCCATGGCACAGCTCCTGTGCTGCTGAACCCCCTGAGCCACATTCCTGATGTGCAGCACCATCTCTTCAGCTACCTCAGTGCCCTCTGAACTATGAAGAGCTGCTGTAATTAAAATGAAACTGGACTTCTTGATGTTTTAATTTTAATACAGCTGCCAAACACTTTGGAGTGGAACTTAATTAAAGTGGAAACAAAGCAGCAGAGTCATCTAAGAACTCAGACATAATTTCATTTATTTACACTCAACACAGAATTGTTGCACCTCAAAACATCAAGTGATCTTAATGTGTTTATACTCTTACAAAATAAGCACTGAGCCACCTAGCAGCACAACTACAATATACCAAACTTTGCCATAAATTCATCTTCAAAGTACTTCAGAACCTGGAATCTATTGATTCTTCCTGTAAGACCTTGATAGACAACTTTCATATTTAATTTTACACTCTTAGGAGTTAAAATAATCTGAACTTCTTATTATAATGGTTTAAACCCTATAAATGAAGTAGATTTTCCAGTTGAATAACCTTGAACATTGCTGCTCAGAATTCACCATAGATGCATGAAGCACAGCAGATGTTCATTAAATCTCATCAGTTGTATTTTAACAGAGTTTATAAAATATTTTAAATAATCTAACCAATATAATAGGCAGCCTCAGCAGTGTCCACAACTAATGGCTGTTAGATAAGCAAGTCAAAATGGAAATGACTGCAAATTCTTGACATTTTCAGATCTTTAAGATTTTATTCAGGGTCCCTCTCAAAGGCAGCAATGGTTGGAAGCAGCAGTGTATTTTAAGAATGTTAAAATATGGCAGCTATAAATATCACTTAACAAGAAAATAAAAATTGAATGAAACATGTAAACCAACACCTTACTAGAAATAAACAGTTTCCTAAACCCCAAATTTGTCACAAATGAAGCCCTTAAATTCCTGTTATGATGAAGAGATGTGAAGTTACTCCTAAAGGTTAAACTTCCCAAACAGATTGCATATCACCCGAAGAATTCACCTTTTCAGTTTCTACTGGGGAAGACATGGGAAGGATCAAATCAACAAAAGCATTTGTTACATTTGTAGGTGAATTGGAAAAAGCATCTGAAACTTCAAGGAATTCTGCTGTATGAACCCATTCCCCAGCTTGGCTATCACAGCTTGATGTGCTCTTCCCCACTCTGAATAAAGACAGACATTGCTGGTTTTGAATTCCCTCATGTGTGAGCCCACAGGTTCTATTTAAAGAGCTGACATTTAAGTGTTTTACATCATCCTCTTCTGCAGCAGCAGTGTCCTAAGAAACATGGAATAAGAGAAACACTTCTATTTCAACTTTAAATGACTTTGCTTGGAGAACTTTCCTCGCCCACAAAGTGACCTTGGCCTAATAATTACCTCTCTCATTGAAAGAAATCTTAATAACCATACAAAGTGTCCCTCTCCCTAAAATATGGGGGATCCCAAGTGCTGCAATGAATTTATTTAATGCCATAATGCTTTATGGGGATGTTCATTACAGTGATGCTGTGAGGGCTATAGATTCTGTGAAGCATTGCTCAGAGATGTTCAGTTCCACATCAGCAGCACTTAACAACTTGAAATCATCTCAAAAGCAGTTGATTTATGGGGCCAGCAGAGTTGCCATCTTTTCCCTTTCATGCTACAGCTGAACCATTTTACACTACACTAATTTCCAAACATTAGGGAACAGGAAGACAGGGGAGAGAAAACCCAAAGTGGGAGGAAACTCCTGCTCAGCCATAACCTAACTTTATTATTTCAGATCAGGGGAAGGGATTTTGGGTAAAATTTCAGCTTTTTTATACTTATGAGTCAGAATGTATGAAGAAATATTTTAAAGGGTATATGCAAAGCCTACTTCAGGCAGGAAAAACGGTCCAATTTTATTGCAAGTGTTCAAAACAGTTTAGTAAATTTTTAGATACAATCCCCTTTATTGAGTAAAATGCATCCATGAAGGCACATTCCAACTATCACACTAAAAAATATCTGAATAATGCTGAATTAAATATTCACACAGTTCTTTAAAAAGTGCTGTTGCAGTGAGCTGAACAATTCACCAAGTCAGGAGATGTCCAAGTCGTTTTCTTACCTGCAGCAAAGGCAGAGCACATCACAAAGAACATTCCAACTGCAATCCTCTTCAGCGAGGATGGCAGCAAGCCATTCCTCTTCAAAATGGGGTCCACCAGTTTGTCCTTTAAGGGTATTAGGATCAGGATAAGCACTGCATCAAACATGGTCAGCCAGGCTGCTGGAAACTGGAAGGGGAGATGACTCAAGTTGGCAATTTCATACTTAGGAGTTAACTTTTACTATTATTTTACAAATAAGGTTTTGATTGGACACTTTGATCCAAAATAAACAACAATGCACTGACAGACATTGTGAAAAGTCAAACAAGAGTGTTTAAAAGCTGAAGAACATATTCAGCTATTCAGGTTTTCATTGAATCTGGCTGCTCATACATCTGTAAGCTCAGTTTCTCATCTGACAGAATTGAACTTTTTACCTAATTCAGTCATGGAAAGTATGTAATAGCCAAGCTCTGTATTTCGCCTTTAAGCTTAGAACTACCAGAAATATGCCACAGAACAGCAGAAACAGAGTCTTGCTAATGTAAATGCAAAGTTCAATTAAAATCAAGCTACACTTGTCAAATGAATAGAGAGGGTGGTGTAACACATGTAAATCCTGTAAATCCTGTGTTTTACTTCTCTGCACCATTTCTGCAATCACATGATGCCAGCCTTTCTTGAAAAGTATTGATTGAACAGCTTCTTTCAATATGCTGAAGGTAAAGTGATTATTGATTAGGCAGTCTAAAGTAACAAATGTGTCTCAAATTCCAAATGCTAATGTATCACTTAAGGATGGGGATTCATTCCCACTGGGCTTGCAGAAATGCTTCTGTCCTGCTATGGAGACTCAGGGCATGGAGACTGATCAGCTTTCTTCACAGGTCAGACGTGGGCCACTGAAGGATAAAGAAACTCTTGATGAAAGCAGTGAGAGTTACCCAAATGCACCCAGAGCAGGTGGGTGTGAACTCCAGACACTTCTTGGTGTGATAAAATCCGGGATGTGCATCATGCTCCTAAATCCCCAAAGGCTGAGGCCACTGATCCCCAAAGGCACTCCCTGAACTTTTGGAATTTCTGTACAAGACTGACCTAAACTGCATTTCCACTAAAAAAAGGCCCTTTGCACTTGTTTTGCTCTGCTCACCGTGTGGATGGAGTTGGTGTCGTTGGAGATCTCAGGAATTTTCAGATGGAGACTCTGCAATACGTATGTTGTCTGCATCTAGCATTAGGAAAGAGGAGTTGAGATTACTCGGACAAGGAGTGCTGGGAGCAAGGTATTTTTCATTTTGTAACAATTAACACAGATTATACCAGAGGTGAAATGCTAACACAGCAAACTGACAACAATTACAGTCAGAACATTACAAGATTTTTTAACCTTGTAGCTATTTTTACTAAAAACACAAAGACTCATTTTGTGTGCCTTTGAAAACAATTACTGTGTTGTTTCTTTTGCCCAAAATGTATCTGATATCCTGAATCATCACCACAAGGCAGAACCTGAAAATTAAATTGAGGTCTAGATCACTTAGCCTGACCTATATAAACAGCTGCAAGACAAAACACAGCACAATATTTAAGATATGTGAATTTGTACAACTGCGAGTCTTAACTACAACTGTAATGATTTTATTTTTTTTCTATTATTAGGGCAAAATATTATTTGAGAGCATTCCTTAGCAGTCATTTCTCATCTCTCAACTTCAAGGTAAGTTTCCTGTTTATGAGAGAACACTCCAAAAATGTTAAATTAGAAATTATATAAAGTATGACTGTAACCATTTGGAACTACTCACTTGAAAATACACTGTCCAGTAAGGTATTAAAGCCAGGAAGACAGGGATAATCTTGACAAGAGCTTTTACATCCTCCACCTTATCTTCTCTGAAGGGGCCGCCCCGAGACAGCTTGGCCATCTCGAAGAGGCTCTGCTTGCGAGGCGGGTGCAGCACGCCCTGGCCTTCACTTTGGAAAAGGATTGGAGATGTTCAGTTAGCATAACTGGCAATCTTGTCTTCCTTATAAAAAGCTAATGCATTTCCAAAATGAGCAATTAATGTAAGTTACAGCAACACAGCTGGGCCAGAATGGATCCCCAGCAGGTGGAAACACGAGAGGAAACCTTCTGCTGTGGAGTTTCCTTATTTCCCATCCTCCCCACACACCCCAGCCCTAAATAACTGGCAGAACTTAGAGTAACCTGCATTTTGTGATATTGCTTAAGTCACTGAACTGTCTGGCAATCTGAGCACACGAAACCCCGCTGCAGAACAGGCACCTGACATCTCTGAGCAGTGATTCAACTCAACCACCAGTATTCATGGGCAGCTCTTAAGAGGGGAAAAATTTTGGCTCCCCATCAAGCTACTTACAGCATTAAATGTGGATGACAGTACTTTTCAAACCAGAAGGCACTCACAAAGATATCTGCCAGAGAAGAAGTTAACTAATGCTGAGAGCAGCAGGGTCAGGTTACGTGACACCCTCAGAACTCTGAGCTGGCAGGACACAGAGCTCAGCTGCCTTCAGGATCTATCTGGCTGCAGGGACACCCAGCGATCTCACTGTGCCTCTTCCAGCCCTCAGCTCCCAGAAAGCAGCTCCAGGACTCGTTTCCAGCTCTCAGAGCAAACCTGCTCACTCTCCTGCAGGCTCTGGTGGGGTCCCACAGCCAGTCCGAGCTAAGGAGTCCCACCCTAGGCTGACTCTGCGTGGAGGCCACACAGAAGAGCTCATCACAAACCTGTTTGCTGAGTGGTCCCCGTGGGTCTTCTTGGAGCAGCAGGAGTATGTGAGAATTCTGAACATGTCTGTGAAGGCACTGCCATCAGGAGGTTTGGTGATGAAGAAGCTCTGCCCACATAAGAACACCATGAATGAGATCCCAATGCAGACTGTTGGGATGCTGTATCCGATCACAAAGCTCACGTTCTGCTGGATGTATGCAATGCCTCCCAGAGAGAGGATAGCTCCCAAATTAATGCTCCAATAAAACCAATTAAAAAATCTTCTTGTGGCTTCTGGACCCCGGTCTTTGACCTGGAGAAGATTAAAAGCAAGCCCTTCAGTTTCTAAAGGAAATAAGACTAAACAGAATTAGAATCTTTGAATTAGAATTCAAACAAGTTCAATACACTGAAGAGCTCAGGTTTCATTTAGGGTCACAGTGAAATGATTTAAGTGTTTTGGGCTTCACATGGTATTTGATGAAATGACACCTCAGTGAGAGCTGCACCATTATGTGAGTAACCTTCTAGAAGCTCAGCACAGGGATAAAAAAGCCACACTGCTGAGAGACACAGCTTCCCCAGAGAGGCCATTATTTCTACTGCACTGACTCTCACTGGGTCACTTCTCTACAAAAAAGCTCCCTCAGATTAACGTCCCATAGTCCACAGGACTTTATGTAACTATTTTTTAGTAACAAAAAGTTAAGCTACCTAAAAATTCATGTATTGCCATAACTGCCTCTTCTAACTTTATTTACGTAACAGTCAACAGTATTCCATTTTCTAAGCCTCAAATGAATACTTGGTACTTAAACGACAAATTTAATTTTTAACAAAGTCTTAATGCGTCTCATTAGAACACAAATTGAGCACTTGTCCTTCTGACCTTTAAAAAAAATTAATTAAATTTGAATTGCCTGAGGATCACAAGGCCCCAGTAAATATTTATCCCTGTAAGTTCAGTGCTGTTCATAGTGTTATTTTTTCTGTCTGAAGCTCTCAGTGTCTCTCCAGTGAAAGTAAAGAGATCCCTGGTTCATAGAACCATCCTGTACAGTTTCACCATCCCTCTTTATTACTGCCTACTCTAAGTTACCCCACGGTTTGTAATTCAGTCCCAGGAATCCAGCATCACTCATAAGAGGTGATGTAAGGGAAATGATGCAAATTAAAATCTGAAATACATTAAAAAGATCGAGGAGTCTGTAGAAGAATCCATAATACTGCATTTGTCAGTGCTTGATGACTGAAAGGCCATTAACAGTGACTAGCAAGTCAGTGCCATGCACCAGCCTGGCTGAGTCAGTTATTTTTCATTTGCAACTGCAAATTCCCCCTCCTCATTTGCCAGATCTTCACAACACCCATATTTAGTTTGCAAGCTGTGTCTTAAAATGAGTTTTTAACACTGTCAGTTCTGATTAACAGCTTCAGGTTTCCCAGTGGTGCAGAAACCCATCTGTACCATTCAGCCAAGCCCCACAAAGGAAATATTAAAGTATCTATTCCTGTGCAGAGTTAATAGCATTGCCAGGGTGCATCTGGTAGACTGTCCAATTCAATCCTGGAGACTAAACCCAAGAAATTCTCGCTCTCCAGCTTCAACTTGGTACTCAGTTCCTAACTTTCATCAACTGCAGCAGTGGCTCAATCCAGGAATTCCTTCTAAAGCCCAATGAGCAGCAGGATATTAGCAAATAATTACATGGAACACAGTGCTCCAAGTTGTGTAAGTGTTAGCAATCTCTTTGATGAAGTTTCCATTTCTTCATCACAAAGTCTCAGTTCTCTTATTTCTGCAAGGCAGATGACTTCTCATCCTCCCTCCTGCACATGACCTTGCTGACATCTCTACAAAGGAAAGCTGGGAGAAGAAAGCAAACTTTGAAGCAGGTAAGAACAGGGAAGAACCATGAGGCTTCTGACAAGCATTATCCCAGCCTCCAACCATTAGCTCCTGAGAAACTTCCTGAACCAAGGATGGCTTCTTTCTGCTTAATCAATGCAGCAGCTCTCTCTCCATGAGCTTGTGTAACCTGCCTCTGAACCCAGGTCAGCTTTCAGAACCCACAGCATCCCGTGGCAAAGAGCTCCACAGGTGGGGGGACAACCTCCACTCGCCTGCTTTGAACCGGCCCCTTCCGAGCCTTTCTCCTTTCCCCTTGCTCCAGGAAATGGCACAGACAGTCCAGCTCCATCCCATTGCTGCTCCAGGGACAGCCCAGCTCCATCCCATTCCTGCTCCATCCCATTCCTGCTCCCCTGCTGCCTCTCTCCACTGACCACTGCTGCCACAAACCACTGTCACATCTTCCTTTTCGTTGCCTTTTCAGGGATAGGAAATTTAGACTGATTTGTGATTCCTCACCTGGAAACTACTGACCATGTTCATGGCCCTTCCTGGAAACTTCCTTCACCATCTCCAGTGTCCTTTTTGTAACAGAGTGACCAAAAGGAAGGCAGTGCTTAGAGGACAGACACACCACAGACTTATAGTGCAAAGAATACATTTCCTCCTTCTTTATCAAAGCATGTATTTGCACTAAAAATCACCTCGCAGCCACGTCTGAAATGCCACTATGGCATTTAACTGGCAAACATTAATAACTGAATAAAGGTCCCACTGAACTACCTGGTGGGATATCTTCTCAAAGACAAAGAACTATGAAGATGTCTTGTCAAAACCCCACATGAAAGGAACATGATCATTCAAAAGTTCCTGCCAGCAGCAGTTTTCATTTGTTTCCTGCAGTCAACTGACAGTCACAAGTGACAAATGTGACAAACACCCCCAAACTCATCCCAGTCAACTCTGAGAGCAACCACACAAGAGAGCAGGGATGGAACAGAGAGCCCTGTCCTCGTCCTTAGCCTACAGAGGAAGGTACCATGACAAGGTGCAGTCAAATTTACAGAATCCTGACCCTCTAATCCATCACTGCAGACAACCACTTAATTTTTGAGATCATCTGAGAGAGCTGGGTAGCTGAGCTCCAGTGTTACTCTGCTGCTACATAATGTCAAAGTTTATTACTGACATTCTGCAAGTCCGCATATAAAGTCTGTTCCTCTCCCATCCATCATTACTGGCCTTGTGAATGCCACAACTTGTTTCAAACTTGGTTCTCTGCAGAGCCTCCAAGGTCCACAGGCTCATAAGAAGTTTGACAGCAGCAACAACAAAACAAGTTGCAGTCAGGGACCTTCAAACCTTTTTACATGGCTCCCCATCCCCATCCTTATCCAGAGGCTGGAAAATCTATGGTCTACAAATAAACAAAAGCTGAAAATCACTCCAAAGCCATCTTTACAGCAGTAATTTCCAATAGCAACTGCAAAGCACAAATTTTAGCAGAGCTAGAAGATCTCTGTCAGTCATGGCCTGATAGATTTATTGGCTGTGAAGGCAGTTCAGAGGGCAGCCACAGTGTGGGTGAAATCTGACCTCTCTGATCGCTGTAACCCTGAAAGAGATCCAGCTATAATTAGAACAATTATGGCTGATACCAGATTAGGAGTCTGCTGCTATTCTGCCTTCATGCTGGAGCTGGCCCAGCTTTCACAAGGGTGACCAACAGCCCATTGTTTCCCAAGTGCAGAAAGCCAAACTGCTCCAAGAACAGGAAGTGTCACAAGCACTCCACCAGAAAGGGGAACTGGAAAGTGCCAGGTTGTGGATCACATGAGCAGAAACACCATTCTGAGAACCTTCCCCTGGGCTTGCAGCAGCACCACAGATCAGCCTGCAGCTTCAAGGAAAACATGATCAACACAGCTGAGAAAAGCTGTCTGTCCCTGCTTTGCAGGAACTCTCTTTGCTACGCTGACTGGTGGAAGTTACTCCATCCTAATGATAGTAAAAGGGTTTTAAAATCATGGGGATTTGGGGAGTTAGAAGGAAAATTAAGCTTAGTAGGCCCTGGGAAAATACCCTGGGAAAGTATAGGCCTTGTACTTGTTAGAACTGCACCTGTGTAGCTAGTACATGATAAATGATATAATTGTTAGATGTGATGATTGTTTAGAAATTAAATATAATTACTGTTTAAGCATAAGAATAATCATGAGAAACTGTAGTCAGGGCCTTGAAAAACATCACGAGAAAGTAATGGTTGAATAAGATCAATGTATACAATAGAACAATATAAGTTTAATAATTAATATGTAAGTTATATAACAATAGAATATAAAATACGTTCAGCTCGAGAGCCATGTGGGAGTCAGATTTGGGTCTGCACCCCTGATTCCAGAGCTCTCAATAAAAGCACCTGTATATAATGATATCCTGTGATTAGGTGTGTTCCTGAACAGTAACACTAACTTTACAACACTTCTAAAAACAGGCACTCAACTGAGAGTTAGAAACCACAGCTTCCAACTTCAGAGAAAAGTAAGTATTGCAATTCAGTTTCCGATTTTCCACAAAGTGATTCTGCTAAATAAAGAAACCTCTCCTTGTACAAGAGCTCTCCACCCTAATTCTATACACACGTTAAAGCTGAGAAATTTAAATGTAATAAACATTCTGAAAGGTGACCGTGCCAACTAAAGTACATAATATACAATTCATCCCTTCCTTTGGGGAAAGAGGACAAATGTTATCAGCACACAAATCCAGCCAAAACACGTCTGCAATGTGCTCTGGCCTCCCAAGAATGAGGCTCTGGGATGGACTTTATTCTCAGATACACAGACAGGTAGATAGAGATGCACACAGATATAGATATACAGCTATATAGATATATACTCATCTCACCAGCAGTTTTCTACATTCCTATGCAGGGAAAAGGCACCCAAGAGGGCCCCAAACTGCACTCCAAGGTAAGTGGCATGCTGTAATATATTTAACAAGAGATAAGCCAGAAAAAGGGAGAAGGGGAAAAATTCAGACCTCAGCAGAGCTCCACTGATTATTATGGCCCAGAAAGGATATTTCTTTTGCTTCACCCTACATAAATCACTGTGAATTATCTGCAAACCCAGCCAAAACCTGCTTTCCTTGAAATCCTAGGGGAAAAGCCTCTACAAAATCCAGCTACAAGAGCTATGCTTCCATTGGCAATGGTTCTTCTTTTGCTCTGTTCCTGCCATTATTTATCTCCCATATTTAACTTTCATAAAGTGTTCTGGGGATAAGCAGTCAGTTTTGAAAAACACCTTACAAGATAAAGCCATATTAAAGCTATTTCACTTGATGGGCTCAGGCTGGCTTAAGCAGAGCTAATGCACTAGGGACACACAATCCTGGGCTGTAATAATGTTATACATTTCTATACTGCCTTTCACCCAGAATTTAGAATACACGAAATGCAAACTGCACAGCAGAGAACAGAGGTATGTTTGGCAATGATTCTGTGGTGGATTCTCCCTCTTTCAAAGAATTCATGGCAGTTCTGGTAACTGCTCTAACCAGAACTCAGTGAGCCAACAAACAGACATGCAACTGGACTTTCAGTTTAGTTAGAAAAGCTGCTAGGCAGCACCTGAGCATATTGAAATTCTCCATTTATTAAAGCAGAAATTACATTTCAACATCCAGAGCCAGCACACCGCCTTAGCACAGGGCTGTAAAAAAAGCACATGTAGCAGAGCGTTCCAGTTGCTGCTGAGCTGCAAGTTGCCTCTCAAGTGTTTTCTGTGCAGCCCCTGGGTTCTGCAGCGATGACCCAGTGAATGACAGCACTGTGGCGGGTCCCCATGAGGTCATTTGACAGGATGTGTCCTTAGGAACAGCCCAGGTGATGTTTACCAGGATCAGAGCAGCTTCCCCCATCATATGATGCAGCACGAGCCTGCACAGAAATGCCACTCAAGGGCAGGGCAGTGCAGTGCACAAATATCCAAAGCAGAAAAACTGTTGGTTCTGCAGCCTTCCTTTACCACAGAATGGCAAAGGCCTCTGACACTGCCTTAGAAGGCCCATGTCATCCTTGTCACAGCTACAATGTGTATCTTGTACTTCATCTGATGAGCTCTGAGGTCAAATTTGGTACAAACTCACCAGCGTGGACAATTAACAGCCCACTTAATGGCCATTAAGTATTCAACCCAAGTCCGCAAGCCGGTGATGGCTTAGCCAACTCAGACAGTACAGCTAGGGCAGGGAAACCAGGAAAGCAGGGCTCCTGAGGGATCTGACAGCGCACGGGCACCAGGAGGATGCCGAGCTGAACAGTGCAGTGCCAGGGAGCAGAGCCGGTCCCTGCAAGGCCCAGCACCTGCAGAGAGGTCGGTCAGTCACTGGGCAGTGCCCACCCACCGAGGCAAGCCCCTGCGCCACCCCCGAGGCTGCACAGCCGCCGGACGATACTGGACCTGGTCTGCCCCGAACGGGGTGATGTTGGCCTTGACCGAGCCGACGCCCAGCCCCACGAGGACCAGTCCCACGAAGGTGGCGGTGGCGCAGTAGCGGGTGGCTCCCGCCTGGGAGCAGGGCACCGGGGTGGCGTTGGCCGCCGGCGAGGAGCAGTTCTCCACGGGGAACAGGGGGATGTCCCCGCAGAGGCCCTGGCGGGTGTGCGGCGCGGCGATGACGGGGAAGGCCAGCATGCCCAGCAGGTACAGCGCCATGCTGAGCAGGATGGTGCCGAACTTGCCCAGCAGGGCGTCGGCCAGCCAGCCCCCGAACGGCGACACCAGGTAGGTGATGCCCATGAAGAGCAGCAGCGCCTGGCTGGCCTGGGCGCCCTCCCAGCCGTAGGGCGGCCCGTTGAGGAACAGCACCAGGTTGGAGGTGATGCCGTAGAAGGCCACTCGCTCCAGCAGCTCGGCCAGCAGCACGGCGGCGCAGGCCAGCCGCCGGCCCTGGAAGGCGCTGCTCGCCGCCCGCCCGCGCTCGCCGCTGCTCAGCAGAGGGCTGCGCTCGCCCGGCTCGGCCGCGTCCATGGCCCCGCGTCCCCCGGGCCCGCCGCGGCCGCGCCGCGCTCCCGGCCCGCCCGGCGGGGCCCGCCCCCCGCGCAGCGCCGCGCCGCCATTGGCGGAGGGTGCTGTCACTCCGCCGCGCCCGGCCCCGCCCCCGGCATCGGCGCGCTGCCATTGGTCGAGAGCGCTGTCACTCCGCCCGTCCCGCCGGAGTGGGGCGGAGCGGGGCGCGGCGGGGCGGAAGTGGCCCGGCCGTGAGGGAGCCCCAGGGGCGGGGAGGTGCGGCACGGTGTCCGTCAGAGCGGGCGGGGAGGAGGTGCGGCACGGTGTCCGTCAGAGCGGGCGGGGAGGTCCCGCACGGTGTCCGTCGGAGCGGGCGGGGAGGTGCGGCACGGTGTCCGTCAGAGCGGGCGGGCGGTCCGGCACGGTGTCCGTCAGAGCGGGCGGGAGGTCCGGCACGGTGTCCATCGGAGCGGGCCGGGAGGTCCCTCACGGTGCCACTAAAGCGGCCGGCCCGTCTCCCCTCACGGTGCCCATCAGAGCCGGGTACCCGGGTGCCCGGCTCCTCTCCCCGCTTTGTCTCGGCCGCGCAGGGAAGCGGGTTCTGCCAGCACCCCCGAAGCCTTGGGGCCCAGAGGAACGGAGCTCTGCAGCCCCCCTGCCCAGGCAGGCTCACCTGGCGCAGGTGCGTTTGGAATGCCCGCAGGAGCCACCGCCTCCCTGGGCAGCTGCTCCCGTGCTCTGCCATCCTCAGTGAAAAGAAATTCTTCATGAGAGGCGGAACTTGGGCTTTAGTTGATGTGTATTGCTCCTCATCCTGTGGCTGGGCACCACTGAAAAAAGCCTGGCACCAATTTCTCGCCCTCTGAGATATTTATATGCATTTATGGCATCCCTTCTCAGCCTTCTTGAGACTAAACAGGCCCAGCTCCCACATTCTCTCAGAGATGCTCCAGACCCCAAATCATCTTTGGGGTTTTTAGGGTTATTTAATGCTGTAGTTTAAGGTTGTCTCACAAGGCCTTTCAGCAGGAAAAGGTGATAAATGTGCACTGTAAAAGGCTGATTTTATATGTGTTTTTATGTGTTTGGGCCTGGCTCAGCACCCAGGATGTGCCTGGTGACTCAGGGGTGGGAGCAGCAGCTGGGTGTGAGGGCGTGCAGGAATTATACAGGTGCACATGGAGAATGGCCACTGATTTCAATGGGACAAAGCATGTGGTTAAAATGGGAAAACATAAATCAGCAGTTGCAAGATTACAACCCTGAGATGTGCTGCAATTACACATGTTGAGGTAAAGGTTGTGAATGTATGACATTGTCTTCAGCAGCAGATCTTAAAGTCTGATTTTTGGCCAGAACAAAGTGGGTAAGACACTGCTGGTTGTGTGTTTTCAGTGAGAAAGTTAAATCTATTGACATCATGTAGTTACATACCAAACATTTAGGCATGACTTACTTTGGAGCCATGTTGGTAGGGGAGCAAGTGATGCTTGTAAAAGTAAATATATTCATTCAATAATGGGCCTTTGTAAATAACATATGCCATAAAAATGACTCATTAAATATATTTGCTTTCTTAAGCAGTTAAGAAATTTCATGACAAAGGACAATGAGGAAAAAACAACCAGCTCCTTGTGAACTACTGTAACGTGACTGATTCTGTAACAAAATTACATTTCATCTTTTCCTAACTTAATACAGTATTGTCCTTGTCTTACTTTAACGTTTGCGGTTTTGTCTTCTTTGCGTTGCACACTAAAGGTGTAGGACAGCTTTTGTTAGCACAAACGTGGCTTTCTGAGGCACAGGCAGATATCCCGCTTCAGGGGACGCCTGGAGAATCTCCGTCTTGGGTGGCACAGGCTGCTGTGGGCACACAGTGCCAGAAGTGTTGGGTGGCACAGGCTGCTGTGGGCACGCAGTGCCAGAACTGCCGGCTGACACACCTGGATGAGGTGCGGGGCGATGCTGGAGCCAGGAGGGGCCGCAGGGCAGCTGTGCAAGCTCACACAGCCTGCAGGACACCTTCAGCTCGGGACAGTCAGGAGCCCAAATGTGCTTCTCGTGGGCCGCTTCAAGGCTGCACTCCTGGCCAGACTGACACCAGCCCTCCCCATCTCAGCAGGAGTGGGATTCCCTGCCAGCAACACTCTCTAGAATGGTGACAAAACCATTCGAGAACCAATGGTTTGTTTCTGCCTACCCTTAGATTAGCGTTTACCCTATTTTTACCATTTCTGCAGGATGTGTTGCTCTTCTAGGTGGCAGCCAAAATTTTTAGTTCCAGTGGAATTTGGCCTAAAGAATGTTGTGCTAAATCTAAGTGATAACTCAGGGAGATGCAGCTAACACAGCTCTGCAGCACTAAGATTCATTAGCAAAACATGAGCCTGCCTAACAAAATGTTTACAGTTTGCCAGAACCCACTCCAGTGTGTGTTTTTACAACTTCTAAACCCTCAATTCCAGAACACCTGTTAGCCTCAGTAATCCACACAAATTATTGGAAGAAGTACTGTTTCAAAATTATTAAATTCAATATTCTTCAGCATGTGGTATGTTTTTCTTTATCTACCTGTCACTGAAATTTGAAGAGTAATTTAGGCCACAATAACAAGGCACCACAGTTTTTGAAACCCACTTTTCCCTGTCTTCTCCAGCCTTTGGGGAAGCTGGCACCTGTGTGACCCTGTGGTGAATTACATCAGGCAATCAGGTTATAAGCAAAAAAGTGAGTTTTGTGTCCAATCACCCCCCCTCTCATCACCACCAATGTCCTGCACCTGGTCTCAATACTTTTACAAGATGTTGAAACAAGCTGAGGTGAGTATGTGCCATCAGCCACCTGTTTCCAATAATCTCCCACTGAACTCCCCAAACTGGCCTCTCACCTTCCTGCCTGCTGCCCCACTCAGCTGTTCTGTGTTTGTGGCTGTAACTGCCGTGCACCCCTTTATCCTGAACACTGGCTGGCTGCTTTGGGATGTGCTTTTCTTTGTCTGGAGCTCAGCTTTGTTCCTTTTTCTTCCCTGTTCTGTTGTATCTTTGGGTTCTGCTGTTGCTGTGGTTTCCTGCCTTTTCCCTGGTCTCACGCACCTTTGGTTCTGCTTCTTTATGTGTCTTTCCTGATGCGGGGAGTGGTCTTTGACCATGCCATTGCTTTATTCTTCAGACTAACACATTCCTCTGGCTGTTCTGGCGGTTGGCATCTTACCCGCATGTAGGTTTTTCCTGTCGGCATTCCTGCACCGACATGAGGCACCTCCGGGGTGGCACCGGGAGGCAGAGGCCGCGATGCTCTTCTCAGGAGCCCTTTAATGGACAATCTGAGGCTGTCGTCTCTGTGCCCAGCGGGGTCACAGCGCCGTGCCGAGCCGCGGAAGGCACCCGGAGCTCTGGCTGGGTAGCCAAGTGCCCTGTGCCCGGCAGCAGCCGGCCAGGCCGGCCCATCCGCAGCGCTGGGGCCGCTCCGGGCCCGCTCCGCAGCGCCGTTTCCGGGAGCCGCGGGCAGGTGAGGCGGCGGCGGCGGGCGGAGCGGAGCGGGGTGGCCGCGATGAGGCTGCTGCTGCTGGCGTGTCTGCGGGCACACACCGGCAACGCCACCACGGCCGCCAGGATCCAGTAAGTGCCGCGCTGCCGAGGATGCGCCGCGCTCCGCGCCCGCCATGCGCTCCCCGCGCCGGCGCACGGCACAGGCGGCTCCGCCGGCCCGGCTGAGCGGGGGCGGCCGAGCCCGGGCACCGGGGATGGCACCGGGGATGGGCACCGGGGATGGCACCGGGGATGGGCACCTACCGGGGGCAGCCACCGGGGATGGGCACCCACCGGGGATGGGCACCCACCGGGGATGGGCACCGGGGGCACCCACCGGGGATGGGCACCGGGGGCAGCCACCGGGGATGAGCGCCGCGGCCACCCACCGGGGGCACCCACTGGGGATGGGCGTTGCGGGCACCCACTGGGGATCGGCACCGGGGGCACCCACCGGGGATCGGCATCGGGGGCACCCGCTGGGGATGGGCACCGGGAGCAGCCACCGGGGATCGGCACCGGGGGCACCCACCGGGGATGGGCACCCACCGGGGATCGGCATCGGGGGCACCCGCTGGGGATGGGCACCGTGGGCCGGCACCGGGGGCACCTACCGGGGATGGCACCGCGGGCACCCACCGGGGATGGGCCCCCACCGGGGACGGGCACCGCGGGCCGGCACCTCGGGCACCCGCTGGGGGCACCCACCGGGGATGGGCACCCACCGGGGATGGGCACCCACCGGGGAAGGGCACCCACCGGGGATGGGCACCACGCCCGCCCGGAGCGGCGCACGGCCGGCACGGGCTGCGCTCGCCCCGCAGCGTGCCCCGCACCGCCCCGGCGGGCAGCGGCCCGGGGGTGGCACGGGGCGGGTGAAGGGCAGCGGGGCAGCGGCCCGGGGGTGGCACAGGGCGGGTGAAGGGCAGCGGGGCAGCGCCCCGGGGCCGTCCCTGCTGTGCCCGAGCAGCTGTGCCAGAGCCGCTCCGCCGCTGCCCTTGCTGCGGGGCTCGACACGCGGGGCTGCGGTGCTGGGAAATCGCAGAATTATTCCCGGTGTCCTCGGTTAGCTCTCTCTGTGACGTCGAAAGGGGACGTGGCTGGGAGCAGTGCTGCTGGGGCTTCACTGTGCGTGTCAGCATTTAAAAAAAGGAGTCACTGTAAAAATAAAACCATTTCCCGATGGTTTTGTCCTCTTGAGGCCCTAAATAACGGTTTGGTTTCATCTTATCTAAAAGTCATCCACAGTTTAATCAGATTAATCTCTTGGGATATTCTGCTTGATCTGTGCACTATCTCACATGTGATGTTATACATAGAAACACCCTCAGACATTAAGTTTTCATGCTGCTTGTGTCATACCAAGTCCAGCCTCAGACTTCTGCAGGGCTATTCTGTTGTATGAGGTACTGGTAGGGCATATCTGCTGGTCCTGTCAGTCGCCCAGGCACTGAAGATAAAAAGTCCAGAGAAAGATGAAGGTTTTGCTATTTTAAAACAATAATTGTTACTAAAATTTTGAGACAAAACAAGTAAATTCTTTATGTGTATATATATATACATATATACACTTATTTTTATGCCTATACATTCCAGCAGAGTTCCTGTGGCATTCTGCATTTCCATTCTGCATTTCAAGAATGAAAGGTAAACTTAATTCGTGCTCACAGTAAAGCTGGGTAAAGGAGTCCAGTGGAAAGAGTGGTTGAGAGTAACTTGTCATGTTCAGTTCCTGTTTTATCACCAACTGTAAATGTTATTTATTGAATTAATATTAATGAGCCTTCAGGGAAAGAAAATTCTGATCAGGGAAAAAGAGTATAAGCTAGCAATTAAGTCCATCTTTCTGATTAAAAGGCTAGTCAGGTCATCACTAAAAGCATCCTGTGCAGATATTTCTATCAAATACTGATTTTCTTAAGACTGTATGCCATTCAAAAAAGCCCACAAAGCCTATATGTGTGGCCAAAGGCTTGGCTGTGTCACTTCTAACACTAATCTGCCATACCTGAGGTTATGTGCATGTGGTAAACTTTGTATCACGTATGTTAATACACATCAAACACATATCACAGTTAATATTTGGCCTCAGCTGTCTCTCTGTGTGTGCTTAGGAAGTTATTTGTTCAATTTGTTTTCATTTGGAACTTTTGGTTAAATATAAATGAAACAATGACGTTGTCTCTGGGTTGAGTGCTTGCCAGCATAGACTAATTTTATGGCTTAATATCACAGTGTATACTCTGTTTATGATATTACAGCTCTTCCATTAACTGCTTCATCTTTTCATAAATAAGATACTCATTTCCTGAGTTTAAAGAAAGTGGTGACAAAGGTACCAGAATCTAATTTGGCTAAAAATCAACTTGTTAAAACAAGTGGTATAATGAATGTGCTGTGGGCTTTATTCCTATTGGTGTGCATAATCTTTAATCACCTTAAAAATATGAGCAATGAATAAAGAATACAGCACCAAGCAAAAGTCTTTACTTAGGCTGCCATTGTTCAGCCTTAGAAATGAGATCAAAGAAGATGTCAAGGAAGAAAAGAAATTATTCTTCCCTGCCCCTTGAAATGTTTTGTTCATCTTTTATTACTTGGTAGTAAGGAGGAATAGAAATCTGGAATTAATAAGTTAATTAGAAAGATTTAGATTAACTGTTTTGCCAATATGTAAATGTTTTCTGGAGAGGGAGAAATTGTTTTGTCTCTCATTAACTGGCCAGTTGAGACAGCCATTCTGTAAATCTCCAGGTAATCAACTGCAAGGGAATTAAACCCACAAATCCAACGTTGTCAACATTCCTCTTGACAACTGGGTTTGAGCTTAGACATTTATTGGAGTTGTTAAGTAATCCAAACACTTCTACTATTTCGTTTTACCCTGTGTGCCAGTGTTGGAATCCCACAGGAGAACACTCCCAGGGCAGGGGATCCTCATGGCAGCTGTGGGACTCCTGCGCCTCCTTGGTGGCTCTGTCCAGGGGCTGGGACAGTCCTGCTGGGATGTCCCTGCTCAGGCTGGGACATTCCTGCTCAGGTTGGGACATCCCTGCTGGGACATCACTGCTGGCTCTGTCCAGGAGCTGGGACAGTCCTGTTGGGGCATTCCTGCTCAGGCTGGGGCATCCCTGCTGGGACATCCCTGCTGGGGCATCCCTGCTGGGACATCCCTGCTGGGACATCCCTGCTGGGACATCCCTGCTGGGACATCCCTGCTGGGACATCCCTGCTGGCTCTGCACAGCCATCCCCAGAGCAGGAACCTGCAGGACAGGTGTTCATCTGCACCTTGGCACGAGATCCATCGTTTACAGGGGCTGCCCTGGGTACCACCATGGTTTGCACTGCAGGAACTGTTCGTAGCACAGGTTGAAGCTTTGCAGAGCTCTTTGGTCCTTCCAAAGCTCAGGTACTGATTTCAGAACACAGGAGGAGCTGGTCCCATCCACACTCACAGGAATTTTTAATTCCTGTGATTCGCAGTGAACTTTATTCATTGTTCGCTCATGCCAATGCAATTTGTGTGTGTTGTGTCAAGGAGAAGTTTGAGAGGGAAATGAACTGAAGGACATGTTGTTTTAACAATTCTGGAAAAACAAGTTCATTTACAAAGAAAACAGGAGATCAGGCAGGGTTTCAGCTCTTGTAATTTGATGGGCTTCAGTGGGAATTGTGAGTATTCAGGTCTGGCCAAGTTTCTGAGAGGCAGTGCAAGGCTCTGCTCCCTTAACAAGCTCTGAATTGTGCCATATACATTTAGCAGTAGTTGGTGCACAGCTGCTGTGCAGAGCAGACAGCTGAGGGAAAGAGATAATTAATATTTTGGGACGAAGCCTATTTTGTGCCATTCAAGAAGTGTCAGTGTATCCACCTACCAGGAATTTTTTGGAAATCAAACATTCTTTGTCTGCAAGTAATTCCATTAAATCAGTATCAGTTGAAATTTAGAGTGTAAATGTTTCTGAAAGGAGACATCACAGAAAACAGCAAGTTTCACAACCATAATACCTTAGAAATAAGCCCACTTTCAACTCCTGAGCCTTCTCATCAGCCAGGCTGTGTTTGGAACTCTAAAACTGTTTTCTTATATGAAAACCTGTGAACTGCAGATTCATGCTGAAGGAGGGGAGACTGCAAGCCAGGAAGAGTGAGAAGTAGTGATCAATTATGTAGGGAATAAAAAATTAAACATTGTAAAACATTGCTTGGTATTTCACAGATGTGTTAGAGAAAAATGTTTTTTGTGTAGAGATCTCTGAGTGAAAATGTGTCAGAAAAGGGCTGTACCTTTTAGCAGGATCTCTGCACACAGTATAGATCCAGAGAACACACTTAAAAATGTCACTTATAAGCTCTGTGATTGCCAAAGAGCATAAAAAATGTACCAAACAAAAGAGAAATTAATTTCCTGAATGCTGAAACGAGGGAGACTGGGAAATTCTTTGTCCAATACTCAGGTGTGTATTAATAGCCCAGAGTAAGCAGTGGCCAGTATAATGTGCTTCTAAAAATGCTCTATCACATTTACTGAATGGCTGAAGTTCTCCTTGATGCTTTCTGCCTAGAAAAACACCCAAAATCTGGGATCTGACAGCTCACCTCCACTGCAGAAATATTATTTCCCCAAGTCATGGCATTGGCTTCCATGAGAGTTTCAGTAGAAGGGAAGAACATGGCAAGGCAAATTCTGGATCCGAGCAACGTCAGGGTTTGTTAAGACATTTGGGAATTTATCTCCTGCATTAAGAACTGTGCTAGAGAGAAAATGTAGCCTTGAGATTTAGCATTTCCAGTGTTGTCTTTGATTCCCAGACAGCAGGAGCTGGGTTAATTCTTATTTCTCATTCACAAGGTATTTGTTTATGAAATGGCAAAATAATGTGAAGAGGCATTTGCCAGCAGGAGAAGAGATCTGGATAATGTGTCTCCTCTGCCTTGGCTTCATTCAGGGACATCTGTGACTTCGCAGACAGATCAGTCTTCCAAAAAAATCCCCTGCAACAACTTTGCAGCACTCTCTAATCATGTTCCTTGGTAACAGCATATGTGTGAAAATCAGTCTGCTTTTCTTGGTTGTAAAGATGAAAAGCCATTTAGAAAACATGAAAATAACACTGTAAATTTCAGTACTTAAATACTACCCAATAACTCAGCTTCTACACACATGTATTTCCATATATGCATAATTTGGAGCTTGTGATTAATGTTACCAAACTCAATGGAATGTTTAGGGGATCAAGGCCTCTTTAAATCTGGGAATTTGAATTATTCTGGGAATATTTGCTTATTTTTCCTTCTAAAGATGTATGCAATTTTTTTTTACGTGTTCCTGAGTAGAATAAAAATCTGTTAAAAAAGAAAAAATTGAAGTTTTAGAGGTAATGCACAATTTCTGAGCCTTGGAACACTTGAGGGAGTCCCTCTCTATTTACTGCAGGAGCAGCTGTCATTCCCCAGGGAGATGTGGAGCTGTGGAAAGTGTGCAGGAGAAGTAGTCATCCCTAGGATATTTTACAAAAACCCTATTTTCGGTTGGCATTCCTGGCTGAGTTTCTTGATTCCTGAGGTCCTGAGAGAGTTATTTTCAAATTAATTGAAATATGCAAACATATTGCTTGTACATGATAGTGATTTATGGTAATTGGAATACTGATGGAAAAAAATCCTTTTAGACCATTTAATGAGCACCTGTGAAATTATGGAATGCATGCACGAGCATCCCAAGTATTTGCCAGAGAGATTTTCTCTCCACAGCTGGGAGATTTGGGCATCATTATTGTGATATAAATTGAGAACCTCTTTCAAGAGCAAGGCAGGTACTTGGAACCAGTTCATGGGGCAACTGGTGTTAATAATTGCTCAGCAGTGTACAGAAGGAGCTTAAAATGTGCCTGTGTTTTAATATTTATTAGCATTTATCATAATTTATTGGTCTCGTTGTGAACAGTGGAATTAAAAGGAGTTTCTTTTTAGGATAGGGAAGAAATGCAGCACCATATGTTGTGCCAGTGGAGCTCTGGCTGATACAGTGCTAATACATTCCTTCCAAGGCCTCCAGACATTTTACAGCACTTTTAGCACCAGTTTCTGCAGGACAGAAAATCCCATTTCTTGGGAGGCTGTGCAGTAATCAGGAAATGAAAGCCAACATTATCCAGGAAGTCAATGAGTTAGCAGGATTTTAATGCCAGCACAATTAACACACAATGAGAAATCAATCCACTGCCACAATAGGGAATAAGCAGAGAACGTTCTTGTGGTGGTTTTGTGCTCCTGACAATGCAAAGCCTCCGTGGCAGCAGACACAGATTTTCTCTGTGTTTTTTGGCTGATGTTCTTGGGAACATTGATACCTGACTGTGTTTCAGGGGAGGAGTAAAGCTGTGACCCATCAGTTCCTCGAGCCTGGCAGCCTTGGCATCAGTGTTTTCATGTGAGAGCCACTCTAGCTGAAGGTGAATGGCTAGGCTGATGGTCAGGGGTTTTTTGTTGGGTTTGTTGTTTCTTTTGTTTGGAACTGAGATTTTTAAAGCAGGTTATGAAGGTATTTGTATAAGTATTTTTGTATAGTTTTTTGCTTATACTTCAATTGTCCTTTTCCTGGTTGATAAATGAGTGAGCTAAAACAAGAAGCAGTGAAACCCACCATCAAACAGAAGGGGAACCCAGTTCAGCTCCCTGGCCTTCTTGAGGCATTCATTTTTGATGTTCTGTGTTTCTAGTAGCACTGACTAGCTGGACATGTTTGTGCTTTCTTCACTTGGTGTCCTTTCTCCAGAACAGGGATCTGAGAATCTCTGAGAGCAAGGTCTGACAAAACCTGCAAAAGGAGCGTTTCAGAATAATAAGTGTTGGGTCAGGAAGGGGCCTGGGCATACTTCATTTTTTCTGATTTTTGGAAGTTGTGTTGATCAGGCTTGGCCCATGCAGTGTTACATTGCGTGGAAGCTGTGCCTTCACAGTGCTGAGGATAACAAATATCTTCCAGGAGAAAAACCAGCCTTGTAAACAGCTCCTGGTTGCTTGAACAAAAAGGCATAAAGTTGAAAGTCAGAGCAAAGTTTAAGGAAAAATGTTTTGATTAAGTTTGCTTCATATACTGGTGTGCCTAGTACATTAATAGTGATTTATTTATTCTTTTTTTTTTCTATTTGTTCCAATAATGAAGGAATCATCTACATGCTGCAGGTCATATCTGTGTTCTTAAAGATGCTTTCCTGTATGAAAGTCCAGCAGAAATAGCAAACCTGACCTCCACAGACAAGTTTGATGCAGCCCTGGCCATTCACCTCTATAAAGGAGGCAGACTGCTGCAAGGTAATCCTCTTTCTGCTTGGCAATAAAAATACTCCTAAAAAAGTCCTGCAAGGGGAGAGAATGGATCCTAACTGTTATAAATGGCTATAAAAGTATAAACCCACACAGAATATCCTTACTCTGTTTATCCACTTCAGCACACCTTCAGAAATGCTGAAAATCCCTCTCAATGGGAGATCTGATACAGGGAGAACGAAATAAATGTACTTTTAAACCACACAGTGCTTTTGATAATTAGGTACTTTGACTACATCAGGATAAGAGCATTATATTAATATTAAGATCCTTTCAGCAAATGTGTTTTTTCAGAGGACAATGGCTTGGAGAAGTAGAGCTGGGCTCAAATGGAAGAAGGCAGGGAGGCTAATTTGATTTTTCTGCTCAAAAATGACTCAGGGTTTTTCGACGTGAAATAACATTCCTGTCAGCTAACTGTAGGAGACAGGATGTTATCAGACAAATAATAAAATTTTCTATCCTCTCTAGCCACGTAGAACAAAATTTTAGCCTGCCACTAATGATAGACTAGAAGCACTGGCTCTGAAATTACAGGCAGTCACCTACTGAAATTGCAAGTGTGCATCCTGTGCTGAGACCGCCCTGTATTGCAGAATCTGCTCCCTGGAACACAGGCAGATAATTGCATCCTTCACTGAGCTGGGGGCACTTCTGCTCTGGAGACCTCAGCAGTGCCCCCAGTTTGCCCTGGGGGTTTGCAGACAGCCTGAATTACCACTCTGCTGTGCCTGGGTTGCTTTTGTTCCAGAGGGGCTCTGATGTCAGCAGGACCTGAAGTACAAATACAAAACGAGTCTGTAAAATGAGCTGTGCTAACCTAGGAATTAAGGCTTGTTGGAACATAGAAATGAGTGGGTTTTTGACAAGACCTTGGATTGTTTTGGAAGAGGCGTATGGAAAGTATGAGCACCACATTTTTGGGGATTTTTGCTGAGGAAAAAAATATAAAGTTGAATTTTAACTGTTTATTGGAGTAAAATTTACTGGCGTTTCACTTGCATGGAAATGCCCAAATGCTGATGCTGTTATCTTTTCAAAGTCCCAAGTAACTTGAAAAGCCTGATACTTTACAAAAGCTCAGGAATTTAAATAAATCAGTTAACCTGTTCTAAAAAGTATCTACAGTAACTTAAGGAAAAATAACCCCAAAATCTCTGAAAGGCAGGGCAGTAACAGTAAGATTGCTGAGATGATCACAGTGTAAAGGTTATTGCAGACTTCTGGGAGGAAAAAAGGGATTCAGAGAAGTTCCTGGCTCCTGGAACATTTAGAAATGTTCTGATTGCACTCATGCCACCATTGCTGCCATGCTATTGATCTGCTTGGCCTCATCCTGGAAATTCTGTTCACAGGATCGACACACGTGCTAGATGGCATCATAACTGTTCACTTTTTAGTTTATAAAAGAGTCAGTACATATTTTAAATGGTATTACAGACAGCCTGTCTCTTGAAGATGAGAGGCAGTGGTGCTTTGATAGTGCACATTAATTCCCTCCACCTGCAAACATTAGAGTCTAATATCAACAAATGCCAAGGAAATTCTCCAAGTAGCCAGGTTGGTAATTAGTCTTTCATTCTTTTTGCTTGCTCTCTCATTTAGTAATGAGGAAATTAGCAATGCTAATAAATCCTGATCTCACAGCTCACATAACTGTCAAATACAAATGGGAAATCTATGGTACATTTTCTATTTTTATCGACAAACTTTGTTTCCCATTTGGTTTGATGTCCTGTGAAAGTGCAGTTATTGTGTGTGGGGTTACAGTGCTAAAAAATGAAAATTCAAGTTTCCTTTTCAAAGATTTCTGCTCAGATAGGTGATTCAGTATTATCAGTGTACTTTTTCACTCCCAGTCATTACATGGACATATTGGCCAACTTCTCATTGCTTTGCAGGGAGCAGAATTCCTTTTGGAATCATCTTTGGTGGGACAGATGTAAATGAAGATATCAAATGTAAAGAGAAGCGCCAGGTAATGGGAGCAGTGCTGGAGAAAGCCAGGTAAGAGCAGGGTGGGATTTCTGACAGGAAATTGCATTTTTGTATGGCAGATCTTTTGGGAAGTTTTCCATACAGACTTGGGATCACAGGAAGATTGTAGGCCAGCAGACAAAGGCTGGACTTTTGAAATCCTGGTGATCTTTACCTGTTATTGCCTGATATTTGATCAGAAAATGCAGTCTGTGTGCAGTCTGTTTGTTTGATCAGAAAATGCAGTCTGTGTGCAGTCTATTTGTTTTGTATCTCCCTGTTCCTCACACACAGCTTGTTGACAGAATGCCTGGCTGAAAAGTGGATCCCTCAAGTACAAGCAGATTTTTTTAATTTTATTTTTTTCTCCTGCTAATGTGATCCTTTCCCTGGGTCTATGAGCAAAGAAGCAGAAACTGAAAAAAGTCTTTCAGCAAATTCTCTCAGATTTTAGGTGAAATGATAAGGGAGTACTTTCAGGGTGTTTTAAAGTCTGGAAAGTTCTAGTGACATGCCAGTGTAGTCATCAAATGTAGATCAAGAATGATCACAAACCAGAGGAGATTACTAAAAACTAAAAATACTTCTGAGCATTTTTCATGGTTTCAGCATCCCCAGAAAAGTTTTCTGACTGGTCCAAAGGTCTGTTGACTTTAGCAGTGTTTGCTCATGGCCATGGTGGGGGAGGAAACCTTTTTGTTGTTGCAAACCTGGAGCAGGATGGATTTTGGGCCAGGCAGGATCTGCACCAGCTTCTCTCTCCTGGTTTAGCCTTGCTGATGCCACTCTATTTCCCAGCTATTATTGGCTCACTTAATGATGGCAGAGATGTGCTGCTCTGTCTGTAATCCCTGTAAAATGTGGTAAGTAAACAGATTTTAAAGGTAGCACTTAATCACACTCACTGAAGAATCATTAGGGCACGTTCTCAGTGTGCCTTGGAGCTGAAAGCAACTGAAGGTTCCACTCGGGAGAAAATTTATGAACTTGTTTACTTTTGTTACCAAATAATCAGAAGTTATTCTTTCAACAGGTCTGAAGGAAAAGAAAAAGATATCTAATATGTCAGATGAATTTCAGCACTGTGCAAAATGAGAAATACATACAAACCATCTCTCAGTGTGTCCATTTGATCCATCTCTGTTTAAAATATTGTCTGTCACAAATACAGCTATTACAAAAAGTGCTTTACTGAATGTTTTCTAGTGGTATTGAGCTGGGAACCTGAAGTACACATTAATAGCTTGAATTATCTATGCTATTTCAAAATGTATTACAACATCCTTATGCAGGTTACAATATTTTCTCTGCTACAGGAAAAGCATCTCGGTTTTCTAGAAGTTATTGTGAATGTAGCTCTTCTCCAGTAGCATCACTGCTGTTATTCATTGCACAGTTATTAAAAGAAACATTGATTTCTTTTTTCTTTATTGATTGCAGGGTTCTAAGCAGAAAGCATCATGAATTGTAGATTACCTGTCCAGTGCAATATCCCACCACATTCCATAAAGCAAACTATTGAGCACTGTCTAGCCTTATGAGTGTTTCCTTTTTAATCAAATTCCTCTAAATGGTGCTTGTACTCCTCTAGGGTATTTTTTTTCCTATTGAACAGTATTTTGTAGACTTAGAAGCAACATCTTTTTATGCTTGTTAGTGTGATGTATTGAAAGGATAATTGCAAAATCTGGGAAGGGAGCATGTGCAACTTGACAAAACGAGCATTTGCAGAGCTTTAATAACCTTAAAGCTGTCAAGTTGTGTGTGTGAAATTCATTGGAGGGCCATAAAGCAGATCCTACAGAACAAATGTAGGGGAAGAAGGTTTGTTTCAACAAAAAAATAGGAGTTATAATTCAGCATTTATGGGCATTCTAATGAATGGTTGTGATTTCATGCCCTCACATGATGACAGAACATCTGCAGTGGAGAAGCTCTGTCCTGGTTGTGGCTGTTGTGCTTTATCTCGAATCTTTAAGGTGTCAGAGGCTTGGCCCAGGACAGAAACATTTAGGAAATGACATGAAAAAGAAGCACTGAACCATCAGGGCAGTGTGTGATGACCTCTGTTTTATATTCAGTATCTCTACCAGGAATTTAAAAAGGTGTTTTGCTAAGCAGAAGCTTGGCTTGTCTCGTGGGAAGGAGCTTGGGTTGGACAGCCTGAGGAGCTGCTGCTGGTTGGAACGAGTCTTTTCTGCTTTCTGTCTTTCAGCTGGGATCAGCTTTGTAAGCCTCTGGTCTTAGTTCTTATCAAGGTTTTTAATGAAGTACTTTTTTTTTTTTATGTTTAAACACTTTAAGCAGATGATCCCAACTATTTTTGTCTTTTTAACCAGGTTTGCAGTGGCTTTCACAGTGGAAATGAAGGAGCTGGCAGCAGCAGAGTGGGTATGTTTGTGTGATGGTAATGCTCACAGTATTAGCAGATGTGCATCCTGCCAAAATGCGCCCTGAGTAGTGCTAGAGAATTGCAATAATCTGCATTGTTCCCAGCCCTGCTTGTCCTTTCAGACAAAGCATTTCATGTTGATGTACTTCAGCAGGTCAGAGAGATCTGCCATTAAAAGCTGTTTAGTATTAGAAGTGTAGAACAGTTTAGGAAGTGTTTCTCTACAACACTTAAATCATTTGTTGTTACCGAATCTCTCCTGATGCCAAATTGTTTCTTTTGGCATCATTTACTAAACTTCATGTTGACAAAATTCCTCCAGACAGCACTAGTTACAATACAGAACTTGGCAGTATGATTTAAAAACACTTGTTTTGTCAATTCTGGAAATAGAATGAACTTCTTAAGGTGAACTGCAGAGATAAATGAGATTTGCTGTGCTGAGCACAGGTCCAGGGAGGGGTGAGCAGGAGCCAGCAAGGCAGGACTCCCTCCTGCAGGGAGGTGTTGGCTCCATCAGCTCACCTTGGAAACAGCAGCTGAAGCTGAACAATTAATGCCAGGAGCTGAAACAAAGCGCTTGGTTCCTCTTCAGTTCTAATTTGCATCACGGTATAACCATTAATGCACTCTTGCCTAAAAAATAATCACTGAGAGTGGAGCTGGCTCAACACAGCAGGAGGATATACAATATCTTATTTCAGCATTAATTGATTTTTAAAGTCTATTTGCATTAAAAGATACATGAGCAGACATGGGATTTGGTATTTTATTTTACAAATGTAATTTGGTTTTAATAGTTACTACAATGAACTTCATGATGGGTAAATGGGAAAGGGCACAGCTTCTGTCAGAGATACTAAGCAAGAAAAGGACAAAAGTAACAGAGTGAAGGAGAAGAAATCAAATTGAGCTTTGAAATAATTTCAAAATCAGCACCTCAAATGCTTTTAGGTACCAAGCTTTGATTTTACCTGAACACTTTTGTACTCGGGGCTGTGAGATCGATTCAGTGTTCTGGACTCTGTGGCAGGCAGGGAGCTGGAATCTGTCATGTCCCAAGCTGAAATGCCAGCTGCTGCCCTGTGCCCAAGTGCTGGAGCTGCTGCTCTGCTGCGTCTGTGTGTGGGGGCTGAGGGCAAATGCCTTCATCTCTGCTCCCAGGCAGTGAAGAGCATGGGCACATCCTTCATCCACAGCTCGTGGGATAGTCCTGGTTTTTACATTTTAACTCACACTGCTGTCAGCTGCCTTATTCCTCTAATGTGGAATAAGATAATAATCTCATTCCTTGAGATAGTCACTTAAGAATTTAAATTAAAGCCATGTAAGCAATTGCAGTGTACTCAAAGGCTGTCTCTTCCAACAAATTCTTCTCTATTTCATTGGATAAATTACCCTTAATTATGAAGTATGCAGTCCAGCCCTTGGAATAATCTGTATTCCAAGTGAGTTTGAAATCCTGTAACAGATCTCGTGCTTATGGTCAGCCTTTTATTTCAGCAGCACAAAACTGCTGCAGAGGAATTACCTCAGCCCTTTTTATTAGCATCCAATTTCATTTGCCACTGTCCTCAAGCCCATTGAAGATAAAGAACATGAAATTGCCCTGTAGATGTGAGCACACCCCTGTGCCCCCAGGCTCTGCTGTTCTCCTGCTGCTGCTCCAGCCCTGCCAGGGTGGTTTTCCTGCCCTGAGCCAGCCAGGTCCAGCAGGGCAGGAGCAGGATGCTGAATTCGGAAACGTGGAAGTTCTTTTGGAAACGTGGAAGTTCTTTTGGAAATGTGGTGTTTGCAGGAGCTGAGGGTGCTGACCCAGCAGAGGCAGGGCTGGGGCTGCTGCCCCCCTGCTTTCCCACCTCCTTTTCCTGTTTCTCTCCTTGGCTCAGTCCCATTTTTCTGCAGAGCTCAGCTCTGGAGCTGGCCTCCAGCTCACAGTGCCCATTGCTTGCAGGGGGTTTTCATCATTTTATCTTTTTTACTGTGCTGTGTAATTCAAAATGCTAGTCAGAGAAGGTCCAGTGTTAAGTAATAAAATAATCTAATGATGCATTAAATTATTTTTATTATTTTTAAATCCTTGGAACACGAAAGTTCAAGAAGGATGAAGTCCATGGAATATCCTCAGGCTCCCACTGTAGCAGAGTTGTTTCCTTCTCCCCCACTTCATTCCCATGTGGATTTGCTGCTTTTTGGTGTAATTTTGGTGACATTGTTCACTCTGATTCTCAGAAACCACCTCCTTCCCATCTGTGAGCTGCTTGGAGATGCCTTTTTAAGTGACCTCTTTTCTTTCAGTATTTTTCCCCAGTTCATTTTTAGTAACTGCAGTGCCTGGGCAGGGGACTGAGGGACAGCCACAAAGGAATAACAGGGAAAACCAAAATCTCTGCAATTAAAAAAAAAAAAAAAAAAAAAAAAAAAAAAAAAAAAAAAACACTTCTGTGGCTTCCTATTTTCTGAGCTGACTGGTTCAAAAATTGGTTGCCAGAAGTTTGTTTCTGATTTGATTTTCTTTTCATTAAAAAAAAAGTATCCCACAAATCCACAGTTGGAGTTATAGAAAGATATTGGAACAGGAAATTGCTTCTTTAATCACCTAAATTAAATAACAGCACTTCAGGAGTGATTTTGGAAGTGTAGTGATTACCTCTTTTACTACAGCTATTTTAAGGTAATTTATTTCCCAATTTTTATTTGTGAATGTTCTGCAGTAGCTGCCAGGCTAGTTACCAGTTTTCTAGTCTAGGAAGGTCTACATATGTGACAGCAGTTTCTGAAACTGATATGTTTATAAATTGTATTATGGATAAATAGAAACTGGATTTTCAAAACCAGTCTTCCAGGACTGACAACTTTTTGGGAAGTAGGGCTGATTTTCAGCTGGATAGTTGAAATTTGTTTTATTCCAGAAAAACAGGATAATGATCTTAAGAAAGGATACGGATACAAACTAACAAATATATTTGTACTAATTTTGTGTTTATTGCAAAATGGATTCATTGATACCGTAAATGGACATATTAAATATCAATTACATTGTTGGCTTTTGGAGTTACTTAATGTATCTAATAGTAAGTTTTGCTTTTTAATAGTCAAAAGAAAATTACACTGATATGTGTTTTGTTACTCTTTTTTGTGGTTATTTTTTTTTTTTTGAGGATTGAACAGATATTTTTATGTTGAACTCTGAAAGTGATTTTTCTTCTCCTCCTCTTTAAAGCCCGATGCTCGGAAGAAAATCTACGTGCAAAGCCAAGGTGAGAGCTGTGCAGCAGCGCCCGAGCCCTTTGGTTGCCCCTCTCTCCCCAGCCCTGGTCAGCTGGCACTGCAGCCACATTGCTCCAAAGGCTGCAGAGGTTTGAGGCTGAATATTTATTTTCTGCAGCCCCAAATTCCCTCAAATGCTCCAAGCTGAGCTCCCAACCCAGTGAGAGCCAAGCACCTCACCCGAGGTACTCCCTTGGTGAGCAGCCCAGGGAACACAAGGCAGTATTTCAGGTGTGATGGCTTCATTTCCTAATTTATTTACTTAAAAAGAACCCTCTGTGGATTCCAAAACTCATTCCATTTTGCATATTTCACTTTCAAAGGAAGGAACATTCTTTTCCAGACTGTGCTGTTGAAATAACTCATCTGTTTAGTTTATATTTAAGTCTCTTGAGAGGTAATAGTTAAATAAGTGATTAAATAAATTAATAAATTAATTTCTTCATTAACATAATTAATCTTTAACATAAGGAAAAACAAATACATTAATATTCAGGACAAATTAATATTTAATTTGTGTAAAATTTAATTTGCTTCCTTTTCTCTTGAGGGCTCTGGGTCCTGGCTGCCCTGGATCACTTTTGGAATAATGTGCTCCCTCAGGTGCTGTGTAGTTTTAGAAGGCCACATTTAGCAGGGCTGTGTTGCTGAAGAAGCCAAGCCCTGGGTGGCTGTACAGAACTCCCCAGTGGATTTCAGGCTGCTGTCCTGGAAGGGTTCAGGCTTGGCAGGAATGCTGCTCTTTTGCACTTCAAAAAGCCTCCAGGAGCCAGAGCTCAGCCATCCAGGGCACATTTAACCTGGGAATCTTTTTTTTTTTTTAAACACAGGAATTAAGACTACACCCAGTGAAACATTTGACTGGTACAGATTCCTACAAAATGCAGGTAAAACTCATTTTTTCCCTTTGTTTACTGTGTTTATTCCTAATATGTGTCAAGGATGAAAGAAACTTAGAGTTTAACTAATGATGTAATAAAGTGCCTTAATGCTATGGGAAATGGCAGAAGATCAGTCAGATGGGTCTGGGTCATCCAGAGCCCAGAGCACCTCTGAATTTCTGTCTGGCCAGGGCTGAGCTGCCCCAGCAGTGCTCCAGCTGTGGGCAGTGTCCCTAAAGGTTGGTTTGGGGCACAGGACCCATTGCTGGGCTTTACTGAGCCCAGCTGGGGCTGCCTGCAGCAGTGCAGAGGGGAACCATGGTAAATGCATCACCCCGGGAAGGAATGCTGATGTCTGACTCAGTTCAGGAGGCTGAATGATTTCTTTGTTATACCTATGGCTAAAGTACATCAATATACTATAGAAAAAGGAAGAGACTCAAACTCCATACTACTTTCTCTGACTCTAACCCAACTCATGCCCCTCTCTGAGAGCCCAGCCCCAGTGGGTTGGATTGGCCATCAGCTCAAACAATCCTCACCAGAACCCAACCAAGCATCACCCCAGGGAAACAATTCTCCAAACACATTCCACATGGGAAAAACAAGGAGCAGAAACAGAAATTGTTTTCTGTTTCATTTCTCTCTTTGCTCCTCTATGAAAAATCCTGAGAGGGAGAGAAATGTGCTTGCCACACGAAACAAGTGCTGCTGTTTGATTATTTGGTCTGGAGCTGTTGCTGCCACCAGGGCAGGGCAGGGAAGGCAGGTGACCTAATTCTGAGCCACCTGATCTTGGCAATGCTTTAATCACTTCATCTTTCCCCAAAAGAGTGATTTATGGGCGTTTTACCCTGGTTGGTAAAAACGTTTCAATTTTACATTCATCAGCCTGATCTCTGGTAGTACATCTGTTCCCTCTGCTGCAGATGAATCCTCACCAGTCAGTGGCATTATCACATCAGGAAATGTGTGCCATTAGTCAAAGCCAGTGTCAATTTTAAACTGAGCATTGTGAGCTTATTTTGTTCCCAGTAAATCACAGCCCACAAGCACAGTGCCACTAAGATTAATAATTTTCTGAAGTGAAATGATTTGTCGCTTGCTTTAGCACAGCCTTAGTGTTGATTTGATCTCTTGTCCAACCATTTTGTGATTAAATGAGCAATCAACAGATTGAGGAGGGGGAAGCTCCCCCTAAAGTGAATTTCTAATATATTAGAGACTGTTTTTTGCCTAATGTGTACTAATGCAAAAGTACAAAATAATTCATAATGTACATGAAAAGCAAACTAAAATGTGACTCTAACATCTGTGCCTTATTAAATAATAACTTGAAAACTGGCATCAGATTATTCAGTATTGTTTTTATGACTGTTTAATCTCATTTATCTTCTCTGCCTGGTGCCCATGTCCATCTCTGGTGGCAGCCCAGAATTTCCACTTCTTTTAATACTGCACATGGAGTCAGGCTTTTTGGCTCTACCTTTGTGCTTTCCAGGGACTAATTAGGAGTTCTCAGTGAACTGCTTTTTTCTGGGCATTTGCAGCTCCAAAGTGTTTAAAATTCTACTAAACTTGGAGCAATCAGAAGAAAACTCTCAACACCAGGAGGCAGTTTTGCTCAGGAGGATGTGGTTTTGGCAGTGTGGGCTTGCACAGTGTGAAAAGACCCCAAGCTTTAATGCAGATGAAGCTGTCCAGGCTCCTTCAGCTCATGGCATTTGTGAGCTTTTCTTTTTAAAGACTTTTTCATGAAGTTCTGTTCCATGTCTGAAGGCGCTTGGTGATGTTTTGGGGAGAAATATTTCTCCAGGTAACCCTTGCCTGTGTCTTTAGCAGAACCCTTGAGCATTTGTCAAATTCAGGATTCCCAGGACAGAATGCAAAGGAACAGCACACAAGTTTTAATTCATCTGAGGCATCACTGTTAAACACCCTTGGTGTTCAGGGTGCCAAGTTATTCTCTCTAATGAATGCTTCCAGACTTTTCTCCACAGAACAGACTTCTTAGGAATATTCTTTGTACTGATGTTTCTTTTCAGTCAGAGGAAACATTTGCTCACTTTAAATATGCACCAATACATAAACATCCTCTTTAAATCAATGTAGTGGCTTCAGAAAGAATTGAATGGTAGCTTTAAGTGAGTGGCAGAATGCACCAAGTGCATTTTATGGTGGGAGACTTCCAGCCCCCAAATTTGAATGGTATTAAACCAAAGCCTAGGGAATCCCAGCTTTCTGTGCACTCCATGTGATAGTTTGGGTGCTGGTGTAAATAGCAATTGCCTGGCACAAATGGGAGCAGTGCTGTGGGGGGGGGTTTGTTGTCATTATTGTTATGGGTGCAGTACAATCTCAGTACAAAAATCATGGAATTAGTATATTTTCATAGTCTCAGACACCACAGGGGGTGGTGTGGGGTTACTGCTGTCTCCTAGCTGCAGTATCTCCAGGGGCTGGCTAGCCAGCATCCACACAAACTACCAAATGAAAAGGGGCTTTTAGAGTTCATTTGCATTGTGGTTAGCAGTCAGCTTCACAGTTTGTGTTCTGTGGATGAGACTGTGAGCAGCAGCAGCCAAAGCAAGGGCAGGTTCCAGCTCAGCCTGCAGCAGCACAGCATCTCCAGCCTCTCTGGGAACTCAACCTGTTTAAGGCAGTCCTGCTGCCTGTGTCAGCCTGGAGATCAGAGCAGATGATCAAATCAAACTGCTTTTCTCTGCCCTTCCCTTGCAGGGTCTATATACAGCACAGTCCATGTGCCTGAGCAGCTTTAGAAGCCCTATCTATAGACTGGGGAGAGGCAGTGGAGTTCAGCCTGGTGCTGGGGACTGACTGACAGAACATGACAAGGCAGTTTAAGGAGATGAGAAGCTGAGAGTGATCTTCTCACACAGCTCAAGGCTGGGGCAGGGCAGCTGCTGATCACAGACAGGCCTGCAGTCACCACTGCAGGATGAAAGGCTCCTTTTGATTGCGGTGGAATGGGGCTGGAGATACAGACCCCAATAAATGTCATGTGAGGAGAAGATGGAGATAACAAAACCTGCACTAAAAGACTGAGAAATCTTTGTTTAGCCAACAGGCAGGACTTAAAGCTGCTCTCATGGAGGTGTGGAGCCATAGGGTCACAGGCTTATTGCAGCAGCAAATAAAACATGCAATATGCTCTTGTAGTTTGATTTTTCAACTCTGTAATTTCTGCTTTGTGGCACGGCTGTTCTCTGAGCTTGAGAAGTTTACATAAGCTGCCATGACACAGGCAGGGTTTTACAGAGGCATTAGATTTTCCTAAAGCTATGCTGGAAAGAGAGGCCCACGTAAGAAAAACTGAACAGTAAAAGTTGGTGCACGTATACAGCTGAGTGTAGTAAAAACTATATGATAGCAGCAATAAAGTGAGTTCCCAAACTGATCTGAAACTGCAGAGCTTTTTTGTTGTCTGATCTGTTAGGAATAATGAGAAACAGGGGAGAGAAGAATTGATTGAGAATTTTGCAGTCCAATTTTTCTGGATTAGTAGCCTGTCCCTGGAAGTTTGCAGGTTCATTTAACTTCTGTCTTCACCACCGTATCAGCAGCCCCAGCAGTGATTCACTGCTGGGTGTGACAGCAGTGGGAACACTGGGGTACAGCTATTGCACTGCCCCTTAGCCTGGAGAAGAGGAGGCTCAGGGGAGACCTCATTGCTCCCCACAGCTCCTGAAGGGAGGCTGCAGACAGCTGGGGTCGGTACAGGTTGGATATCAGGAAAAATGTTCACAGAAAGAATAATAAAGCACTGGAATTGTCTTCCCAGGGAGGTGGTGGAATCACATCTCTGGATGTGTTTAAAAAAAGACTGGATTTGGCACTTGGTGCTATGGTCTTGTGAGGTGTGAGGGCATGGGTTGGACTTGATGACCTTAGAGGTCTCTTCCAACCTCGTTATTCTGTAATTATTCTGTGATTCTGTGACTTGTAGGGAGCAGGCTGCTTGGTGAAGTGCCATGGCACAGTAACAAATGTCTGTTTGAGATGCCTGGGCTGTGCTCAGAGGGGCAGGAGGAGATGCTGCTGCTGCTGCTCAGGCTGGAAATGGCTGCTCCAAGCTGGGCTCTGCAGCTGAGCAGGAGAGAAAAACCCAAATCCAGGAGCCAGGGCACTGCGAGAGCTCAGGGAAGATGTTTCTGCAGTGTGCAGGGAGATGAACTTAAGAAAAGCCATGAATTGAAAGATTTAGAGTATCAAAGGTTCATGGTGCAGTTGTACAAATTTATCTCTTTCATGCTCAAGAAAATAAAATCCTTGACTTAGAGACTGAAACCTCAGCCATAAACCTGTGGATTTGCTTTTTGAGGACAGAAGTCAATGCTTTCAGGTGCTCAGGAGGTTGATAAATGAAATATTTTCAAGAGGAGTAAAAGACCTGCTGTCCTTCAAAGTGACCAGGAAAGAAAATAAAGTTATTTCTCCTCACCATCTCATCACAGCTTAGATTTTGTTTCTGTACAAAACCAGAAATGGACAAATAATCCTAAATAATGTGGACTCGGTGTTGTTCTCCGAAGGTCTGTAGAAAACAACAGTGAACTTGAAATCAGGGTTTGGAAAATTAATTTTTAAATCTTCTTCTTTACCTCTCAGCAAGCTAATGCTTGGTATTACTCATTCACTTCCAGGCCTGCAGCTTTCAGTAAGATTAAAGATTTGCAGTAATACATTTATTTTTATTGTGCACCTATGACTGCTGCATTTTTTTTTCCCTGATAGTACCTGGAGGGATGGAGTTAAATGAATCTACACTTTCAAATCTCTTTAGATAACACTTGTATTTATTCCTGCCTTTCTTAGAAAAACAATGTCCCTGCTGAAGCTTCAGAAATTATTCAGGCTTTTGTGTTTGCTGCCTGTGCTCGTGTTTTGGTTTTTATCATAGCCCAAGTGTGGAGCATCACTGTGTCAGAATCCTGTTCTCCCCAGCAACAACAGCAGGGCCAAGGGGGTGGTACCAAGAGGAGGTGGCACTAAGAAGGGATGTCACCAAGAGATGGCACCAAGAGGGGATGGCACCAAGAGATGGCACCAAAAGGGGATGGCGCCAAGAGGGGATGTCACCAAGAGGAGGTGGCACCAAGAGATGGCACCAAGAGGAGATGGCCTCAGGGTGTGCCAGGGGAGGATTAGGTTGGAGAGCAGGAAGAACTCCTTCAGCCCAGGGGTGCCAGGGGTGGCACAGCTGGCAGGGCAGTGGTGGTTTGGGCTGCCTGCAGGGGTAGGGGTGGCACAGCTGGCAGGGCAGTGGTGGTTTGGGCTGCCTGCAGGGTTTAGGGGATGTGTGGCTGAGTGGTGCCCTTGGCCGGGTTGGTTGGAAGCAGGGGAATAATGATCATTTTCCATAATCACTCGTTACTGCTTTTGCCACTGTAAGTGCTCCCTGGCAGAACACTTTGCAGCACTCAGGGTTTTTGCCTGCTCCACGCTGATTTCTGCAATCCTTTGTCCCAGGCATTCCTGCAGACACGGGCAGTGTGCGCCTGTTCCTGCTGGTGTGTGGGCTCCGGAGGGTCAAGGACCCTCTGTACCTCGTGGAAGCTTTCTCAGGTGGGTACTGGCTACTTGAATATTCTTCTTTGTCACTCAGTGCATTCTTTTAATGTTTGAAGTTTGGCGTGAGCTGTTTTATTTATTGCAGGAAACATCATCATATACTACATTTGAAAAGAGAAATTCTTGTGTAACCATTGATCTTCTCAACACATTATTTCTGTGCCGTGTCTTTTCCATCCTGCTGGGAATGACAGAGCATTCCAATCAAAGCAATATTTGATGGTTTTGCTTGCTGAGAAAACTGTTTTGCTGTTACATGCAATATTGATGGAAGACAAAAGAAAAGATCATCTACTTCAAAATATCTTTTTTATCTTGCTGTCCCGTGGCTGCTACATCGATTTGCATGTGTGCTAATTAATGCCATTGAAGCTGCAAACAAATTTTCCCACCCATTGTTCTGGCTCAGTACTCAGACTGGGCTGAAGTTTCCTCGTAAAAAGGGAATTTTTTGCCAGGCTCTGCTTGTGTCTGTAAGAGGCTCAAGCATTCTGAGCTGGAAATTCAGCCTGCACTATTCACTGACTTTGTAACCCTTGAAGCCCTGTGCTGCTGAGTAATAAATGCAGCTGGGAGTGAGCTGCACTGGTTTGTTCTGGGATTCCAAGAGCAGCAGATATCTCTTGTGCATATTAGAGTAATGATTGTAATGGCTGCAGTTACCTCCACATGTTCCTTCACACAGGAAAATATTCAAGTAATTTTGGCTTAGTGGCCATGATCACTGCATTATACAGAGCATTGTTCTCTTGAGTGATTCAAAATTAATATCTGAGCTTAGTTAAATAACCCTTGAGTCAGAAGAGATTGCATGAAGCAGAAAGGCTAAATACTAACTTTCAGATATGCTAATACTTGAATTCTGAGGAGTAATGTGAGGGCTGAGCATGGAATCTGGTGTACATTCAGTCTTTAAAGTAGCAATACAATATTTGTCTAATTCTTCTTTAATCATGGAGCTATTTATACTGATTTAAAAACTAATAATTTTTATTAATAAAACAGTTTTTTCTTCTGTTTCAGACTGGCACAGAAAGGATCCCAGTGTCCATCTGGGCATTATTGGGCCTGCAGTAAGTAATTTTTATTTCTAATTATTTCCATTTACCTCATCTGGGATACCTCAGCTCTGTTCCAAAGGGAACCTAGGTCAGAGGATTTCTGTTGGAGATAAGAAGCTCCAAAGCCAGGCCTCGTAAAGGCTGTTCCCAAAGCTCTGAGCTGTGGAAGTGGTTCCAGGGGTCAGAACTGGCAATGAAGGGGCTCCTGCAGCACAGGGCTTGCACAGGCAGCCTGAAGCCTTGGTTCCAGCAGGGAAAAGGAGCTGTGCCAGGTGAAACAAGCTCTCACTGCTGCTTGAAGGGCACTAAAAGCTTCCCTGCTCCATCTGCCTGATGTGTTCCCTCTGCATCAGCCTCAGCTCTGATTCCTCTCCACGTGAGCCTGAAAACTTGCAGGCAATTTGCTTTATAAAAAAACCAAATACACTCTCAATAGGCAAATAAGAACAATTTCTCTGTTTTCTCATTCAGTTTTATTCTTTGCAAATTTGGGGACATAGGATCTTATTGTTAAAAGCTGTTTTTGTGTTTGTATTTCATCTGGGTTTTTTCCACGCTAATACACAAAATGATTTGGAAGTGAACTGGTGTGGAAGGCAAATCTAGAGCAGGTGAAATGAAGCTGTGCTTTAGAATCCAAAGATGCACTTGCTGCCTCCAGTGAGGATTTTATAAACATTTTAGTTGTCTTTTTAAATTTGCTTCACTTTCTCATAAGCTAATGTCTTTGCAGGCCAGAAATAACCCAGTGGCAGTGCACAGGCTGGATCAAGGGCTGAACCTCCTTAAAACACTTTAGAGCATATTTCTCTCATGGAACTAAAATATTGCTAAAGAAAAAAAAAATACATCTCATCTCTATTGGTATTTAGCTGTACTCTTCTTATTCATGTTGCTTCTCAAACCACAAAAATCTTAAGAAAATCAGTGCCACCATCTATGAAGCATGTAATTTTTATTGTGAATATGAAAAACTCATACAGTAAGATTATATTAATTAAGAAGAGAAAGAACAAAGGCCCACTCTATTTTCTGCTTTACTTCCATGAGATGATATATTTGCTGCCATAATGTTATATACTATTCCCTGGATTTTCTATGCATGATTGTCTCAAATGGTGCAATCGAGGTAATGTTGCAGGATTGAGGCCTGTGTTATGTAAAATTTTCACCATTTGTCTCCACTTCCAGTTTTCCTTTTGTTCATTTCCAATAATGAAATTTGGAACAGCAGCTAATTTTCAGCAGCTCCATATTCCAAGAATAGGAGCTTATGAAACTTAAAAAAGAAGTTAAGGCTACAAAACTTTAAAGTTTTGTTTAAAGCATTCATCTTCTGGGTAACCTCTCAGAGCTCTTTTGGGGTTTTTTTAGGCAGTACAGAACATTGCTCCATCAGATAACCCCTGGAATGTGGGGTCACCTGCTGCTGGGAGTGAAGGGAATTCCTCTCCCAGTGGTGCTGCCAAAAGCTCAGAAACTTGGGAAACTGAGGGAGTTCTCCCTCTTTGAGTATCTCTGCGGATTCCTCAAGCAGTGATACTCTGACAGAATCCCAAATTGTACTAAGACCTGTTTTCCCCTGCAGAGTCTGGAGTCTCAGCACTATAAAATGTTTCAGTCTGAGTTCATATTTATATGGCAGCATTTTAATGTTGTGTTTACAGAAGATTTGCTGGGTTTTGATCACGGTAGGCTCTGTGCTCAGCAGCCCCTTCATCTTGGTGCAGCATTTGATCTGTGAGTTCCTGCACTGCCAAACACGTCTGGGATGTTCCTTTTCCTGTCAGCAGAGCAAAGCTCCCTGCATGGCACATCTGGACCTGCTTGGGGGTGCCCACAGCCCTTTCCTCGTGTCACCCCTTCTCCTGTGCCAGGAACTGTCCCACAGCTCGAGCTGCTGTCCTCTGATCTCTGCTAGACTGAGAAATGTGCAGCCCTGGCAGGGCTGGGCTGCAACAAAAGAATTACAGGGAGCTGGGATGCTTTAACAAATTAGTTACAGGGAGCTGGGATGTTTTAACAGATGAGTTACAGGGAGCTGGGATGCTTTAACAAATGAGTTACAGGGAACTGGGATGTTTTAACAAATGAGTTACAGGGAGCTGGGATGTTTTAACAAATGAGTTACAGGGAGCTGGGATGCTTTAGCAGATGAATTACAGGGAACTGGGATGCTTTAGCAGATGAATTACAGGGAACTGGGATGCTTTAACAAATGATGGGGAGCTGGTGAGTGCATTTGCCCTCTGTGCTGAGAAGTAACAACGTTCATGTGGCCACAACTGCTGCCTGTGGAAGAACTGGATGCTGGAGATGTTTGGGGTGGCAGAACGTTGTTCTCGGGATGGTTTTGGGTGCCTGGATGGCAAAAAGCTGTTCTCAGGATGGTTTTGGGTGCCTGGATGGCAAAAAGCTGTTCTCAGGATGGTTTTGGGTGCCTGGATGGCAAAAAGCTGTTCTCAGGATGGTTTTGGGTGTTTGGATGGCAGAATGCTGCTCTCAGGATGGTTTTGGGTGCTTGGGTGGCAGAATGCTGCTCTCAGGAAGATTTTGGGTGTGTGGATGGCAGAATGCTGCTCTCAGGATGTTTTTGGGTGTGTGGATGACAGAATGCTGCTCTCAGGATGGTTCTGGGTGCCTGGGAGGCAGAATGCTGCTCTCAGAATGGTTTTGGGTGTTTGGTTGACAGAATGCTGCTCTCAGGATGTGTTTGGATGTGTGGGTGACAGAATGCTGCTCTCAGGATGGTTTTGGGTGCCTGGGTGGCAGAATGCTGCTCTCAGGACGTTCTGGGTGCTGTGCTCAGTCCCTCAGCCAGCCTCAGGGGCTGTGGCAGCTCTCCCATGGTCCCAGTGCCCTCCCAGCTCCTGCTGGGCCAGTTCCTGGCATTCCCAGTTGGATTTAGCCGGGCTGGGGCAGCTGTGCCCCCAGTTCTGAGTGCAGCTCCGAGGCACTGCTGTGCCCCCCTCAGCAATAGCTGAGCTGAATTCTCACACTCAGGCCAGGATTCCTGGAGTTCTCCCCAGCAGGGTCCAGCTCCAGGCTGGTTCTGTCTGGAGGCAGATGGAGACTGCCTGGCTGCCCCTGAAGGAGAGGGGACAGGAATTAACATCTCACCCATTCCAGCAGGCACAGGCTGTAGTTCTTCTGATCCTTCTAAAGGGACAGGAACACGAGACCTTTCCCCTGCTCCTTCAATCACTCGCAACAACTCCAAGGGTTTAATGGAAGCAGAGGGTGGCTCCTCATGAGAGGAACTCAGCATCAAAATAGAACTCTGGGGGAAAAGCTGAAAATGGATTTATATAGAAGTAGCAGTTGGGAAATTCAGTTTGAAATAGCAAAAATACTTTTTTAAGCAGTTAAGCAAGGCTTTTAGTTTGTATTCAGTAGGAATTGATTTCTTATGCAAGACTGATTCACTTTAATTTTTCATTTATGAAGCCCAGTTTTCATAAAATAATCAATTTTATGTTCAAAGCATACAAGCATAGTTATAAAATAAATCCTGACTTTTTACCAGAAGTGTTTTCTAAAACACTTTGTGAGTGTTCTCTATCTCACAATCTGAAACAAAAACCAGCAACCAAACCCAAAATATTAATATACATTAAAAAGTCATGTTATTCCCAGCAAGCTATCATGTATCAATCTAATATAGTCAGTCAGCCTTAGTAAAAAAGCTGAGTTCTGTTCTTTGTGTCTAGCTAAGGATTTTCAAGTTCTGTTTATTTCCTTTAATCATGCTAAATTAAAGCAGCAGACAGAGCAAAGCTTTGTAAATAAACCTGCTGGAGTGAATCACCCAGCTTAGACAGGACTTCAACAACTGCAGCCTGTTTTACTGGGGCTGGGAATTTTGTGTTTGCTTTTTACTGGGGCTGGGAATTTTGTGCTTGTTATTTACTGGGACTGGGAATTTTGTGTTTGTTTTTTACTGAGGTTGGGAATTTTGTGCTTGTTTTTTACTGGGGCTGGGATTTTTGTGTTTGTTATTTACTGAGGTTGGGAATTTTGTATTTGTTTCTTACTGGTGCTGGGAATTTGGTGTTTATTATTCTCTGGGGGTTAGACTTTTGTGTCTATTATTTACTGGGGGTTAGAATTTTCTGTTTATTGGGTTTCCAACAACTCTTTCTGCCAGAGCACCGCATTTATGTGTCTCAGTTTACATCCTGAGCTCCCCGAGGCCCATTTTCACCCAGGGAATACAGGGACAGTCCCTGGGCACATCAGTGCCCTGCCCCTCACTCACACAGGGATTGTCACACCAGGCCTTTGACACAGACCTGTGGTATGATCTTAAAGCTCAGCATTTAAAGTGTTTTAGATTAAAAATGTGCTAAACTTTGTTTATTTCTCTGGGTATGTCAGGCATGAGCTGCAGTGCTGAATGCCCAGTGCCACTGACCTCTGTGTGTGCTCCTGTCTAGGTTGATCCACTTTTTACCAGTGAAGTTAAGGAGAGAGTTAAAAGGTAAGGAGTTCATGTTAAAGCTGCTGTCTGCTGCATGAAGAACTTGGCTGCCCCTTTTTAAATGCTGTATATGCAAATGCCTGTCCATGCACAGCCTGTGGCACTGACAGGTCTGCTGGGATCATCATGGAACAGCTCAGCTATCCCAGCACTGAGCGGCCCAGAATAACCAGGGTGTTGATGTTTTGTGTTAAATCCCATCTGACTGACCCCGATTTAGATTTCTTATTCACAGAACCACGGGAGGGCTGAAGGATCACCCAGTTCCACCCTCCCAGCCAGGGGCAGGGCCAGCCCTGAGCCTGTCCAGGCCTGAGCATGTCAGTGCTCAGGAGCACACAGAATCACAGGATACCATTATCTGCAGCTGCTTTTATTGAGAGCTCTGGGATAGGGGTGCAGACCCAAATCTGACTCCCACATGGCTCTCGAGCTGAATGTATTTTATATTCTGTCGTTATATGACTTACATATTAATTATTAAACTTATATTGTTCTGTTGTATACATGGACATGAGTTTCTCATGATCTTTCTTAGGCCCCTGACCAGAGTTTCTCATGATTATTCTTATGATTAAACAGTAATTATATTTAATTACTAAACAATCATCACATCTAACAATTATATCATTCATCATGTAGTAGCTACACATGTGCAGTTCTAGTGAGGTACAAGGCCTTCATGTACCATGGGTATTTTTTTTTCAGCGCCTACTAAGCTTAATTTTCCTTTTAACCCCAAATCCCCATGATTTTAAAACTCTTTTACTATCAGGCACAACCAGGGATGGAAGACCCCGATGGCTCTGGCAGCCCGGTCAGAGCTGCCCCTGGCAGGGGGAGCCCAGAGGTGTGGGGGGTTCTGGGGTCCCTCGCAGGGGGAGTGCAGAGGTGTGGGGGGTTCCGGGGTCCCTCAGGGTCTCTCCCCAGCTCTCCTTTGCCTGCAGGTTCCCGGGGGTGCACGTGCTGCAGGAGCTGCCCCAGCAGGAGCTGCACGCTGCTCTCAGGAGGAGCCTGGCCCTGGTCAACAGCTCCGTGTCCGAGGGCATGTCTGCTGCCATCCTGGAGGTACTGCCCCGTCCTGGGGGTACTGCCCCGTCCGTCCTGGGGGTACTGCCCCGTCCGTCCTGGGGGTACTGCCCCGTCCTGGGGGTACTGCCCCGTCCTGGGGCACCCCCAGAGCCTGCCCCGGCTGCAGCCACCCCTGCCAGCCTTTGCCAGCCCTGTTTCAAACCTAGTGAAGAGAAAACGAACGTATTCCTTTTTGCAAATGTTAGCAATTAAGGTTTTCTTCCCTTGAACTGACAGTTTGTTATGCTTTCTCTATTTATTTTTAAAGGATAGAAGGTAATTTTATCAATCCTGCCAAATTAACAGCACAGATCTGAGATGTAGAAATCATTCTGATTTACTGGGGTTGTCACTAGGCTTGATTCAACACCCACTTCCTTATAATGTTGCTAGAATGAACTTTCATTTATTTTTACATCCTTTCAAAAAGCAATCTAAGAGCAGCATTTGGTTATTTAATTCTGAAATGATTAATGAATGAAAGACACGCTGAGTTAATCCTTTTGCCATCAGTATTGAAAATTAATAACCAGTTTTATTTTATACCTGCCAAAGTAGGGCACTGCTTAGTATCAAGTGCTTTCTCAGAAAAAAATAAGCGTACTTGAAGTGGAAGTTCTTTGGGCAAATGCCTTTCATTGTTCCATTTGTTTTGGTGGGTGCTGAATGTTGGTTCATCAGGAGCTCAGAAGATCACAGAAATTATTACACCATTTGTGTTAATGAGCCTCCATTTCTGTTTCTAATGAGTTGCGTTTCCAGCATTTCCACTCCTTTGAGAGCAAACACCTCTGTGTCACAGAGTGGCAGTGCAGGGCAGTGAAGCTCTTTCAGTGACGTTTTTTCAGTGAAGTTCTTTCAGTGAAGTTCTTTCCTGGGGTGGCCAGCTGCAGGAAGGGCCATCTGCTGAGATCTTGTTAAATAATAAGGCTGAAAACTGCATAAAAATCCTCTGGTCCTAGGCTGGAGAAAACAGGCTTGAGTTTGGAAATGCAACTCTCATTGTCCTCAAAGTTCAACATTTAACAAGGTCATGAATCTGTAAACAGGATTTCAGAGCGAGATAAATATATAATAGATAAATGAGATAAATATATAATCCCATCTAGTCCAACCTGCCTGGAGGTATGGAAGAGCCAGGAGCCATCACTAATTACTGTGTCAGCTGGTTCTGAGATCGCAGAGATTTGACTGTAACTGATCTGTTTGTGTTTGGCATTTGAAGAAGAGAAAACAAAGCATTGGAGCAGACATGAAAAATGCACCTCCTCCTGGGAGAGCTCGGGAGCTGTGCACATCCCTGGGCAGGGATGGTGGAAAGGCACCATGGAAGGGTCCTGTGTTCCCTCTGTCCCTCTAACAACAGGGCTTGGCTCCAGCACCATTCCCTGCAGCCCTTTGCTGTGCTCTCAGGAATGTTCCAGCTCTTGTAAAATCATTACATTCTTATGCTTTTACCAAAGAGAAGCCAATTTACAAAAAAAAAGGCAGAAAAGGAAGTTGGACAGACTCTACTGTGCTGTGAGGCACAATCCAGTCTTGGCCAACATGTGCAGCACTAGCAGGCTGGAGTAAAAGTCAGAGCAAATTATAAAAATAAATATAAAAAAACCCTAGAGATGAAGGGATGTGTTAAAGCAGTAAAACTGAAGAGCCAAGAAGAAGATGCATAGGCTAAAGGAGGAAGATGAGGGACAATGCAGAGACAGAGTGGTAAATAAACCCTGCATTTGCTCTATCAGCCTGTAGTGCTGGCTGGAGATGCTTATTGGGAAACGTCCCCACAGCTTCAATTTACACCCTGCATCCTCCTGCAAGAGCAGCTAAACACATTTGCACTCAAAATAATGTAACCAAACAGATGGCCAGTGGACTAAAATGTTGTTTTGTGCTATTATTCCTGGAACCTAGGTCAGTAAATTATACATATTTTCAACAATGCAAATGATTGTTTTTACTGCTTGAAAGCAGTCTAAGTATCTAAATTAAATTTGAAGCCACTTCTTGCAGTAATTATTTACAGCCCAATCCATTTGGTTAAGGCCAGTGGCATAAAGGCAGCCCTGCATCTGAAGTATTTGGCCATCTGTTCTGGCTCTCAGTAGCTATAATTCATTGGTACCTGTGCCTGTGGGGACCTGAAGATTTCCTGGTGTAGCAGTTCCTGCCCTCCAAGTCTCAGACAGAACAAATGTCTTTCCCTTTAGCGTTTGGAAATGACAGAATTAAATATAAACTTGGTGCTCAGCTTCAATCACTCAGCAGCTCTGTAGCTTCATTAACGTGTGTGAATGACCCCAGATCATCTGGTCCTTTCTGATGCAAAGTGCAGAACAGGTTTTGTCATTAAGGGCTTTATTTTTAGCACTAACTGCTGCAAAGCAGATGTTTGTGCCAGGGCTATGGAAATGTTATGGTCAGGCTAATACACCTGCAGTGGTGATTTAAACAGTGCTTTTCTTGGGTATATTAAATTATTAAAATATGTTGCTAAGTCCCAGCAGTCCCTTCCTGTACCTTATCAGCCTGGGTATTTGTCTCTTCAGTTTTGTCCAAACTATAAAAGATGGTTTTCTCCTTGGAATTTTGACTGAAGCAAAATTGCTCCTCATGCAGGAGTGCAATGGCAGCAGTTAAAAATGCACTGGCTCTGGAGTGACAGGGAGTCAGGATGGAACAGGCTGGAGATGTGGGGGTGGAATTGATTTCTCCTTTGACACTGTGATAATTGCACAGTATGAGTGTTTCTGGTTGTGCACTCAGTGCATCTCCAGACTCCTCAGGAGTGAGGAAAGCCTCAGGTCAGGACAGGTGTGAGCAGCAGAGCTCGGGGTTTGCTGGGGGTTTGCTGGGGGTTTGCTGGGGGTTTGCTGGGGGTTTGCTGGGGGTTTGCTCGGGGTTTGCTCGGGGTTTGCACACTCAGAGCTGCAGCTGGTCCTGTGCAGTGCCTTGGCAGGGCTCTCTGGGGAGTGCCACTTTTCAATTAAAAATCTGGAGAGGTGGGAAAGAAGTTTGAGTTGTTGTTTCTGCTTTTCTTATTAAAATCGTCATTGTAAGCACCTGGAAATCCATGGATCCTTATAAACTGTTGTTCCCTTTTCCTGTACTCCTCTAGGCAATGGATTTAGAAATCCCAGTGCTGGCAAGGAACATTCCTGGGAATGCAGCAATAGTAAAACACAAGGAAACAGGCCTGCTGTTTTCAACTCCCCAGGTAAGGAGACCACAGAGCTTTGGGTTCATTTTCTGTCCCCTCTGTGTCTGTGTGCACCCTTGGCGTTTCCTGCCAGCAGTTTTGCTCAGATTCTCCTTTCCCTGCCTTTGCAGTTCAGGGAGTTCAGACTAGGTGTCAGCCTTGCTGAAGCTTTTGTGAGCTGCTCACAGCCACTTGCTGCACTGGGGCTTGAAGGTTCCAGAAGCAAACCCTGCAGGAGATGCTCTGGATGTGTCAGATTTCCCTTCAAGAAATAACTGCAACAGGAACTTGTGTCAGACAAGCTGGAGCTCAGCAAGAGAACCAGCCTGGAGTTTCAGATGACACATTTTCTGTCATTTCTAGCAGTCAGTGTTAATGGAAAGTATTTTTAGATGCAAGATACTGCTCAGTCAGAGAAATTAATGATAAAGTGAAGTGTTAGGATGAAGTCTCAGGGAAGTTAAATAAGAGTGGGAAGAGAGGGAACACTGCCCATATTTAAATACTGGAAATTTTCATTTCAGCCTATTTTCCTGCATTAGGGCTTTGCTGTTACATATTCATGTATGCCATGGAAAATGATTCTCAGAAAAAGATTCCCTCAGAGTTTTATCCAACTCAAGATTAAAAAAAACATACCAGAATACAGCATTTGATAATTTTGCAAAGTAGAGACCATATTTATTTACATTGTGGACTGTGTGATTAATGAATCCTATTAAGTTGTGCTTCTGGAAGGTGAATCCTCTTGGTTGGTTTTGAAAGAGTTTTTAATAGAAAAACTCTTCCAATTCAAGTATATTCTGGAATATTCCGTTTTTTCCAGTGGTTTCTACAAAACCCAAAGTATTTCTTTGATAACTTGTGTACATGTATTCCCTGAAAAAATCTCATTGACTTCCAGCTCCTCCAAAACTCCCAGGACACACAACCCTACTGAAGGAGGGGCTGAGAGCTCTCCTGGTGTTAATGCTGGTACATTCTCATTTCCCCCAGCAGCCTGCCTGCATTGGCTTGGAATTCAGATTCATTATTAATACCAGACCCAGATACCATCAGACATCCCTGTAAGGAGCCTCTCCTGTGGTCTGCAAGCATCCCACATTCCAGGTGTTTATTTGGGATTTGAGATCCATGAAAAATCTGCTGCTGCACCTTTCAGCCAGGGCAAAGTGCAGCTTGAGGCACAGAGGTGCCCCCAGTGCCACTGGGGAAGGTGAGATCCCCCTGCTCTGCAGAACTGCAGCTGGGGCTCAGTTCATGAAAGCCCTGCAATAATTTATTGCTGGCACCTGAATCATCTCCCAGAGGCTGCACCTGGGTCAGCAAACCCTTGTTTCCAGGGCATGTCCTCGTCCCCCTGCAGAGCTGTTGAAGAACTTTGCTCATGCAGAGGAGCTCAGAATGCCAAACCTCAGCACTCAGGGCTTTGGAGATAAAGTCACCACTTACTCCTGCTCCTCAGCTCCCCAAACCATACCAAATGCAGTTTTTAAGTCACTGCATGCAGTCTGCCAGAGGTTGAGAGTCACATTCGATCAAAGAAATGCAATTAAGTTTGAAGGCATTTTAATTGCTGGGACAAGGGACAGTGCCCATGGCTCTTAGAATGTGACCTCAGAAGATTGGTCTGAGTGAGCTGGGACTGGAAAACATGTTCTGGTAAGAAATTCTTTGGGGTTTTTTACTTTGATTACTTTGACATCTTAAGTATCTTTTCTGCTGTGCCCTCAGATGCACAAGTTAGTGAGGAAAATGCCTTTAATCTACAAAAAGACTAGAACTGTGTCTAGGTGCTTGGGAGAGTCTGTCTCTGGCTGGCAGAATCTGGACCACCAAAGATGAGACAGTTTGGTGGATTAGAAAAGGAATTTTCCTGGTTAAGTTGGTGGATCCTGTCTGTGTGAGGATCCAGGCTGGGGCACAGCTCAGGAGCAGGAAGCATTGCTCATTCTCAGTTGTTTCTGATCCGAGGGGGAAAGCTCTGCAGTGCCCTGGAAAGGAGCAGTGTGCCTGCTGTCCTTTGAAAGCCAAATCAGAGGGATATTAATTGACCATTGTGCAATGAGAATTGTTTTAAATGGTGAGTGCTGCTGGCTTGCTGGAAGTGAGCTTTTGTGGCTTCCAGGAAAGTAGGAAATGTTGTGTCTCGTTGTAGCCATCCTTAACCATTTGCATTTGGCTGGAAGCAGCAAAAGCCTTGCCAGGCACTGGAGCCAGCACTCAGATGGAAATAGTTAATCTGGGAGGGAAAGCCTGGAACGTTTTGTTCCTCACACTCCATCATTTGTGCACATTACTGTGCACATCACTCTTAAATCATGGGTTGATCTTGCTGCTGCTTGAATTTGCAAGTTTATGGAATATTTGACACCGAGTTAATGGGACCTGAAGTAAAAAAAGTAAGAGATAAGAACGGGGCAATAAATAATGCAAATCTGTGTTAAAGGGAAGACACAAAAAGTTACTCGGCAGGCTGGGTTTCAAAATTATATCTTCCATGTCTGTAAAAGCTCACAGAAGGACCTAAGTAAAGACAAGGAGGTAAATAAACTTCCAAGGCAATGAGAAGGGACAGAGGTGGATGGAGCTGACCTGGGCAGCCCCTGTGAGGATTTGGGGGGTGGGAGGGGTGCCCAGCCCAGCTGGAGCAGCTCTGCTGTGGCCCCAGAGCCTTCCTCTGCCAGGCAGGAACAGCCCAGGGCTGCAGGGCTCTGCCCCTGGCCCAGAGCAGCAGTTTGAGCTGGGGCAGTGCCAGCACCCAGCACCCAGCACCCAGCTCACAGCTCACAGCCCTGGGGCTCCAGCTGCCCTCAGGTGCCCCTGGCACTGCTGCACACATGGCCTCTGCCTCCCTGGGCACCTTCTTCTGTCTGCTGGAGCTGCTCTGCACTGCCTCAATTGCAGACTTGCTTCCATGATATAAATAATATATTAACCATCTTATTTTCATTATGTGTGAGCTGTGGCACCAGTGCAGCTCTCGTGGTAATTGAGGAATTATTCATCCTTTTTTACTCAGTGCACTCATTTTCCAGCTTTATCTCCTGGATACCTGTGCTTCTGTGTCTCTGCAGAATACTGGACAGGATTTATTTTAGGTACTACACAGAGGAGTTGACATTTTCTTTAGGGATGATTGGTCAATTTACCAGGAGAAAACTGTATTATGGATGTTGCTGTTGAAAAATGCCTGTTTGTGGTGGAGCACTTCCCATGGAAAGGGCAAATGTGAGAGTGCTTCTGGACACACAGGAGATGATTTGCTCCTGTTTTTTGGGTTGTGACTTACTGCTGAGCCTCAGCTTGTACACCGTGCTCGGCTGCCACCTGTAAATTAATTATACCCACTCTGGTGAGGGAAAAAAGGTTTGTGAGAAGTATGGATGGCCCCACGTAGTAAGGTACCATATAGATCACTCCTTCATTTGGGCTGCTGGAAGTCATCCCTTAGGTTTTATAACTGAAAGGGAATTTGTGAATTTGACCCCTCTTTCACCAAAACCGAAGCTACAATGAAATATGGGAGTGCACAAATATCTGTGCAAACATCACTTGCACAGACACAGCAGAGCAGCTGCTGGAGCTGTGTTGCCCCCCTGGAATTACCTCACGTGTCACAGGCTTCTGGAGAAGCACAATGGAATTTTGCTGGATTTCCTGAGAGAGTGGAGAGTTCTGGGTGTGTCACGCTGCAGGTCCAGCACAAAGCCAGCACTGAAATGCGAGTCACTTGTGCTTAGGGGAGACACCTGGAAAATGAAATTATTGCTGTCTGAGCTGGCCATCCAAACCTGCAAACAAGCTAAGCCAGCTGCTCCGGGGACACGAGGAAAACCCAGATAAGTCACAGTGAATCTTCCCCTGGCTTCCAGAGGGATTGCAGGTGACTTGGGGGTGGTCACTGGCTGGGGAGGAGGAGGAGGGTAAAGCTCACAAGTCCTCACTCGCCACTTCCTGGTATTTTTCCATTTGCTTTTTCTCTCTTCTGAATTTTCTCTTAATTTTATGCTTTGGACTCCATTTGGCATTTTTTCCTGAGATTATCTTCAGCCCTAAGTATTGTAACTGTGAATAAGGATCTCATTTCTTCTATCATTTACATGTTTCCAAGTTTTTGTCCTCCATATCCACAATTTAAAAGAATGCTAATAGGACTACCTGTCAAGAAATGTTACATTGCTGCTTCTGCTCTTAGGTAATTTACATAAATTACTTTTAAACATTACTTTAAATAAAATCCTCCACAGGAGCATAAAATTAAAGTTGGGGGATGTGGATGAGTGTGAGCAGTATTTGTTACTGTGGTTTCCCCTGCACTTGGATGGAGGCAGCAGAAGCCAGGTGAGATTCCCACCTTCCCTGTGGTGTGAGCTGGGGCAGCTCCCGAGGAAGGGGCTGAAATCCCAGCTCAGGCACGCCAGGCAGGGGGTGGGAGCAGGCTGGACACAGCTCAGCCCACAGCCAGCACTGCTCTGATGCAGAATGGAGTTACCTTTCACCTGTGATAGGAAAACTCCCCATTCTCTCAGCTGGGCACAGAGCTCAGCCCACAGCCAGCACTGCTCTGATGCAGAATGGGGTTACCCTTCACCTGTGTGCAGGAAAACTCCCCATTCTCTCAGCTGGACACAGAGCTCAGCCCACAGCCAGCACTGCTCTGATGCAGGACGGGGTTACCCTTCCCCTGTGTGCAGGAAAACTCCCCATTCTCTCAGCTGGGCACGGAGCTTTGCACAGGAGTGATCTGTGTCTCTGAGTGTCCCATTTCCCTCTGCTCTGTGCTGGCAGGGAGAGCCCAGCACTGTGATCCTGTGCTCAGTGATTCCCCATCAGTGTGGCCCAGGGGTCACTGGTCACTGTGCACTGCAAGAGCAAAGTTCACCCAAAAAATCCAAAGTTCAACCCAAGACTGTACAGCTGTGGGGGTACTGAGACATCCTGTGTGCTCAGATTTTTAAGGATAGCTGTCTCCTTAACATAATGTATCTATGAACTCTGGTGCTAGCTGGGCTATCTCCTGCACAGCTGCCAGCCTGTGCAAATAATGGCTCTCCTCCTCCCACCCTCCTTGTCCCCCTGGCCCTGGGCACTGACCTTCACTACCAATTGTGTAGGATTACATTATCTTTGTTTCCCACTGCCACCAGGGCTGGCTGTTCTGACTGAACCAAGCACTGCTTTGCACACATCTGAGCAGTTTGGAATCAAGCTGCAGCTCTGGAAGTTGTCTGTGGATGGAAAATTAGACCAGCTGCTCAGAACAGATTAGTTCAGACATCAGATCCTTTTCACATGTTTGAAGTTCAGTTTCTCCTGCCTAGGAGTGAGTGAGAGAGGCAGAGGACAGTTGTGATCCTTGACTCTGGTATTTTGCCCAGTGAAGGTAAAGGGAATATATGGGGGTTTTTGGTGTTTGTTGAGCTAACCTTGCTGAATCTGTGTGTGCCCAGGTGCTGCATGCCTGCTCCTGTCTTTACACTGTGTTTGTGTTGGGACTTTCTTAGCCTTACCATAAAATTCACTGAAGGTGTTGCAGCAGCAATGAGGTAAAAGTTTGGCTGAGCTGAGATCAAACATCTGATGCCAGGTGTCCTCCATGCAGAACAGGCAATTCATTTATAACCTGGGTTTCCAACCAGTGGTAGGCAGACAATTTTTGTGTCATTAAATGTGAATTGTCTTTGATTTTTAATGCTTAGTTGGTGGGCTGTGTGAAATAATAAAATTATTATTTATTAATCAGTGTTTATAAATAAAGTATGGTACTTGACCTTGAAAAATGACTTAGGACAGCTTCATCTATTGGCTCACAGTTGGACAGGTACCACCTTTTCCAGTATCATTAGAACTTCTACAAAGACATTTTAATTGATTATTTTCTTCATCTTTTTTAGGAGTTTATTGCACTGTCCAAGAGTTTAATGAATGACCCCATTTTGGAAAAGGAAATTATAACAAGGGCCAAAGACTACGTGAAGAAGCACCATTCCTGGGAAGGTGAAAGGAAAACCTACCAGAACCTTGTGCAGAGACTGCAGTGACTTGGCAGGCTGCAGCTGAGAGCCAGGGCAGCACTTTCCTGATGGAAACGTGGTTAGCTTTGGGTTCCTCTGGGGTTCCTGCTGGAAGAACAGTCAGACATTGCAGTTCCAGTCCCACAAACCAGCTCCCAGCCTGGGCTCAGCAGCAGGAGGGCACCCCTGGAGCAGCTGCCAGCTGTTTGCTGCTGTGGTGCTGCCAGGGCAGGGCATTCCTGGCACACAGGGCTGGCAGGAAACCTCCTGCCCTGCTGCATCCCCCCCTGCAGCAGCAGCAGCAGCAGCAGCAGCAGCAGCAGCAGCTCCCTTCCCACTGCCACCCTCGGAGCACACCCAGGTGCTCAGCACACACTGGGATAAATGATGCCACCAGAGGGATAAATGATGCCACCAGAGGGATAAATGATGCCACCAGAGCTCCCTGCAGCCTGCACTGGGGCAGCAGGAGTACCACAAACAGTGAGCAGTGCTGCTGCTGGGCAGAGGGAGCAGCACAGGGTGATCCCCTGAGCCCTGCAGCCCCTCCTGGGCATGGCCCAGCTCTCCTGAGCCTGCAGTTCTGCCCCTGGCACTGGGGCAGGAGCTTGGCCCAGGGGCCAGAGCTGTGCCAGAGACGCTCTGTTACATCAACTACCTCTTGCTTTGCCAGTTCCTTTGGTCCCCCTGTGATTTACTTATTTATTAAAAGATTTATGAGACCTATGAAAAGGGATGTGGGGGGTGGAGGTATTTTCAATTCACTGTTTGTTCTTATTTGTGGCTTCTCAGGATGTATTTCCATAGAATGCAGCAGCCTTGTCTGAAAGTGAGACTGATCTCTGCTGAAAGTCCCCACTAATCATCCCTGGCAGCCCAGGGATTATGGACACACCTCTGAGTCTGTAACTGGGCATCCAAGGACTTGCATCTACAGGAAAAAGAAAAAAAGAGGGGCATATTTGTAACAGGTTCTTAGGCACCTGTTTGCTTTGTATGGTCTTGAGCCTAGGAGAACCTGTGAAATGTTCTCCTTGAGCCTGGAGAACCTGTGAGATGCCCCAAGGAGAGCCTGGGAAATGTTTTCTGTGACTTCAGTGGCTGTTGTGTCAGACTTTTCTTTGTCATAATGAACTTCACTGTGCATTTTAAGCTTTGCTCTCTATTTTTGATGTGTTGCAAGGTTCTGGTGCAGTAAACAAGAAAGCAGTTTGAATGTTGTATATTGATTTCTCCCACATTTCCCTCCTTGTTCTGTGTTGGGGCTGCTCTGTACTGCCTTCAGTGAGAATCCCCAAGGGCAAAACCAGCCTGATTTAAATAAACAAGTTCACAGTGACGGATAGAAGCCTCAGCACTGAGCTGGTGGTCAGTGTAATGATTAGAAAGCTTTTTCTGCAGCCTGATACATTTATTACTGAGCTTCAATATAAATATATTGATCTGGAATTTGTGCTCTTCCCAGCAAAACAAAATATGTTCAAGTGAGAAATTGCACTACACCCTCAGAATGTAATTAACATATGATTTTTCAGGCTGTATTTAATCTATAAATATGAAATCTGCATCTGGGAAGCAGCATGCTCATTTGCATGTGCTAAGCGTGGCAGGAGCACAAACACCCTTCTGCAAGGGATGCAGAAGGAAAAGGGGAGCAGCCCCAGCTGAGGAGCAGCACTGACAGCAGGGCTCTGGCAGGACACCCAGCACATCTGAGGGCTCCCAGCACTGCAGGGGACTTCATCATCATCATCATCAGCCACGACTGGATTTATGTTTCACATCCCACCCACTCTCTGTCCCAGCCCTATAAATATTCAATGAGTCTTGTAAGTCCTAGTAAGGAAAATATGAGACCCATGCAAGCAGTTTTGGGTGTAATTATCTTTGCAGCAACTTCACTCAGATGATTTTATAGGTAAGAATAATCCTTTTGTTGTCCTGCAGCCTAATTACAGTATTTATCTTCCCCTTCAAAGCTCCACTCCTGCCCAAGCAGCTCTTTAAGCAAAGCACACCTCGATGAGCTGCAGCTACACTCCAAAAATAGCACTTGTTCTGTTTGCAGGAAAAAACCTCCATTGTGCATCCACCCCACGGCTACTTCTGTATTTCAGGACCTCGAAATGTACTGTTAATTAATCTAATTACATGCATTTTATTTTGCAATTAGCCCTGCCATTGAATCCAAGGGAAGTGGACCTGCACAATGGGTACCACGATGCTGTTCCCCTGCTTGGCCCCCAGAACTGGGGACAATTTGGTGCCATGTGCCAAAGCCCAGCCGTGTGAACAAGGATTTCATTTTAATTAGCCCTAAAGCACACACATCCCAGTTTTCAGAGTTAGCTTCTCTGCTTTCCTGATCACCCTGCCCTAAGAGCACTTGTGCTGGGCTGAGGTTTCCCATTTTTTGGGGTGCTGACCATTGGGTTTCCATCTCCTGAGCCCCAGAGCACAGACAGTTGCTTTGAAGGTTTGCTATAACCACATCAGGACTTAATTGTGAAAGAAAAACATGAAAATATATATTGGAAGACTTACAAATATTTCTGCCTCTTCTGCAATTAGTTTACCACCATTTAGCCCCAGTATTAACCAACCCAAACATCTGCAAGTGCTGCCTTTGGGTTTAAAGAATGCCCAAGCACTTCAGTGTTCATTTCCAATGTATTTCCTCCTGTCTCTTGGGCCCAAAACTCGTTCTGCCCCTTTCTCCCCTCAGTCTCTTTAATCTTTAGGTCAGGAATCATTCCCCGTGAAAGTAAAGAAACAGTTTTGTCAAAGGCTTGTCAGAGGAGATGGGTGCTTCCATGTGGAATTCAGTCATTTAATGGCTCAGTGGGATCTGAGCTTTTTTTTTTCATTAACTTGTCCAAAGTAATTTCATCACTCCAGAATTTATTTCACTTCCACCCTCCTCTGCCTGGCTGGTCCCAGCCCAGTTCCTTTAATGTTTGCAGCTCAAACCTGGAGTAAGAGCAGGTCCCCACAGCCCTGTCCCTCAGTGCCCCTCATTCTCCTGACACAGACAAAGCAGCACCCTCATCTCCAGGGCCTTCCTGCACTGAGAATTCCAGAGGAAAGCAGCTGCTGATGGAAAAGTCTCACATCACCAATACAAGAGCACACTGCAGTAAAAACTCCTAATTTTTGAAGAAACATTTTACATTTTCAAAAGGGGTGGACCATCATCTGCAATTTAATTCTCTCTAAATGAAGCATATTTTCATCAAGTAATTATTCCATGTCATTCCCGTGACAGCTCTTTTAGGTATCAAATATTGAAATCTCACATCCTTTCCAAACATGTAGGCCAGCACTTGTTTTGCCCAGTGCCTGAAAGAATGACTCCAGAAATTCATTTCCCTCAGAGCATTGCCATTAAGCTAATTTAAAGCATGTGTTTGAAATGAAACAATACATTTTAATCAGACCAGCAGAGAACATCTGGTCACTGAGGAATCAAAGTTGTGGGCACCTGACCTGAAAGAGCATTCACCCCCTGAGCACCCTTTAACCCTTCCTGCCCCAGAGCAAGGGCTGCCACCCTTTTATGAGATTTTAATGTGCTTCTTACATGCAAGTCCTATTTTTGTGCACTTCAGATCTGTCTAAGGAAGTCCAGCCACAAGTATGACCTTGCCAGATAGAGGTCACTTATTTCATTTGTCTGATCCAGTCAAGTTTCATCATTCATTGAAACTAAATGCTCCTCTACTGCTTCAAAAATTAATCCCTGCCACGGAAAAGTCCCACTGTTATTTTAGTGGCTTTAAAGTGAACTGAGTTACCCAAGCTCTAATTTAACTTGAGCAATACAACAAAAGCTCATAGGCCTGAGTGTGGCCTTTGCTGTCCCTAACAGCTCCCAGTTTATTCCCAGTTTTTTTTTTGGTTTTTTTTTTTCTTTCCTTTTAAAAATAGATGAAGGTAAGTCCAAATTCCCCTGCAATCACGTTAAAAACTCCATCAATCCTGCCTGCCCCAGCGCTGCCACCTTGCAGTGCCCAGCTCCCAGTGCTCCAAGGTTCACACCAGGACTGGGACTGACCAAGGCTGCCTTGGGCTGGGTTATTGCACAGGCTGCACCTTGTCCTGCAGGACAATGGGGAATCCGGCTGTACAGTGGGGAGGGTGTGTGCAGCACCTCTGCTTTGGAAGATTAGAGAAACTACATCAGATTATTCCTCAGGGAATAAAATAATTTTAATTTTTAAAAATTATATATATATATATAATTATTATTATATATTATTATATTTATATATATTATTATATATTATTATTATATGTATTTTTATTATTTATATATTGATTATATATATAATTTTTATTATTTATATGTATATAATAAAAATTATATATATATAATTAATATAAATAATATATATAATAAAAATTATATATATAAATAATAAAAAAAATAAAACTTTGAGCCATTAAGGACTGGGCAAAAGAAACTTACTTGAAATAAAACCTTGCTGCTTCATCTTTTGGGAGGGAGAAAACAGAGAGCTCCGTAACAGAAATGCACACTGACCTCCTCCAGGGCTGGGCCTAACTGGGGCTGCTCCAGGACCTGCAATCCCAGTGCCAGAGGAAGCAGAGGAACACCCTGAGCCACCAAATGATCCCCATTGTGTATTAGATGCAACTGCACGAGCGAAGTGTTTTGCTGCAGATCATGCTCCATTATTCTGGAATACAATAGTTCCCTTGGCATTAGTGCCAAATGAAAGGCGAGTTCATTCTGTCTGAGAGCCCAAACAAACACACACTGACAATGGGGATAAATCAGATTGCTGCAGCACTTTCAAGGAGCGTAAAAATAATATTTTAATCAAATAACTCAGCTGCAGCTGCCATGAACCGCTGGGAAGGTTAAGGCTGTGGCTCAGTGTTCTACTGAGAAAACACAGAATTATTCCAAACACGCCGTTCCATTGCCTCGGCTCGGATTAAAGCAGAGGATGCAAAGCAGAGTTTCCAGCCCTAACTGAAGCCACCAAAAAACCCCGAGGGTAAGGAACAGTCATCCAGCAAGACAATGCAATGCTAGAGAAAAGTAACTGCTGCCAGAGCGGCGTGGTTCAGTCCGAAATAAAGATTTGGGGAGGGGTGTTAATTTAATTTACTCCAAAATAAGGAGTACAGCCACATTTAGGGTTTGGGTCTGTGAGCTCTAAGTCCAGCTCCCAGCTGCAGCAGGGACTGCTGCCTGCTGTGCCCAGCCCCTGTCTGAGACCAAAACCAGAACCAGTGAGCACCAGCTGCACCCCAGCAAGTGCAGAGCCCCTGGGGCTGCTGACAGACCACTGCTGACAGACACACCTAAAACCGTGAGCCACACACCTAAATCCAGAGCTATACACCTAAATCCAGAGCCACACACCTAAATCCAGAGCCACACACCTAAATCCATGGGCCACACACCTAAATCCAGAGCCACACACCTAAATCCAGAGCCACACACCTAAATCCAGAGCCACACACCTAAATCCAGAGCCACACACCTAAATCCAGAGCCACACACCTAAATCCAGAGCCATGCACCTAAATCCACGAACAACACACCTAAATCCAGAGCCACACACCTAAATCCAGAGCCACGCACCTAAATCCAGAGCCATGCACCTAAATCCACGAACAACACACCTAAATCCATGAGCCACACACCTAAATCCAGAGCCACACACCTAAATCCATGGGCCACACACCTAAATCCATGGGCCACACACCTAAATCCATGGGCCACACACCTAAATCCATGGGCCACACACCTAAATGCCACCCAGGGCCTTGACTTTAGCACCCATCCCAGGTCAGGGATGGGTTAAAATAATTGTCACACAGGGAAAAGCTCTGTGGAATATTACTCTGTGTTGACATTGAAGCTGCATTTCAACAGGAGCAGATTTTGTCACACAAAAATCTGCTTTTCAGTAAATGTTTCATTGACTTCTACATAAGGACCATGAATGACTCCAAACCCGGTTTGTGCTGCAGCCAGTGAAATGTTCTTTTTTTTCCTCTTCCACACCAAATATTTAAATGTCAATCTCTTAACAGAACAAACTGTCTTTGGAGGCTGGGAGCACAGGTTGTGTTCCTTATTAGCCCTTTCCTAAGTAATCTAAATTGCAGTCAACTAACATGTGGATTATAAATTCCCTTACACAAAAATCTATAAAATATTAGTTTTAACTGTCCACCTCTATTATTTCCACCATGAAAAGTTAATTTGAACAGCTGCAAATGAAGCCTTTTGTGTCCAGCATTACTTAAAGCTATTTAAAGGGAAGAAAATCAAAAGCTACACATGGCAATGGCAAGCTTTTGTTAATGCTACCACCACAGAAAATAATAAATAATCAAATATTTACTATTCCCACCACCACAGTTAGTTCTGTCTCATACTCACAGTGGCTGTCCCAGCAGGCTGGCAGTGCTGCACGGGGCAGCTCCTTCTGCTCTGGGCCAAGGTTTCTGGGCTGGTTCCTCCAGAGCAGCTCTGCACAGGGCTGGTTCCACGTCCTGCACAGAGCTGGTTCCACGTCCTGCACAGAGCTGGTTCCATGTCCTGCACAGGGCTGGTTCCACGTCCTGCACAGGGCTGGTTCCACGTCCTGCACGGGGCTGGTTCCACGTCCTGCACAGGGCTGGTTCCATGTCCTGCACAGGGCTGGTTCCATGTCCTGCACAGGGCTGGTTCCACATCCTGCACAGAGCTGGTTCCACGTCCTGCACAGGGCTGGTTCCACATCCTGCACGGGGCTGGTTCCCCATCCTGCACAGGGCTGGTTCCACATCCTGCACAGAGCTGGTTCCACGTCCTGCACAGGGCTGGTTCCACGTCCTGCACAGGGCTGGTTCCGTGTCCTGCACGGGGCTGGTTCCCCATCCTGCACAGGGCTGGTTCCATGTCCTGCACGGGGCTGGTTCCACGTCCTGCACAGGGCTGGTTCCACGTCCTGCACAGGGCAGCACAATCCCAGCTGGACGTGCCTGGCTGTGCAGCTCAGCTCCTCCAGCTCCTGCCTGCTCCCACCCCAAGCCAGGGCTGCCCTTCCCCCAGGTGCTCAGGATTTGGCTGATGAAGACAAGGTGCAGACAGGCAGGTGAATCCTGGGCTGCATACAGGGCTGCCTCTGTGCCTGCAATGACATTAATTAATTAATTACCTTCCTGCAGAGCAGGAGCCTCACCTGGAGACACAAATCCCTCCTGACTGTGCCAGGCAGAGTGAGGGGACACAGCCAGAGCCCTTCAGGCACTGCACAGCCCTGGAGGGACATGGACAGCCTGGAGAAGAGGAGAGGAGAGCTTGAGAAGCTGCTCCAAATGCAGCCAGGGGGCTCCAATGCAGCCAGGGGGCTCCAATGCAGCCAGGGGGCTCCAATGCAGCCCTGCCACCTCAAACACAGCGTGCAGTGCATCCCTCAACATCCCTCCTGCTCCCTGGGGATCTGGGCTGCTGAGCCAAAGCCACACCTGGAGCAAGCTCCTGCCACCCCTGGCAGCTCCGCCAGGCTCTGCAGTGCCAGGCAAACACATTGCAGAGCACTGGAGAGTCTGTGCTCCATCAGCCCCTCCTCAGAGCAGTGTTTGGAACCTTACAGGGAATAAAACCAATTCACAGGGCTGATCTGCTGCATTATGGAAATGCTGCTGGGTGAGGGGCAGGGCTCATTTCTCAGTGTAGGAAATAAGTGTTTGGGTATCCTGTCTTCTGCACACCCCACCCTGGCTGCAGAGCTGGAGGCTTTTCTCTTTGCTCCAGACTTAATTGCCTGGAGTATTTACTGCCTGTATCTATTACCCAAAAATGATGTGTTTCAAGCTCTTTCATTTTTTCTTTCTGTTTTCTTTTTTTTTTTTTTTTTTTTTTTTTAAGGGGAAGAGAGAGAATCCTCAGATCAGTAAGTGAAATAATTCACAGTTATCCCCTTCTATAGCAAACAAATCCATTTCCCCACCTCCCCACAGCCCACATTGCTGCTGCTGCATTATCTGTACGAGGCAGGCATTGGCAAGGCGACAGGGGAAAATGACAGGACATTGTAAGGGAATTTAATGAAGTGCCTCCAAATACTGTATCAAAATAAATGAAGTGAATAATGCAGGAGCTCGTTGCAGGTGCCTTCCAGGACAGACAGCATTGTGTGAGCAGCACATCTGAGGAGATGGGATGGCTGGGGAACACAAAGGTGCCACTGGCACAGGGCAGAGCAGGGACAATGGCACCTCAATGGCTTTAATTCATGGCAGCGACTCGCTGAGGCCAGACACTCGGCAAGAAGAGAGCAGCTGGTCACAGGGAGCAGGAGAATGATCAGCCTCCAGATCTGGTCTCACTGAGCCACTGCTTCTGCCCAGGGAAAAGGGAATGATCACAGCCCTGCATCCCTGCTGACATCCTGGGGCTGCCCAGGGAAAAGGGAAAGGGACTGATCACAGCCCTGCATCCCTGCTGAGATCCTGGGGCTGCCCAGGGCAGGGACACGGGCTGGCACTGCCACTCACCCCTTGGAAATGCCTGTCCTGAGAAATGTCCCCTCGGAACGTCCCTGTGACACAGGGACACCCAGCAGGACACGGGGACCCAGGCACTGCCAGGCTCTGAGCGGGCTGTGCCTCCTGGCCCTGCCAGCAGCTGGGGTCTCACTGTCCCCTGGCTCTGTGTAAAACAGCTCTGTACACCTCTCTGTGCACAGAGAGCACTCACACAGGTATAAAACAGCTCTGTGTGCCTCTCTGTGCAGGGAGAACACTCACACAGGTGTAAAACAGCTCTGTGTGCCTCTCTGTGCACAGAGAGCACTCACACAGGTGTAAAACAGCTCTGTGTGCACAGAGAACACTCACACAGTTGTAAAACAGCTCTGTATGCACAGAGAACACTCACACGGGTGTAAAACAGCTCTGTGTGCCTCTCTGTGCAGGCTGCCCCAGCTGTGCCAGCCAGACACAGTGACAGCACAAATCCAGGTGAGGAACCATCAGTAAAAACCTTCAGAGCTCTTACCTTGCCTGTAAACACCCCGTGTGCCTCTGCTCTAATTTTGTCTGAGAAAAGAAATGCTTGGCACGCACCCACCCCCAGCTCCAAGGCATCCTCCCCTCCTTGGAGACACATCCTGCACCCATCCTGCTCTCCATCCAGCCTCCCCCAGCCCAGCTGCAATTCCCTGACAGCTTGGCTTCAAATTCCCTCTCTGCCCAGCTCATGCTAAGAACCTTAATATTCCTGCGGATTCAGAAAGGGGATTTCCAACAAGCATTAGGAAAATTAAACTTCTCAAGAGCTGCCTCAATCTGACAAGCCATCTCTGGCTCTTTAAAGCACGGTAAGTGAAAATATTAAAATGGGGGCTGGGGAAGCTGTAGTAAGCAAAGGATGAATTAGAGGCAGAAACGAGGCCAGGCAGTGCTGGATATACCTAAGGCACCCATAGATGTATTTACAGCCACAGAGACACATGAGTGTGACTTGTTTAGGGCCTCCTGCTGCCTTGGAACAGCAAATCACCATCTCCCACCCCTGCCTCCACCCAAAGCCACAGCAGCTGATGACACAACTGAGTGTGAGAGGCACCAGCAGCTGATAACACTACTGAGTCTGAGGCATCTCCCCTGGGGATTTGGGCTCTGCATCCCACCCAGAGCCCCTTTGGGCAGCAGACTGGCAGCCCCTGGTTAATGCAGCATCTCTGGGGATGCAGGCAGGGAGGGCACAGGCCAGGCCCTCCTCGGGCTGGCTGGGGACACTGGGCTCAGCAGAGCTGCTGCTGGAGGTGGCACCAGTGCCCCCAGCTCGGGCTGCTGCCAGGGCTGGGCTGGTGCACCTCCCAAATCCCAGGGATTTGGGTGTGTCCCACTGCTCCCTTCCCAACAGGGCAGGCTACAAAATGCCCCCGAGTCCCAGCTTGGCCATCCCTGTCCCCTTTTGCTCCCTCCTCTCTTTCCCTGTGTGCATCCCCTTCGGAGCTGCCAGCCCAGCCCGAGGGGAGAGGCTGTGTATAGCCCAGGTCAGGGCAGGGGAGGCTGACAAGCCCAACCAGGCTTCCAAAATATGGGTGCGACTCCGAAGGAGGAGATGATGTTATTTAGCAGCATCAGAGTGGCAAAATGTAGCTGTTTGCAGCTCAGTAGTGTGGCCTGAGTCTTGCTCTAAAACCTGGAAATTTCCCCTGGTTTGAGGCCTGATTTGAGTGATGATGCTCAGCTTGTCTGTCTGTCTGTCCTCCCACTTTGCAGCAATCCTCCCCAGCAGGCTCACAAATCACATTACACTGGGGTTAAAGAGCACCCCTGCAATTAAAGCCCCTCCTCACGGGTGCTGTAGGAGTGGGGGACACCAGCTCTGCACAAGATGAGGCGACAAAGTAATTGGAAGAGATGATTAAAATCCTATGGTTCTTCAGGGGCTGGGGTGATTGTGCAAGGACTGTGCAGTGCAAAGGAAAAAATCCTTCTGAGCTTGCACTTGCAGCCTGCCAAAAACGCCTCTCCAGCTGCATGAATCGCTCCTGCAAAAGACAATTACTGAGCACTGGATGAAAGTCAAGGCTGTGGAGAGCTCGGTACAGAGCAAGACCTGATCAATATCCAGGATTTTCCACTATTGCAGAATACTTTGCAGGCTGATAGCACTTATTTAAGGGAGAAGCACAAGAGGGACTGATTTGACCTTGGTGTCCTGGCGGGCAGCACAGGAGGGATGCCAAATGCTAAGAGCAAAGCTATTGATCAGGCTGGAGAGAGGCACTGATGCAAGCAAGCTGTAAAGGAGTCACTCATGGCCAAGAGGAGCACAGTGATTTAGGGGTTTGGCCTGATGATAACAGGATGGAAAATGTGTGTCCACAGCCATCAGACAAAGGATGTGCTGAAGAAACAGGGAGGCACGAGAGACAGCAGTACAGCTGGGTGAGCTCTTGGTGGACACAGATGATGCTGGGCTGGCCCCAGGCAGAGTGTGCTGGCCCAGGCAGTGCTCAGGGAGAGTGCAAGGACAGCTCCCTTCCTTCTGTCCTTGCTTCTGCTCAGCTCTGCCTGTCTGCACTTACTGAGCCAGGGAAATGCTGCCAATGGGGCTCAGCCATCCCTGCAGCCTGGCATTGCCAGGGCTGAGTGGTGAATGAAGCTCCTTGGATGGGTTTCTACGTCATTAGTGCATTAACCGACTGTAGGAAGCTCCAATTTAATTACCAGGAACACAGGCCTGAACACAGTAAGCACAGCCCTGTTACACTTCAGAGCTGCAGCCTTCTGGTGCTGGGGACGTCGGTCTGGGCTCTGCCAGGTGCCACAGAGAGCTGGTGGCACCCAGGCAGGGCAGCCAGCACCGACAGGGCTGGGGGAGCTCGGACAGAGAGCTCCACCAGGCAGGATGGACAGGGGGAATTCGGGCACAGAGAGCTCCACCAGGCAGGATGGAGCAGAGCTGGGGGAATTCGGGCACAGAGAGCTGGCACCAGGCAGGATGGAGCAGAGCTGGGGGAATTCGGGCACAGAGAGCTTCACCAGGCAGAGCTGCAGCAGGGTCTGTGGCTGCAGAAGGGGGCAGGAGCCCCCATGTGCACCCAGTGCAGTCCAGCAGGGAGCCAGGAGCTCAGGGCTGTGCAAACCAGAATGGCTGGGGCACTGGTGTCCCTGCAGTGTCCTGTAGTGTCCCTGCAGTGTCCTGCAGTGTCCTGCAGTGTCCCTGCAGGCTCCCCAGGCTGCTCAGGGCAGATGTGGCACAACTCGTGGTGTGCAATCCAGCAGCCACCTTCGCTGTGGTGGGGATTTCCTAATGAGCACTGGCAGTACACACAAGCACTTCTCCAGCCATCAATATTACATTCGTGGGCTGCTTAATTTGCTGTTCCTCACGGGGCTGGAGCAGGGAGCCTGCATAATGAAGGGTTTGTTGACAGAGGTCTTCATGTCACATCAGCAAGAAGGCAGAAAACGATCCTGTTTCAGGCACACCTGCTGGACTCGAGTCACCTTGGCCCTTCTGGTGCTCCTGAGCACGAGCAGGGCCCAGGTGCTCTGCTCTTGTCAGGCCATTAGTGCTGCCAGGTTGGAACTCCACCAGTTCAAGCTTCCAACCAGCACATCCCTGATTTCAGGGCAAGGAGCATTATTTCTGCATGAGGAAGGTGATAGGTGCTGGCAGCCAAACTCTGCTCAGAAAGGTGCCTAGGCAGATGGCCGGGTAAGGGCAGAGGCAGGGCACACCTGGGAGCTCTCACACAGAAATGAACTGGAAGCAGAAGGCAAATCCTGTCTCCTCTGCACTGTGCAGTGCTGCCCTCCCTTCCTAAGGGCCCTCCTGCCTCGGGACGGCTGAAGCTGCAGCCAGGCAGGCAGCAGGGATGGCTGGTGCTGCGTGGGCAGCTGGGCTGGCACTGGCACCTGTCCTGCAGGACACTCCTGTCCCACCTGACACAGCTGGGGAGGCTGCCAGCTCCCTCTGAGCTCTGAGTTTTGGTGGCACTGCACTGCTGGCAGGAGATGTGTGGCTGCAGCCCTGCAGGGATGGGCTCTGGCACCACAATGAACATGTAGAAATATGTGACAGAGTTCCCGGGCTTTCAGGACTAAATCAATTCATCTCTGGGAGTTTTTTTAAATGCTTGAGGCATTTTCTAAACGCACCATTTGGCGGTGATAGCTGCTTCCCCGAGCTAATTCCTGAGTGATGCTAGCTGGCCTTTGATCAATAGCAGCGAGCCCAGCCAGCTCTGCCCCAGTGCCACACGAAGGGCTCTCCCAGGCTGTGCTGCACCTCTCCTGCAGGAACAGTCAGCTCCCACTCAGGAGCAGCCCCTGGGGCCAGAGAGACTGAGCTGGCAGCCGAGGAACTGAGCACACACAGAGCTGAACTAAAGCTGGAGGAACTGAGCACACACAGAGCTGAACTAAGGCTGGAGGAACTGAGCACACACAGAGCTGAACTAAGGCTGGAGGAACTGAGCACACACAGGGCTGAACTAAAGCTGGAGGAACTGAGCACACACAGGGCTGAACTAAAGCTGGAGGAACTGAGCACACACAGAGCTGAACTAAAGCTGGAGGAACTGAGCACACACAGAGCTGAACTAAGGTGTCTCCAGGGTGCTCATTCCATTTACATCCCATTCATTACAGAAACGAGCTGGGAAAGTTTCTACAGCGACTCAGTGCAGGCTGCACATAGATTTATACCTATTCTGGTTTTTAAAGTCAGCGCCAGAGAAGTCTTGTTCCAAACCGATTATTTAGCTGCATTGCTCAGACTTTGGATTCACTGGGTCTAAACCACCATATATTTAAGACTGCTGAAGGGGAAGCTTTTAAAATAAAAGAAGAGAGTAAAGAACCAGCTTACCTGATTTATAGGACCATTGAGTTTCTACTCCAGATTGTATTCATGCATAAAGTCTCTAAAAAAGAACCAAACTGTATCAGATAAATTTTCTTATTTAGACATGCCTCAATCAGTCTACTCAGACATGAAAATAAGAGGCAACTGCAAAGAAGAAAACAATAAGGCAATTAATAACTCTCACAGGAGAGTGCTTGCTGTCAGCAGGGCTCTCTATCAGGTTCAAGAGATGGCAAGTGGGAGCCACAGCTGCAGAGCATTACGTGTGTGCAGCACACAAACACCAGCACTGCTTTAATGATGAGCAGCAGGACCCAGGCCCCAGGTTTGCCAGCTGGGATCTCAGCTGATTGCCTGGAACACGAAATTCCTCCCTGGGATGCTCCACGGTGCAGAGGGGTTTGCTTAGCAATGTGGGCCCTGTGCAGCACCAAAAGGGATGTACACAATCCCCCCGCCCAAAGACACACACATGTAAAAATCCCTGCAGGAAGTTGATTATTCTGCTATTAGCAGATTAATTAGGGTGTTTGCTTGCATGCAGGATCCTGCACAGGGGGGTTTTGCCAGAGATTTGCAGTGACTCTGGGCACATCACCTCAGCCCGGGCTCCCCAGGTCAGTGAGGGGCACACCTTGCTGAGAGCATGGTGAGGCCCGTGGAAAATGAACACCCTGCACACTGCATTATTTATGGCAGTGCCCTGTGGATAATGGCCAGGGGCACTGCTGCATTCCCAGGCAGCTCTGGGCCAGCACACAGGCACAGGTCTGCACGGCAGCATGCTCAGGGCTGCAGCTGGGGCAAGGCTGCGGGGAGGCTGCCAGGCTTTGCTGCAGCACCCAGGCTGCTTCCCTCACCTGAGAGCTCGGCCAGAGCTTGTCTGGACCCTGCACTGCGCTGTCACTGCTGCACTGCACTGCTGCACTGCGCTGTCACTGCTGCAGCTGCTCCTGCACTGCGCTGTCACTGCTGCAGCTGCTCCTGCACTGTCACCGCTGCAGCTGCTCCTGCACTCTGCTGTCACTGCTGCTCCTGCACCGCGCTGTCACTGCTGAAGCTGCTCCTGCACTGTGCTGTCACTGCTGCAGCTGCTCCTGCACTGCACTGTCACTGCTGCAGCTGCTCCTGCACTCTGCTGTCACCGCTGCACCCCGTCCTGCACTGGGTCATCCAAGCCTCGAGCAGAGGTGCTGCAAGAAAGCAAAGACCATCTGATCTCCACAGTATTGGGCACATTTGCTCTGTTTGCTCACCTGCTCCCTTCAAAGTGCCCTAAAAGGTGCATGGCCAAACATGGATCTTCCCAGAGGAGAGAGGCAGAAGCCAAACATAGAAACTCACGTATCGGGCTTTCAGGCTAGGAACAAGGCAGGAGGATTTATTTGCAAATAGTTTCAGCTCTTGGAAGGGTGACTTGGTGCATGTAGCACAACATTGTTGGTGCTGCACGCTGTCCCCCAGCACTGCAGCGTTCAGTGCTGTGAGTAGATTGTGCCTCCTGGATCCATCAGAGGACTCTGCCTGTCCTGCTGCCAGGCTCTCTCAGGGTAAACGTTCTGACAGCCAAAGGAAAGAGGCGTTCCGAGTAGGAAAAAAAAGATGAAGCCACTAAAATGCAAATTTTATTCACAGTTGGCATGTTTATAAATATATATATTACATTCTTACAATCTACAGTACATTCTAAATATAGAGGGATTCAATCTAAGTGTTTGTGGGAGGGCGGGTGTGTATTAAACTGAGCAACATAGATTCAAGGATGGAAGACTTAACAAAAAAGGGGGCCAGGACTCACTCCAGAAAATAAAGGGGAACTTGAAATATTTTTATATATCAAATCCATTACCTGGATTTTAGTTAGTGCTTTGGCACTTTGCCACTGGCCTTTGGAGGCTGCTGCTGGACCTCACAAGACATGTCCTGGTGTGAGGCTGGAGGGCACGTCGGGTTGGAGGGCAATCACTGAAATCCTACTGTATGTACATCCTCAGCAGAAGGAAACAGAGGATAATCATCACCCCTGGGAGAAACAAATGTTATCTGCTGAGCTGAGCTGTGCAGGGCTCAGTGCTGAACGTGCAGCTCTGCCCTGTGCCCTCCCAGCGCCCTGGCCATGTGCGGGGCTGGGCAGGGGCACAGGAGCTGAGCACTCCCAGCTGCCCCCGAGCAGGGCAGGGAGCAGGAGGAGCTGCTGGGGAGGGACAGCTCAGCACGAGGGCTCCGGGCCAGGGACAGTGGCCAGCTCCAGGGAGGGACAGTGGGGCACCTGCAGGAGGGAGGGAGGGAAGGGGAAAGGGAAGGGAAAAGGGAAGGGAACAGGGAAAAGGGAAAAGGGAAAAGGGAAAAGGGAAAAGGGGAACGGGAGAAGGGAGAAGGGAAAAAGGAAAAGTGGAAAGGGATCACAGCTTCCAAGGCTGACTGATCTGGGAAGTGCCCTCAGGATACCGGATGGGGAGCTCCAGGGAAAGGGCTGGGAATACAAATCCAAAACAGGACAGTTAAACAAAGTGGGCTTTTAAAAATAGCTCATTCTCTCAAACTTTCCAAAAGACCTTCCTTAGTATGAGTGATAGTCTGAGTATAGATCATATCTTCTCCTATTTTACAAATTAAGAAATACCGAAAATTGGCTGGCAACGTTTATTACCTTGGCATCTACTTAAAAAGAGAGTTTCAGTTTGAACTGTGTCTGTGTATCCATTGTCAGTGCTTGGGAGGCAAACACGCTGGTTTGTAAACAGCCCAGTTACACCTTTATCCCCTCCAGACTCTTTGGAAACTCCTGACTCCTCAGCTCTGGGAGCTGCTTCGTTCACACTGTTGGTTTATGTCAGCTATAAATTAATGTTCCTGGATGGGTATTCTCTGCACGTGGCCTGAACGACATGCTCTTCTCATGGATCTATTTATTCTGAGACCAATCTTTTGCTTTTAACCAAAGCTTGCAATATTGAACAGTAGAGCTGTGTGAGCTTTGTAATATCCAAACTGCACTGGAGTTTGTTATATTTATTGATTTTCTGGGAAAGCACAGAGAATGAGACCATATTATTTTTCTAAGTTTTTTTTCATGTTATCGTGTATCAAAAAACCACACACATCTCTCACTTCCATCTCTGAGCACAGAGAGGGCTTGAATTTTAAGAGCTGTCCAGGATCTCTGCTCTCCCAGCTGCTTTTGGGTGGCTTCTTGGGGCTCCATTGAGTTATTATCCACCAGCTGATTCTTGTTAGAATACAACATGTCGCCCCACTACCCAAAATTAAAGGCAGAAGGTGAGTGAAAAACAAACAAACGAACAAACCAAACCAAAAAAGTCTTTTGTGTCCCATTACGCATTTTCATGTAACCTCTCCATGTAGTTTTTAAGCTCTTTGCACTCCCCCAGGTCCATGTCCTGGCAGACCCATTTAATGTCATCCTCGTTACTCATCAGGATGGAGTTGACAGCTGGACACCCATCGTCGGAGGAGATGGTGGTGAAGGTGGTGAATTTAACCCGTTTCCTCTTAGAGGTAGGAGAAGTGGTCGGTTCACTTTTCTGTTCTTTCCCTTCGCTGAACTCAGGAGACCTGAAAGACTGTCCATTGATATTTTTGGTGGCAGTTGTGCTGAGGAGGTATTTGCTCTCCTCATAGTCCACTCCTCTGTCGATGGCTGTGATCCGTTCATCTTGCTGCGAGGAGAAGTTGATGTGATTCTCCAGGAGCTCTGTCCTGTTGCTCAGCCCAACCCAGTCATGAGAGTGGCTCATGCCCTCCTGCTCTTCAAAGGGAGCTTGTTTGTTCCTGTACTTCAGAGCGAACGCCACGCAGTTGATGAGGAAGACGAGGATGGCGAGGCAGAAGACGCCCAGCAGGGCGTACATGCCGATCTCCAGGTCGCTGAGGCCACGGGGGGACTGTGCTGGGTCGCCGTCCTCTGCCTCCGCGCTGTCCCTGGGCAGCTCCACCTGCGCGGGGAAGCTCGTCAGGTCCAGGGGCAGGTTCTGGCTGGCGTCGTCCAGGAGGCTCTCCCTGTCCTCCTTCCTGCTCAGCACGGACCTGTGGGTGGTGGTGGCCCTGCCCTGCTCGTGGCCCGCGGAGGAGCTGGAGAACTGCCCGTCCCCTCTGTCCTGCCAGCCGCTCCTGTGGCGCCGGTCGCTGGGCTGGTTTTCCAGGGGCACACCGGCACCCCTGCGCTTGCTATCGCTGGCGCTGGGGTTGGCATCGCCCTGCCCGAACTTGACTTTAATGCTGCCGCTCCCAACAGCCAGGACGCTCTTCCTTTTGGACTTCTGGCACGATTCACTGATCACCATCTCCACCTTCACCAGGCTGCCCTGGCCCTCGGTCTCGGCAGCAATCACGGGCCACTTGAATCTGGGGTCATGCTGGATGGACACCACCTTCTCATCCAGAGAGGTGGCTGACAGGGAGAAGTCTTTGGAGTCATAAATATCCAGGGGCATGACAGATCCATCACTGAACTGGATCCAGCAGCTGATGGCTGCTTCCTGTAACACAGAAAACAAACACAGACCCACTCAGAGTGATCCTCGAGGGAAACGTGCTCTGTTCTGGTCTGTTCCCTCCTCCTCACAAGATCCACGCACCATTAGTGATCAGGAAAGAAATAAATAGGGAGAGCAGTGAAATTAATATCTTGCCAAGAGGTGAAGAGAAATACCAGTCTGAAACACTCGTTGCTAATAAGATTGGTTTCCACAAAGGTGCTTAAAGGAGCCGTATCCCCTGGGCTCTGCGGAATCTCCTTCAGCACCATAATAAATTGCATGTCAGGAAGCATTACCAGTGACTGAGATCATTTACTGTTGTGTATTTACATTAAAAACCCCAACATTATTTCTAAACTGCTAAAAATACAAAGTCTCCTCTTATTACACAAAGCACATGTTAAAAGATAGCTAATACAGCAAACAGTCCACACATGAGTCCACACCTTCACTCCTTGATTTCTGTCTCTCAAATGAAATTAGCAGATGGCATAAGCAGAGGAAAGCAATCAGTTGCTTCTTTAGAAAACGGACAGGGTAATTTTTACGCTTGTTAGCAATTAAAAGCAAGACAATAATAAAGTTTAATCTCGTGTCACAGCAATGCAGATTGTGTACTTCAGTGTGCATGGAGGCTTTCACTGAATGCAAATGAATCCGACCTGGGTACCAAGAACGTGCCTAATGCTGCAGCTTTCCTGGAATCCTTGACTTTTGGCTTCCAATTTGAACCATTTTGAAGTATTTTTAAATTTCAGAAAACATGTGCCCAACCATTTCTGAAAATCAGGTCCTCTAAGGACTCTCAAATGGCTATTGAAAATTGTTGTGCCAGATGAAAAAAAACCCTTTGTATTCATACATTGATCATTTACAGATAAAATTCAGGTTGCTCTCCTGGAATCTCATTCTTGCTTCTGATGGTCTGAGTTGTCCAGGTTGGGATATTTGCACTGGAGAATCCCCACCAGACAGACCTGGCTTCATCAGTGGATTCTCTACTGTCTGCAATGAGTTTTCTGTGGTCAGAGTTGGGATCACCTTGCTGTGAGAGTCTGCCAGACAGACAGACACCCAGCCAACAAATTAACTTCTGAAAACCGTGGATATGAAAGTCCCGTTTCTTTAAATCAGCAGTTTTTCATACAGACTGTATTTACATTCTAACTCCACGTATGTACAGAGAATAAACACATATGATCATCCTTTAAATTGCTGATAGCACAAAGTCATTCACCTGTTCGGGGCATGGAGAATAAGCTTCCAGTCTCTTGGGAGTGTATGGTGCATAATCTACTGGCCTGATTCCGAAATCCTCAGAGCCACAAAGCTCCCCCTGCTTCAATGGGAGATTTGCTTCTGTCTCTATTTCAGGCCAGAGCCCTAAGACTTTGCTGACACTGTCATAAATCCCAGCTTTGTGTTTATTAATCTTTGGCTGTTTCTTGAAGGCTGCATAGAATTTATGTCATCAACTCTCATCCTCCCACTGTGCTGCTTAAACCTGCATAATCATTTAATAATTTTGCATTGCTTTGCTTACAGGACTGTGCTCTGGAAATCATGTCCTGAGCCATGGAGGGACTCAGCTGCCTTTCAGAGCAGAGGCAGCCCTGCCAGACTGGGGCACACCAGAGATTTCCTCTCTGCTTTTGTGGGGACCCCTGACTGCAGCCTGCATGCAGGGAGGGACCTGTCCTGTTGTAAATCAGGTGAAGCTGGTGGGGAGAAATGCTGATGTCTGACTCCAGCTCAGAGGGGTGAATGATTTCTTTATTATAACTATACTATAATGCATTAATATACTATTTAAAGGAGATACTAAAACTACAAACCTGCTTTTCTAACTCCCATATCCAACTCACTCCCAGCTCCTGCCCCTCTCTGAGAGTCCAGCCCCAGTGGGTTGGATTGGCCATCATCTCAAACAATCCTCACAGAATCCAACCAAGCAACACCCCAGGGAAACAATTCTCCAAACACATTCCACATGGGAAAACAAGGAGCAGAAATAGAAATTGTTTTCTCTTTCTTTCCTCTGTGCTCCTCTATGAAGAATCTTGAAAGAGAAAAGAATGTACCCGCCCCACTGTCCAGCTCCTCTCTGGGCACTGAAATGCCCTGGCTGGGCACGCAGTGGGGCTGACTGGCACCGAGCCCTGCTCCTGGCTGGTCTGTGTTCAGCCCCCGTGCCATGGGTGAGCTCACTGGCCTCCCTCCACCTGCCTGGCATCGATTCCTCGCCTCCTGGAACACTACAGGAGAGCCTGATTTTATCAGCCTATAGAGACAGCAGCTCTGCATTATTTCTCATCCTGCATCCCAAGGATAAGCCCCCACGATGAATTAAAGCACCTCAGCAGCTGGCCAAACTTCAAATGTGCATGCCATTTACCTTTAAAGCTCAGAACATGCTTAAGTGTTAAGAGCCCAGTGTATCCTTGATGAAAAGTCCCAGACTGATGGATTTGATTTGGAAAAAAGTTTAAATTTCAAATGTGTATGGAAGCACAAGGACAAATGCCAAGCAGGGACTGATGAGGACATGGAAAGTCCAAAAGCCCTTGGTAACTCTTGGTTCCCTAATAAAGGAACTAAGAGTAATAAGGGGGAAAAAATGGTTTATGAAATCATGAATCAGGAAATGAGTCAGTGCTGCTGATTCATGTTCTAGTAATGAATCAGAATGAAAGGGATGCTCCCTGATTCTCAAAGTGCTCACAGGAAGTGACTAAAGGAAGAAGAGTTTGGCACAACACGAGGCACTTTCTCATGTAGAGGTGGAATTAAAGGGATGATTTGATACCTGTGAAGTGGTGGGAAGTTGAACACGGCAGGATATCCTGGCATCCAGTGGCTGCTGGATGGGACAAAGGCACGTGTGTGTGTGTGTGTGTGTGTGTGTGTGTGTGTGTGTGTGTGTAGGGGCACTGCTGGTGCTCAATTCTGACACATCACTGCCTGTTTTTTAGTGATCAGCCATGGCAGGAGGAGTGCTTGGTGCCAGGGGCTGTTAAAATACAGTGCCCTTTTTGTGAGAACTTTGTTTTTTTCTCTTGAGAACCCTTGATGACCTTCAGGAAAGTCCCATAAACAGAATGTTTCATTAGCACATTATTAGTAGAAATCTGCTCAATTCCAGCAGCTGGAAATGTCAGGGGCAGTGCTCAGAGCAGCTCCCTCCACACAGCCCAGCAGGGCAACACAGCTGCTTTGGGGGGCTGGAACAGCACCCCTGCTTTGGGGTCTGGGGCTCCATGCCTGCTTTGGGGTCTGGGGCTCCATACCTGCTTTGGGGTCTGGGGCTCCATACCTGCTTTGGGGTCTGGAGCTCCATACCTGCTTTGGGGACTGGAGCAGCTCCTGTGCCACTGCAGTAGCAAAGATGGCCCTGTTGCTCGCCGGGCTGAGCTGCAGAGAGAGGGACAGTCCTGTCACCAGCTGCACTCCCAGGTCAGTTATTGTCACCTTCTCGTCCAGGACTGTCACTGTCTTCTCAGCCAAGATGGCATCTGAAAGGGGGGACAGGATCTGGAAAGAAAAAGTGAAGTTACCAACAGCCATTGTGTACAGCAGCACGTACAATGAATTCATGGAGCACAGGTAAGGGGTGCTTATGGTAATGGGGTTTCTCACAGCAGACACTACTAAAATATGATTTAAAAGGGCTGCTCACATTTTGTAACTCTTCTGCAATAACAGGGGCCTTACAACAAACACCTTTTACCTGTGCAGCTGTAACCAGCTGTGCCACTCCCCTCTGAATGTGCCAACACCTGCTCCAGATGTGGTGGCTGTCTGTGGATATCATAACCACATCTGCCTCACACGTAGTGACTAGTTGTAAATGTAATCTTAATGTGAAATTTTAGTATTTGATTAATCCTCATGTTTTGAGGTGGCATAAATATAATACAGTCTGTAGATTTATATAAAATCCACTGAATAAATGGTATTTATTTCTATCCCGTGGAAAGGAAGGTTAATGTATTGCTACAATAACCTCTCATGGTACTGAATGCAAAATTGACAGAGAGAATTTGTTTTGGTTAAGAAAATACACACAGAGGTCAGTGCAGTGATACACGACATCCACCATGCTCATTAGCAAGCAAGTAGAATTTAATGATCCATACAGGGTACAAAGCATTTCTGAAGTAGCTTATAAGAGGTATTCTTTAAATACAACTTGCTCTCAGCTTTTTACCCTTGGATTTTTCTTTCCACAGTTTTATGTGCATTGGTTGGAGCACTGTAAGTCCCAGAGCTTTAGAAAGGCATTCAGAATATCTCTGCACATTTTGCAGAAAATCAAAAATCTCTAATCCCATTTCTCCAGCTTTGACAACCTTGTTATTGACAGGTGTGCTGGTTGTTTTCTGCTTTGACAGTTTGGGATGATAAGCATGTTTGGAGAGAGTTTTTTTCCCTGTTTTAGTGTTTGTTAAAACACATTCTACTTCAATATCACTGAAATAAGCTCTCTCCCCATCTCCTTCTCCTTTTATTCTAATTAATATTTAGATTAATATTCCAGTCTCACGTCCTTAACCAGCACTGGTTAATTTTCACTTTACCCTTTGCTCTGTCCATGCAGGATGGGAGAAGGCTGAGCTGCTCCAGCAGCTGCATGCCTCGTGATAATCCAAATCCTGGCTCCAGGTTCAACAGCAGCCGTAGACAAAAACAATCAGAAAAAGCCTCCCAATATACAGGTTGGATTAAGTGAAATGAAACTGCGATCTACTACACTTTGGGGCACCAGATAAGGAGAGAAAACCGTCTCTGCCACGTCTCCTGGTTCTTGCTCCGTTCAGGAGGGGATGGCTGCGGGTTTTGTGGCCAGTGCTGCTCACCCACAGCCAGGGAGGGGGACAGGGAGGAACAGAACAGGTCAGTGATCTCCTACCTGAATCGTGGTCATCCCCAGCTCCAGCCCCACCAGCACCTGCCCGTCCTGCAGCCGGGCGATCCTGGGCTCCTCCACCTGCATGGAGTCCCTGACCAGGTGGGTGATGTCCAGCTGCCAGTCCGAGCCCAGCAGGTGCCTGAGCTGGGCCCCGGGCAGCGGGGGCTCGGCCACGAACTGCGTCAGCACCCTGACCAGGGCGTGCTGGTACTGCAGCGTGCAGCCCCTGCCCCTGCGCTCCTCCTCCTCCTCCTCCTCGCTGTCCCGGGCCGGCCTGCGGACAGCAACAGCGACAGCTCAGCTGGGCTGCAGAGCTGCAACTCCAGCTGCAACTGCAGCTGCAACTCCAGCTGCAACTCCAGCTGCAACTCCAGCTGCTACAGAGAGCGGCTACAGAGAGCTGCAACAGGGAACTGCAACAGAGAGCTGCTGCTGACCCCACTCTGCAGCCTGCTGGTGGGACCCAGCTGCTTCCTTCAGGTTCTCCCACTTTTATCCCATTTCCCGTGTTCGTAACTCAAAACCAGCACTTGTGACCATCAGTTGGCCTCCCAGCTGTGCCACCACATTGTCCTCCCCAAGCATCTTCCATTGTTTTCCATGTCAAGTCCTTGCTTTCAGGACCTTCACATTTCTTTTCTTTCTGGATCTTCCCAGAAACATCTTTGTGTTGCCATGGAAATCTCCTCTGCACCTACACACACATCCCTCTCTGTACAGTACAATTTGAAATCGCACCTCCACCAACATGTCTTTGCTCTGATGCTACCAGAGACCTGTAATAAATGTCTTCATTTGCAGGTGGGAATACCAAGTAGCCACTTTATCAACCTGTTCCTGTTGTTCTCAATAACACTGACAGCAGATGCAGACAGTTCTGACTGCTTCATCCATCCTCTGTCCTGTGGGCACTGACAGTGTGAAAGCTCTGTCCTGACTCGGGCACTGAGCAGTGCCACTGCACCCACAGGGCTGTGAAAGAGCTGTGTGCTAACTGTGACCACTGGCAGTGGATCTGTGAGCTGCCAGGACCTGTGGACGGGCTGGAGACCAACTGTGTGCTAACTGTGACCACTGGCAGTGGATCTGTGAGCTGCCAGGACCTGTGGGCAGGCTGGAGACCGACTGTGTGCTAACTGTGACCACTGGCAGTGGATCTGTGAGCTGCCAGGACCTGTGGATGGGCTGGAGACTGACTGTGTGCTAACTGTGACCACTGGCAGTGGATCTGTGAGCTGCCAGGACCTGTGGACGGGCTGCACACTGAGCAGCCCTGCCAGAGCTGGCTTTGCTGATGTCTCCTTGCTGCCCCATGCCTGATCCTGCTCACCTTGACCACTTGGCTCTTCCCATCCAGTCATTAGTGCTACAAAAGGGAATTGATTTCCAGTGCAGGTTCATGCAACCTGCAGCTTCCATTAGGCTCAGAAGTCCAGTGCAGGAGCCTATTGAATAAATGCCTGGTGACCTTCACATTCTCAGCAGAATTGCATTAAGGCCCAAGGAGCATGTTCGGATCCACTGGCCCTGACAGGTCCCTGGCAAGTGCACAGCCCAGAATGAACATCCCCTAATGAAACCTACCTCTTATTAGAGATGATGGGGACTCTCCAGCCCTTGATCTGATTGAGTTCTGTGTCAGAGACCTCTATCTGCAGCGGGAGACGAGGAATCCACACTGTCATTTCTAAAGGGGCACTCAGGTGCTGGTAAGTAAAATTAACTACGACATTCACTTTGCCTTTCATTTCCTTCCCGTTGACAAAGACATAGTCACATCTGTCAGAAACCTGAAAACAAAAAGGAGAAGGAAAAAAAAATTAATGAGTCTCTGCACTAATTATAAAGTTCCCCACATGCTGGGTAAGTGAGTGGGAGGAAGAGAGAGGATCTGGGTTTAAGCTAGCTCCAGGTTCAGAGGACAGCTAGGAATGCCAAGAAAGGTGCCTGGTATGCCCTTAACAGCCTGTGTAACTCAGCACCATTTTCAGAGGCTGCTTTTTCCTGCTGTAAACAGTTCCAGTGTAATCTAAGATAAGGGAACAGCTTTTTGGTCCTTAATTCCCACTCCAGCAGGAGGCCAGACCTCCGATCATGGCAGGGAGAGAAGGTTCCTCTCCTCTCCCCAGAGCTCAGGCTGCCCATCCTCACCTGGGAGGAGCAGGTGAGTGCCTGCAGGCAGGACTGAGAGGGGACAGATCTCTCTAGGCAGCCCCAGATGGGGCAGAGCTCTCCTGGAGCCCTGTCACAGGTACCAGGGAATGAATGGGGTGCTCACAACCAAAATCCTGCCAGGAATGGCCCAGGGCTGTCCCTGGCACGGCCCCAGTGCTGCTGCCAGCCTGGCAGGGGCCTTGCAGAGCACTGGAGCAGGAGCCAGCCCTGCTGTCCCTTCATTTCTCACCTGCAGCTCTGGACATCAATATTGCAGGCAGTTAGTAAATCTTACTCAAGCAATTTAGCAGCTACTGCAAGGATCTAGGTGAGCTGACAGGACCTGTTCATTACAGTTAGTTAAAATATATGAGTAAATGTACACGTCAAATAATTTATTAACTACCACTTTACAGTGCTGATGATCTGAAGGAATGATCTATTAGAACCCTGAACTCTTTTCACAATCCATTACCAGCCAGACCTTCTATTCCATTCCATCAATGTATTTCATATTTCTCACTCTGGAATGTATAGTCTCATCCTTGTCTGAATTTAATGCCATTTTCTACTTTTCTGTTTAAATGCTGAATTAATTTAAATCATATTTAAATACCACCAGCTTTTGTAGGATAACTGGCATTCCTAATATTATTATCTTTAAACAACAACAACCCCCTCACAGACAGATCCATGGCAAATGCATTTCCATCCTGGCCTGTCTGAGCCTGCGTGACACACCAAGAAAAGGTTATCGTGGCTCTTGCAGTGCCTCCCTTCCAAGCCGTGCCTGTTTTAAGGTCAAACTCCTGAGCTGCTGTTGGTTTCAGCTGGAAGCTGAGTTTGTTTACAGGCAGATTTATGGTTTTTGAGTCTCACATAAGCCTGTTTTACACCAGCTCCTGTCAGGATGCAGTCTCAATGTGCTGCACAGCAAGAAAATGCAGCTGCTGTCAGAAACCTCAGTCTGCTGCTCGCTGGCACTGTGCTGATCCCCCGTGTCTTTCTGCATTTTGAGTGCTGCTCTCACAGCAAAGTCTCCCATGGGATAACAGTAAAGCCCTCACAGGAAACTGCTTTCCTGCTACAGTCATTCTGTTGGAACTCTTGCGAAGCCACAGCTAATAAGTCTTTAAAAATAAGATGCACCTTGAGCAGTTGAGGTCTGTGCCTCTCAAGGGTGGCCAGTTGGGAAGGTAAGCCTCTGGTATTTCCCCATAAAAATGGGTATTTCAGAATCCGTCTGTGACTGTCCCCATCCGTGTTCCTGTAAATGATCCTTCCCCTTACGAGTGCTCTCTGTATATGAAATACTCCTCACACACAGCCCTGCCACCGTGGCAAGCTCATGGGATCCCTTCTGATTTAGCACTGCCCACATTTTCCTTGGTCTAGCAGCGTAAATGGGGATATTTAGTAAGGTAAGTTATGATAATGAGCCCTGCCTAAATCACTGCTGTCAGAGGAAGAATGGGGGAGTCTCTGCTAACCATTAAAAATGAATGAGGAGGGAAATAAATAAGCAAAAGCAGCTCATTTGAGCTATAAAAGACTTGAGAACACAAGCTGTGTACCGAGGTACAAAGGGATGAGGCCATTATTAGCCCTGTAAGTCGCTGATCAATGACTCGGGGCTGCCCTGGATCCCTGGCAGTGCCCAAGGCCAGGCTGGACACTGGGGCTGGAGCAGCTGGGACAGTGGGAGGTGTCCCTGCCATGGCAGGGTGGCACTGGACACCAGCACTGTCCGCTTCTTCGGGGTTCCTGGGTCAGGGTGACCTCAGAGATCCCAAAGAGTCTTTGCTTCCCTCAGCCCGAGCAGCCACATCAGGAGCCTGGAATGCCCCGATTGCCGTTTCAAGGCTCTTTATTTCTGCATTCTTTCTCTGACCTGCCCAGCTCTGCCTAGCAAGGAGGCCATGGCCATCTGCCCTGAGCAGCTCCCACCTTATAGACTCAAACCTACACGTTATATGTTTGTAATTTATTATCAACTCCCATCACCCATGTTACACTGTGAATCCCTGCCTCAAACCAACAGAAAAGTGTCACCAGCACAGCAACACATGGAGGGCAAGGAGGAGGAGAAGAAGGTCAGGACATGCCCAAATCCCTCCATTTAGTACCTCCTTGAACCCTTTGTAAAAATCCCAAAATTCTACTTTTCCACCCTATGTTAGTTCAACTACCACACTACTCAAACCCTTGTGGTTTGTAATTCCTCACAGAGAGTTGGCAGCTTTTTCCACGGGCTAAAATCAAAGCCAGAGGTGTTTGTGACTTGGTGCCAGGGTCTGTGAGCCCCTGCCAGGGTCTGGGGCAGCCAGAGGGGTGTGCTGGGCTCCGACAGACACCGTTCTGCTGAGGTTTTCCTGCTGCAGCAGGGTACAAAACCACCCTGCACCTGCAGCTTCGGTATCTTTTCTACCCAAACACCTCCCTTGGCTCCTGAGGGTCTTGTTTGCTGCAGGCTTTCCTCAGTGACACGAGGCAAGCCCACCTAGCACTGCTAGAAATAGATATTAGCAGAGACCTGTGCACATGAAAAATGGTTTTTACTGCACTAATCCACCTGAAGCATCTCGTAGAGCATATTGATTAAGAGAACTCCGAAACCGATTAATTTCTGAGAAATATTTTGGTTTGCTCGGCAGCTTTGTGGCAAACATCAATATATTATCCTCAGCCAAATATACTTGAGTGAAACACGCAATGGGACATTTTGAAAGGACTTACAATTCTGGGCAAACATCCAATTGGAGCCACAAGTGTAATAGCTCCTTTGTGCTCTGACACAACTCCCTGTGCGTTGGTGTTACCGACTGAAAAATCCCCTCATTAGCAGCCTCTCCTCAGGAATCACCTTTTGCTTTTTAAAATCAAGATTTGGCAGACAAAACTTCAGTGGGTTTTTCCTTTCCATGCTTCTTTTGCCCATTTCCACTAGTGAGAACAGTCAGTTTCTCCGTGCAGTGGATTTGCACAGATTTTACATTTTCTGGGGCTGTAGTGAGAGAAAAGCAGCTTCTGCCCAGCCCTTTGTGAGCACGTTTTTAAATCTGTGTGCACTCTGTCCTGCCCTGTGATTTATTTCTTAAATAAAGAAATATTTCTTATTTCTTTATTAAAAAGAAATATTATTTTTTCTTATATTCTTTATTATTATTTATTTATTAATTTGTTGTTATTATTTATTTCTTAAATAAATTTCTTACCTTAAAAGGCAATCAGTCCAAGGGCTGCCTTTTAAGAGCTTTTCCCCTCTGACCCCTGAGCCCAGAGCCCACCTGATGTGTCCCTGGGTGTCCCCTCTGCCGTGGCACTGTCCCCACAGCCCAGCTGCCTGCAGGATGAATGCTGCATTTCAGCAGGGCTTGCAAGACACCTACATCTGCTTTCATTTTTGGGTCACGAAATTCAGTTTCATTTCAATTTCAAATGATTAAAATTATGTAAAAATACCACAACATCAAGGAAAAAGTTATTTTAAAATGAAAAAAATCAAAACATTTCATTTTGGAAATGTCAAAACAACTTGTTTCCTTGACATAACAAGAACCTGGTAGCATCCTTTTCTTTTTTTCTTCTGTCAGAGATGAAATTCTGAGGAAATTAGCATCATTTCATGAAGCAGCTTTACAGGACTACAAATTCTGACTGAATAAACCCTGCCAAACCCTGCCCCTTAATCAACAGGGGGCCACAAATCAAAACAAAATCAGCACGCTGAAACTCTGCTCAATTAAAATGCAACCTCCTGGGATCAGCGGTACCTTTGGCACAGTGAATGTGCTGTTCCCATGTGCAGGAAGGGACAGAGAGGTGCAGAACCACTTTGCACAAGCCTGGCATTAATTCCCAGCTCCCTCACACCCTTCCCAGCTGGCTGGGTGTAATTGATTGAGATCAATACTCTGAAGGGTACGGAGGTGTTAAACTCCCACTGAACTCCAGGGGAGTTTGGTGTTAAACCTCTCTGGGAACCTGGCCTTTCATCTCCCTTTGATGCACCTGGAGAACCAGGCTGCTCTCCCCTTGTAGGCAGGATTCTGCAGAGCCTGGTCTGTGAGGAACAGGAGCCCAGGGGCTGGAGGTGCACAGCAGCATTTTTCTTTCTGCTCTCAAACTCCTGCGCAGCTTTTTGGGCCAGCCCTTCCCCTCCCCCTGCATACAGCAGCTCCTGCCAGGGCAGGGCAGCCCTGGGGGCTCAGCTCTGTGCAGGGCACACACAGAGAGCCCCAAGGGGCTCCTCCACTGCTGCTGCTCCCCCTGCCCTGCTGCTGGCTGGGCTGCAGTTCTGCCTTCCAGCTGGACATTCATCCTGCCCGCTGCAGCTCGGGATGCTCAGGGAGCACAGGAGGCAGAGAGCTCCGTGCCTGCTCCTGGAACCAGGGACAGGGATGGCAGCAGGGCCTGAGCCAGCCTGAACAGCTGACACGGCTCAAATGCCCCTGGCACAGCTCAAATGCACTGACACAGCTCAAATGCTGCTCTCCAGGGGCTGGCTGGGACAATGAGCCCACCAATCTACACCACCAGTGCAGACTGAAGCTCCTCTGCACATTCCCATGGACTGCAGCTCCTCCACGCACCCTGTGCTCATCCCCAGTGATATTTATTTTCTCTCTGATAGAAA